AAAAGGAGGGCAACCTGGTAGTACCAGGTAGAAGCAGAACAAATGTAGAAGCTTGATTGAATGCAACAATGTAGTATGTACTGATTTTCAGTGTATATCCCTACATCATATCATGCTTCCGATAGCTTAATTGGTGGTCGTGGGTTTTTCTCTAACCAGATACTTGGCACGCAAGGCTAATTAGCCAATGCAGATGTGGTGGCAAAAGTGATTATCATAAGGGGGGAGAAGATTGCAGTATTGACGGTCCCCTACTTCTGCTATGACTTCCAACAGACAGGAAAGCTACTGTTGCTGATCTTATGTTTCAAGCTTAGCTAGTTATGTTACCCTCTCTCCTCCTTTTAATTATTTTGGGCAGTAGCACATGGAAAAGAATGCATATGGATACTCACGTTGAACAAGGAGAGAAATAATATTACGGCAAAACATGCAACAAAATAATAGAGGGAGGTATGATCGATAGCCATTTGAACCGAGTAAAAAGTCAAAGTTACACAAACAGTAATGAAAGATAAATGGCAACCATTGTTGTTGCTGGAGGGAACGGGCCAACGAAACACACACTCTCCTTTTCTTTCTTTCTTTTAAAAACAATAACGTAACAAAAACAATAACCTCATTCCTTTTCTTTTTCTTTATTTTTACTTCAAAGCTTCTAAATAGTAATAATGGCTCCATTGTATGGCATCGATCGCGGTAAGCAGCAGCACGCAACCGAGGAAATTCTTCTTAAAGAACAGTGACACTCATATATATACGCGTTTTCCTCATTTCCTGCGGTAGAAATTCACCGCAAGATTCAATCAAAGTACTCGATTGAGCATGAACAGGAAGCTCGCGAATGGATCGAAAGCGTCATTGCTGAGCCTCTCCCAAGTGACGATTTCCAGGAGAGCTTGAAAGACGGTGTCATTCTTTGCAAGTAAGTGGTTTGTTACCTATCTGCCCATTTCTAATAGCATTTGCCGACTCATCCATAGTAGATCCTTCAGCTGTATACGTTCCTTTAAACTAAAATGATGTCTTCCTTCCTCTCTTGGCATGTAGGATGATCGGTAAACTCGTTCCCGGTGAAGGCAAATACAAGGTCTCCAGAATTCCATTCATGCAGGTAAAATATGAGTGTGCAAATAACGAGAAGAGCCGGTCAGCTCGATCCCCAAATCTGCTGATGTTCAGCAGCAGTAATAATGAAGATTACAATAGCAGCAAAATGGTAGTAGCAAGGCAACAACTAAATGTGAGGTGCGCTATGTAATAGATGGAAAATATTTCCAAGTTCCTTGCTGGAGCCGAGAAACTTGGAGTGCCAAAGCACGATTTGTTCCAGACCGTCGATTTGTACGAAAAGAAGAATATGACACAGGTAAAGGAGATAAATACCAGACAAATAAGGAGAGTGAGCCTTAGTATTGATATAATGTCATACTAGGTCGTTGACTCAATCTTTGCCATTTCGCGCTATGCTCACAAGGCTGGTACTTGTTCTACGGTAAATTAAACTACTAACTGCTAGAGAAAGAGCGTTCTTTATCTTTCTGCTTGATCTGACGCCTATTCTATCATCCTATCAATACAGTACCTGGGTCCCAAGCTTGCAGAAAAGCATGTTGTCGAGTTCACTGAAGAAACGTTGAATGCTGGAAAGGCCATGTTCAATACCTACCAGTATGGCTACCACAAGGGCGCCAACCAGGTAAGAAAAAGAAAGAAAGAGGGAAAATGATACGAAAACAAATTGCTCATGGATTTGCTTACTGTGTTACTACTTTATAAGTCGGGTATTATTTTTGGTGCTCGCCGAGAGATCTCAAACGGTTTAGCTCGTAATTAGCTACTCAGTATCAAGACGCTAATAGAGCACTCATTTTTCTCACTTAATTAGCTTTTTTTATATACATTTTCTCACTCGCAATATATGTAGTAGTTCTCTTTTAATAAATAATATTGTAGTTTATTGATAAACATATGTATAAAATAATACAGTGTCAATAAGCAGAGTACTAATAGTAGCTGCTGTAAGGAGACAAGAGGTTCGTTGTCGGATGGATGTGGCAGAGGATGGAAGATTGTCAATTAGAACATGGGACAAAGTTCGACCTTTGTCACGTATCTCATCGATTGCGTTATTGGCGCCAGTCGTACCCGCATCAACTGCAGACTTTTCATCAATGATTGCTTTCTTTGGTGATGAAGATGTTGACGATGGCAGTGGTTGAACACCATTTAGTTGTGCGACGTACTCCAGCGCACTGCCTCGTTCATAAAAATCGACCTCGATATAGTTTGGTTTTCTTTTAAAAGTCTCCGAGCACTCGTCGACGTGTTTCTTGAGCGAGTTACCATTCGTTTCTCCAGCCTTGTCACGCTGTGGCACTTTAATTTGGAAACCAAGCTCGATCACGCCGTATAAGAAGTGGTTCACAACATACATCATGGTGTCTGCGCTTGGTGGATCCCGAGGTCGATCGATTGAGCAATTGAAAGCGTTGATATTGGTGTTATCATAGGGTGTTTCAAAAACCAGCGAGAATTCATCCATCAGCCTGGTATTCTAATTTTTAGTTTTTTCCATCATATAGAGCGATAGTAGTAACAGAAACCCAGGGATCATCGATCATCATGATCAACTCTACTTCACATAGACTTACCACGGCGTTTTCGAAGTATCAGCACCTGCATCAACAAAATTGACCAGCCTTTTGCCTGACTCGATCATTTCTTGTAATGACGGCCATTGTTGCTGATTGTTATTGCCGTGTGTATAGATATAAGGCACAACAGTACTGGCTTCATACGCAGCAGCCAGATGTCCGATATCCAAGTTGTATAGATTATTCCAAAAGATGCTGACGACTTCGCCAGGATTTTCCTTTAACCAGGCACCAATCTGGTTCAACGTGTCAACGGCACTGCCAGCATCCAATATCGAGCAAGACGTATGGCACAGATGCAGACTGCGTGGGTCGTTTTTGTTTGTGATGCTAATATCTGGCAGTACCGCGGAGAACTTGAGTCCACGGACACCTCTGTTAAGTTGTTGGATAATTGGCTCGCTTTGTGTCGCTGCTACATTATTTCCGTATGCGTATGAATCGTGTGTGATTAGATAGGTCACTTGATCGTATCGACGTTCGCAAAGCGATTCATGGCCATTACAGAGAGTGGCCTGAGTGATGGCAGGTGCAACGAGTAATAGAGCAAGTGATAGAAAAAGAACAGTAACAGAAGAATAGGCCATTTAATCAAAAGCTGGTAAGAAAGAATAAAGCGCATTTATATTGGAAAAATAAGAGGGAAAACTTGGCATCAGGTTGGATTTGCAATGCATTCTGGAATTTTTCTTCTTCCAGTTTATTAAATGAATTTCAAGTAGTACTAACAACTTCTCCTCCTTTTTTTTTAATACAACCGATGTGCTCCCCTTTATCGTGGTATTAGTCTTGCATAATATTAACTTAGAAGACGGATCCAAAATCATATCAGTTCAGTGTGTGAACAGCGACAGCAGATTAATCGTCCATTGTTTGTGCCCGCAATGCCATTCAGTTTGCTCCGACCCAAGCATTGTAATTCCGCAAAAGGTGTTTGGAAAAAAAAAAGTCAAAATCCAGCCCCAGTTGCTGCCTTTTCCTTGTTCTTTTGTTTACCAGGTTCAGGAAAAAAAATATTCGATGCCACCTCGCGACCCGGCAATAGCGGCCCAGAGTGTACAGACACCCACTGAAAATGTACAGGACAAGCTACTAGACCACTCTATGCAAGATCATTGGAAAGCAGAAATGCCGGGGTAGGTTTAAGTTATCTTTCGGCTCTGCCGTTTGATATGATATGTATATCAACCCCTACTACACTTATCAAACAAGACAATTAACCAGCTCCCTTCTTTTTCTTCATAGATCGCCTAAAACCTTATACAATCGTGAAGAATTGGTAAATAACAATAAACTTAAAGAGATATTAGCTGACAAGAGCAATATCACTTACAACAACAGCACTAAACCTTTTTTTCTTATGTCGGCAGCTCTCCTATGCAAAATGTTTTGTATATGACAGTAATGATACAGCACCAATAGCCTTAATATCACGAGCGATACAGTGGATAAAGAGCGTTCCAAGTGCGCTGGTTCGTTATGGAGTGCTACTGCCCATTCGTCTTGCTTCGTTGAGTGCGGCTACGATCGCGTTTTTCGTGTCGTTACCGATTGCCGTTACTTTGGAGAGTAAAAGCATGGTGGTACGTTCATAATCCAGGCCGACATATTCTTGAATTTGTTCGGCATGTGTTACGATTTTCGAGTTAAATCTCTTTTCATGATTTCTTAGTCGACACTGGTAAAATATTATTGTAAAGGAATCTTGTTTTCCTTGGGCACCATTCCGCGTTACCTTGGCAACAAACCATGTCTCTCTGAACCTCATGTCTTTGTGGTAAGATGCATATACATTTTTGTCTTTTTTTGCAGAAGTAACAGTATTAACAGAAAAAAACCTTGTTTCTTGTGGCGTATGTGATTTTCCCAGGCCAATCATACTTCATACCTCGACTACATTCTTGTCAGTGCATGCCGTTTTCCAAATGCGGTTGTCATGGCACGCCACGGTGGCGCACTCGGCTTTCTTCAAAATAATGGCTTAAATTTTCTGCATTCGATGACATTTGATCGATCCAATACCGAGGAAAGAAAGGATCTTGCTGGCCGGTATGTTTGTCTCTTATGTATATGAATGGAAAACATATATAATAATGGAAGAACCCATCTTTTGGTCTGTGCATGATGTAGATTAAGGAAACATGTCATGAATCCAACTACCTGGCCCAACCCAATGATTATTTTCCCTGAAGGAACCTGTGTAAACAACAAGTATTCGATCCGATTTCAGAAAGGCGCGTTTGAACTTGGCGTCAAAGTGTGCCCTGTTGGAATCAAGTATGGATAGAAGCAAATATTTTGGAATGGCGATAGGAGGCGTTTTATATGGGTATCTGACATATTGTGCTTGTCGAAAACAACATAGATACGATCGCTATTGGGGAGATCCTTATTGGGATACGCGAAAGGTAACTTGTTAAGAGAATGACTATGAATGTAAATGGGAAACTTATACAACGCATTGGCTATCATTTAGGGATTCTTGTATTACGCCTTTTATCGCATGACACGATGGATAACACCGGTCGACGTCGTCTACTGCACACCACAAGACCTTCGCCCAGAAGAAGATGCAGTCCAATACGGTGAGCGTATCAAGGCTGTGATTTCCGATACCATTGGCTTAGAGAGCGAAGATTTTAATGGCATGGCCAAACGAGATCTGCTCAAGATTTTAGACGAAAAGTAGTATAGTTTCTGTGTAAATATTGCTTTCCTTTTGTGTGTACCACTTTTCCTTTCAGGACCCCATCTCTTTTTTGTATATAGCATTACATTTTCATATATATCTTTGTCTCTCGTTTGATTGTTCATTGCACCTCGCTGCTAAAGCAAAAAACAACGTATCATTTATGATCCATATTTTTTTTTGTGTCTAACAGAATTATACTCATTCGATCATGAAGGTTTTAACCGAGCTTAGAGAAAATACCTCAAAGATCTTTAAAAATACATAATCGATATCTATATATTGGTCTCCACTTTCCTTGATGACCGTATATAGTGCGCCGGTCACTTCCTTTGCTCTCGACTTTGAGTGCTTGATCATCGAATCGAATCCCAGGAAACATAAAGTGTTTTCCTGAGCGCTGCTCGGCTTTCCCGTTAGTTACAACCAAGTATGTCGTCAAAAGTTGTTGGAGTTAATGGGCATTAAACTTTTCGGGAGGGCTTTTATATAAACGCTTTTTAACTAAAAAGCGGGCCAAACTTCGAGCTTATCATCAAGATTAGTAAATCCAGATTGGCTTTGCATTGTCTTAAGCAGATTATGTATCATTACTATTACATTTATTCTGGGGCTTAAAAGAAATAGACACACTCTCAACTATTTCTTGAACTTACTAACTTTACTTTGATATCGCCAGCATGTTTATAAAACTTTTCACCTATGATACACGCCTTTTAGTTATCAAGTTTACGATGTATAGCGTCAATTACTGTGTTTTGAGGCTTGACACGATGGGTTTTTGTTTCAAGTACTCAAAAACTAGCACACGACTAGTAGAAAACTGGTGCTTACTCTTCTTGACATCTACACTTAAGGGCTACAGCGTGTTCATTACCTTTACTCGCCGTTGTAACCGTTCCAAGTAGCGTCGTAGTAGCAAGGAACGGTAGTTACTCCATAGATATCTGCGCGAATTTATAAAATCGCGCGAGGTTTCCTTAAAGCGCAGCAGAATGTATACGCATTATGCAGTATTTTACCTGCTGCTTAAAAAAGTGACCTTAATTGACCCTACCTATGTTATAGCAAGAGCCTTGTCCATTGTCTATACAAGTCTCGATAGACCGACAACTTATAACCTTTTCTCTCTTCTTGATTGCCATCATCAAGTACAAGGGCGAGACACACAAAAAAAAACTTTCTCTAATTACATTCTGAAAGGCAAGATACTTTATGTTGCTTTTGTATGAGTGTTTTGCCACTTCTCTAACTTTGCCGAGCTTGATAAACTCAGTTTGCAAAGCGCTAAGAAAAATATCAGAATGTTCATACTAAGATTTAAGCAAAATATATTTGCCGTTTATGCATGTTGGATATGTACTTTTATAATGGATGCTAGAGGACAATGTGCTGAGCTAGTGATTGGACTTATATACGAAGTGAAAGATTATTTATTCACAAGTTACAGAAGAGAAAGGGAGAAGAAAAAGAAAAAGGAAGGGAGGAATAAATCTCACCATGTGAAAAGGCGTCTTGGTGATGACAAATAAAGAGTTATTTGTTAGTGAAAGAAGAATGGAGTGACGTATTGTCAAGAGATCTTGTTTTTTCAGAAACATGAGAAGAAATGTTTCAACTACAAGGTGAAAATTTGATTGTTTTATATATCGTATCCGGTGATAACTCATATGCGTAAAAGAGCAATCACAGTGTAGTACGTACATGGATATTGTTGTTGCAGAAGTGCCGCAATGAGTTTTCGCAGTGGTGGGCCCGGACTTCGCGTAATCGGCCGCAAAGTCATAGGCTAATCCACTAGCTTATATTCATTGAGAGAACAATAATCATCATTTCCATAATTCCGAGCCCGAGAACTGTTTAATTAAACAAGCAGCAATGCTACTTATCTCTAGATCATACATGTATGCTTGAGTTACGGATCAGATCATTAGGGGGTTTCACGCTTGGGAAAAAATGAGAAAATGAAATGCGCATTTCTTCAGTTTAAAAAGCAAAGTCACAATCACGGATAAACTTTCAACATCAGCTGCTACGCGTTTCGCGTCAACGTTTCTTGAATTTGTTACTTTATTTCACACACTACGTTCTTACAATCAACCTTCCAATGCCAAAAATCACTCAGCGACAAAGGACTTTACGTGGAATCAATAAGCTCATTGAGCAAAGCATTCAGCGGCAGTTGCTTTGCAACGATGAATCGAGCGAATTGCTCCAAGAGGAAGAAGATTGCGACGAGCTTCTTGGCATTTACGTTGGCATCAGCAGCCATCGATACCTCAATCCTCGCGGTCACGTTCCAAAACTGCAAGAAAAACGCGAGTTTTTTATGCAATGGCCTGATAAGCAATTCAAAACGTTGGTGCGAATGAACAAAAGATCGTTCAAAGCTCTCCTCGAGCTTATTGAGGGCCATCCGGATTTCAACAGCGAGTCGCGTGTAGCTCAGATAGATGTCCAAACGCAGCTAGGCATCACGCTGCAAAGACTCGCACACGACGGAAGTGGAAACTCCACTACGAAACTTGGGATGGAATGGGGTGTGTCTACAGGCTTTGTCAGCAAATGCTTTTATCGCGTCATTGGAGTCATCAACAAATTGATGTTGACTGATTTTTTGTCCTGGCCTGATGAAGAAGAACGCAAGTCGATTGCTGCGCGCATAGAATCCAAGACCGGCTTCCCCTGGTGTGTCGGTTTTGTCGATGGCACTCATGTCAACTTCGCTCAAAGACCCAAAGAACAAGGCGAAGTTTACTTCAACCGCAAATCACGCTACTCCATGAATCTTCAGATCATATGTGATGATAACCGCTACATCCGATCCATCTGTTGCGGATGTCCTGGTTCTATGAGCGACGCAAGCGTATTTAGCAGCCAATCTCTTCCAGGACTGTTTCCTGATGCCCATTTTTCAGGAAACGAATATTTAATTGGTGATTCTGGATATGGGCTTACGACGCGTCTGATCACTCCATACCGCAGTCCAACAGCCCGACTGCACAAGGATTACGAAACGTTCAACTTCCAGCATGCATCAGGTAGGGTGGCTGTTGAAAATACGATTGGTATCTTGAAAGGAAGGTGGCGCTTTTTGAAGAATGTCCCATTGCAACTGAGATCCAAGGACGAATTCGAAAAGCTAAACAATATTATCGTTGCAACATGTCTTCTCCACAACTATCTCTTCCGACGCAATGATAAATGGGATCCGGACACCGAAAACGATAATGGAAGCAATGAGCATAGCTCATCATCACAGCTTTCAGACGCAGAAGGGAAAAGAGACCTCGTGAAAAACATTGTAGTTGATTTTACATCTAGACAATAAACTTTTGTTTATACATAAAATGCCAGTGACTACTCGTATACATTTTCAATTATCTGTTTGGCTTCGTCAGCAGTCTTTCCAAGTTTCAACAGCTCAATGAAAAACTTGGTCCTGTCACTAGCGTAAGTCTGCTGTTCTTGTGCCTGGGACGCACGTTTCTGTTCTGCCAATCGCGCCTTCTCCAATTGCAGTCTCTCATGCTCGAGCTTGAGCTTTTTCGACTCTAACTTGCGTCGTTTGGCTTCATTGACCGAGTAAACGGCAGTAAAGTTTCTGCCGCGTGGCACATTATCGTCGTCATCGTCAGAGCCGCTTTTTACCCTGCTGGAAGCAATGCTGTTCACCTCCTCATTCTGGGGCTCCGGACTGGGTGCAGCCTGCTCCAAGAATCGTTCCATAGACTCTTCGAAATTGTCGACAGTGATTTCTTGTGTCTCGCTGTCGACATCTGCTTGTTCGAAGAACGAGGAGCAAGGCACGTTTTCGTCGACAACATGATTCGTCGGCAATTCTTCAGTTGCTGTTGTTGGTACTGGTGTTGCTGCTACTGCAGTTTCTACTGCAGGTAACTCAGTAGCTGGCACAAGAGTGGCCGCAAGTGCAGAGATCGATGGCGGAAGGCCAGCATGCAAAACCGTGCTTGGGCTGATATTCTCCCTTTGGCCAAAGATTGAATCCATCTCATAGAAGTAGGGGCACATATGATTGAGTTTGTCAACAATATTTTTTATGCCCTTTTTACGTTCTTTTTGGCTGATCTCTCTGCCAAAGCCAGAAGCTTCCGACTTTCTTTTGCTACTGATATACCGTCTCTTGTAACTTTCGAAACGGCTTTTCGTTTTCTGCCAGTCCCAACCAACGCCAGTTTTCTCATTGATAGCCGCGGCCATCTCAGTGTATGCGGCTGTTTTCGTTCCTTTCTTTTTTATGCCTGGTGCTGACTGCTCGCCTGCGCCTGACCACTTCTCGAAGTTTTCACGAATGGTAAGCCAGTTGACCATTACTTCACATACTTCATTTGAAGTGTGATCTCGGCTGGCCTTTTGTACACAAAAGATACCGAAGTTAACTTTAACTCATTTAAATGAAAGGTAACGTTAGTGTCTTTTTCCCTACAGATGAAGTCTCATTATGGACCGTGGTGGTTGCATTTGTGGTGTGTTCGTTTGTCATATTGAGCAGAAAGGAGTAGAGTTTATTTCGACGCGTCTTACGCGTGTAAAAATGATAGTTCCATCCCAACCCAGAATTTGCAAGTCACAAGCGCAAGAAAAGCGCATTTCTTGCAAGAAAAGCAGCTCAGAAAGTGCTTTTCTTGACTAGAAATTTTTGCATTTCTTGCGGAAGAAATGCGGTTTTTCGGCTGTTAAAAAGCAGAAATTCCCAAGCGTGAAACCCCCTATTAAATCCAAGGACTGACATGCTTATTTAATGTGACCTTTATGTACATATCATGTAGTCACACCAATACGAGTGATCGGCGGGGGAAATTTGTGATCAAGGAGGAAAGCGCCGGGAAAACACAAACAATTCCTTTCTCTGTCCCCGCCCAAAATCAGAAACAGAACTTTCTGAAACTTCGCTGAGCTTTGCGCACTTTTAGACGTTATTAATCTGATCCTCCAGCTAGATTCCAAAGGCTTGAAACGTTGAAATAAACAATCAAAGATGGAGGTAGTGTAATTAATCGATCCAGGCGATCAAGGCTTAGTACACCAGTAGTTGGCACAGCAAATGAGTGCATTGGTAAGCAGGGTTTGTTGCTTCTTTAACATACTCTCTCCTAACCTTTTCTCTAAGCCGATGCATATACGTTACTGCACTCACTACTAGTGCTAATGAGAGTGGAGTAGATCCTTATGATGACGGCAATGCTAAATCCAGACAAACAGGAGTCGTTTATTTTAGTCTGTGTGTAGATTTAAAAAGTATAATACTTGGCAATTGTGCATACATTTTCGACAACCTTTAGTTAACATGCAAATCCAACATTTTCTCTCTCTTCATTCCATATGTGCTGAAGAGTAACAATGATAGTATTTTTCTTTCTGTAAACATGCTATATTACCTTTTTTAATGCTCCCATGGTGTGCCCGCGCAGCATCAAACGTTTAGAGGCTCTGCTTATAGCTGAGAATGACTTCCATAGAAAAATTTCGGTAGTTGGCGCCGGACCATGCGACACTTTGTGTCACATCACTACCGGCCCGCCTGAAAGACGGTATAGTCGCCCAACAGCCTTATATATAGAGGACTTATCGAATCCAAACCAGCAACCCAGATTTTTTTCTCAATCTCTCCTTTATATACAAACTCATTCTAGTAACCTTCGTTATTCTAAAAGAACTCTAGTTATTACTATCACCAACAACTCTTCCCTTGTCTTTCTCCCCTCCTCTCGCGGTAATTTTTGCCCAAAGCGAATCCGAAATCATACACAGCACAATAAATGACCAAATCAAAGACGGCACGAGCAAAGGCAACAATCGTGGACGAACGAAACGATTGGCACATCCAACCTGTTGACGAGGTCGTGGCGGCGTTTACAACGGACACAGATCAAGGTCTTTCTACAGAGGAAGTGGAAAAGCGACAAACAATTCATGGATTTAACGAACTCGGTGGTGATGGCGGCGTAACTTGGCTCAAGATACTCATTCGACAACTCGCCGATGCTATGGTATGAAGAAAGTCTTTGGATGTTTTTGAAATAACAAACGATCAAGACGATGATAATATATGATTTTACTAACTTTCTATGTATACGCATTATCCTAAACCGTATAGAATTGGATTTTCCTCGCGCTTGGAAAGTACTTTTCGCATATTATCTTATATGACACTATTGAGTTTGTCGAGCCTAACACATTTTTCTTTTTGAACACCTATAGGTATCGTGTCCATGGCATTAGCAGACTATGCAACGGGTTCTTTGCTTCTAGCCCTTGCAGTCGGAAATTTGTACCTGTCATTTTCCCAAGAATACGCAGCGGAGCAAACGTTGGCGGCGCTGAAAAATCTGTCTTCTCCCGTAGCTGTTGTAATCCGCGATGGGCGCGAACAGACCATCGCTAGCCGTGAAATTGTCCCAGGCGATATTATGATTGTCAAAGAAGGTGACTCTGTTGCTGCAGATGCTCGCTTGGTCTACATTTCAAACTTGGAAACCGACGAAGCTTTATTGACGGGTGAATCCTTGCCTGTGCAAAAACAACTTGTTGTCTTGGAAAAAGAAGGTACATAACAATTTCGCTCCTCTTAATTTTGCCTACAACAACTATATGATTCCGTAAGAGAAAAAGAAACAATGCTCTAATTAGAGTTGTATGATATGCGTTAGATGAACCCTTGGGCGATCGGATCAATATGCTATACAGCTCCACCATTACTGCCAAGGGTCGCGGCAAAGCCATTGTCACTGCAACCGGCCTACACACCGAGATTGGCAAAGTTGCCGTCAAGCTCGAAGACAGCGGTGGTGACATGACCCGTTTGCAAAAAACGTTGAACAAGATGTATCTGGGCTTAACAGGTGTCGCTGTTGTATTGGCCATTATCGTCATGGCCAGTGTGAAATTCCAATTGAACATGGATATTGGCATGTACACGATTACCGCTGCATTGTCCGTTCTTCCTGCCGGTTTGACTACAGTCATGACGCTGACGCTCGTGCTCGGTGGAAAGCAGATGACCGAACAAAAGGCGCTTGTACGTAAGCTCAAGGTACTGGAAACACTTGGCTCAGTGACCAATATCTTCTCAGACAAGACGGGCACATTGACCATGGCCAAAATGGTGGTGGTGCGCTTTTGGACTCCCAAAGAAGGATTTTTCCATTGTTCGTCGAATGGTCTGGCCCCACAAGGCGATATTTATCAGATCGAGGATCCCATGGTGTCCGATGACGCTGCTATCTCGACAAAAGGTGCCATGGTCGAAAAATCGAGTTTGTCCGAGGACTTGTTGCAACTGATCCGTTGTGCTGCTCTTTGCAATGTGTCCAGTATCCACAGACGTCATCAGGAAGATGACGAAAAAGATACCTCCAGCGACAATACTTGGATTGGTGACGAAAAGAAGAGTAGCAAGAAAAAGGAAGTTGAAGCTCGAGAGGAAGACGTCGACCATGATCTTGAAAAGAACATCAAGAAATTGGCCACTGGTGCAAACGAACAAGGCGACAGCACTTCCTCGGATGATTGGGTTGGTAGCGGCGCTCCTACTGAAGTTGCATTACAAGTTTTTGCACACAAGTTTAGCATGGGCAAGCCTGATCTGGAAGCTATTGGCTGGACTCCGTTGGCCGAATACCAGTTTGATTCAAGTATCAAGCGCATGTCGACACTGTACCGCAATGTAAAGGACAACGAGGTCGTCGTATTCACCAAAGGTGCTGCTGAACGTGTCCTACCCCTGTGTGACAATATCGATGGCGAAATCGAACAGCAAGACATCATGCAAAAAGTGGATCAATTGGCCACCAAAGGTTTGCGCGTGATTGCCTTGGCTGTACGCAAGATGGACACTGAATCGACGCAAGTATACATTGACGGTGCTGACCATACCAAGTTGCCCAAACGAGAAGACGTCGAATGTAATTTAAGATTCCTTGGCTTGACCGGTATCTATGACCCGCCGCGTGCCGAATCGCGTGAAGCCGTAGCCGATGCCCATCGTGCTGGTATCATGGTTCATATGTTGACGGGCGACCATCCCATTACTGCCAAAGCCATTGCTCGGGAAATCCACATTTTGAACGATAAATTGCTTGCTTCTGACGAAATTGACCAGTTGGTCATGACAGGTCCTCAATTCGATGCCATGACCGATGAGCAAGTGGATGTTTTGCCTCGATTGCCTGTCATTGTGGCTCGTTGTTCGCCGGACACCAAGGTGAAAATGATCGAAGCTGCTCAACGGCGTCATCTCATATCAGCAATGACGGGTGATGGTGTCAATGATTCACCTTCTTTGCGAAGTGCTGACGTGGGTATTGCCATGGGCAAGAATGGTAGTGATGTCGCCAAGCAAGCTTCTGATATCATTCTCACGGACGATAATTTTGCTACAATTATCCGAGCAATTGCCGAGGGTAGACGTATCTACCAAAACATGCAGCGATTCTTGATGTACTATTACATTATCTTGTTGGCTCTCGCCATCGTTGTCATGGCTTGTTTGTCTATTCGGGATCCTGATGGCAATACGGCTGCGCCTATTTCTACGATTCAAATGATCTTTTTGTTTGTTGGTAAGTTTTACTTTCTTTATCGCGCCCGTCTCAAAATAATGGGTGGTTCCCTAATTTCAACTAATTATTAGGTATCACTCCACCTGCTGGTGCTTTGAGTGTCCAACCTGCTTCGCCTACCATCATGGTCGAACCACCACGTCCACCTACCGAAAGCGTCTTTAACCGCGAAATCCTGCTGGATACGCTCGTGTACAGTCTCATTTCCGCTGTCTCGTTCGCTGTCGCATTCTTTGTGCCTTTGTATACACATGGAGGCCACGGTGTTGGTGGCGTGCTCTGCGATTCAAACTACCAAGAAGGTGATTGCGACTCGTTCTACTATGCCCGTGGCTCGCTGATGATTGCCGTGATTATCATTTCGATTATCATCATGACCCACTGCCGCAGTCATCGTCGTCCAGAATGGGGTCCCCGTGGCTTGAAAAAAACACTCAAGTCCAAGGCTGTGTTTGGCACGCTTGTGTTTGATATTGTTGCTTCGGTCATCTTTTTGTACGTTCCCGTCGTTGATACCGTAGGTTTCCGTCATTTGGGCCCAACGTGGGAGTGGGGTATGGTAATGGGTTTGTCGATCTTCACCGTTATTGCTGGTGAGGTGTACAAGTATGTTAAACGGCGAGTGATGAAGCCACTTGAAAGACATTCAGTGGATGCACTCTTGTTTTAGAATAGTTCTCTTTTAATATAGACACCATCATCATCATCATCATCATCACCATCTCCTTTTCATCTTTTCTCCTTTGCAACTTAGAATATTATGTAAACTGTATCCTTTTATTCCGCTCCACTCGTGTACTTCTAGCTTTAATTATTACCCGGCAAGCCGAAAATACACAATCTTGAATTAACATACTACGCATATTCTTACATTAAAGACGGTTCATGGCCTTTGCTATACAATAATAGCAGTAGTAGCACTTTGTGTATATGAGCTGTGCCGCATAATCCAGTCGTTTTATAGCATTCCATATCGAGGTGTTGGTGCTACCTGACCTGCATGATCATTGGCGTTGCCTGCCGAAGAGAGCAGTGTCTCAAACGGGGCCGGAAACGTCACCGAAGGACGGGTCATACTCACATATTGAAAACCTTCTTTCAGACCTGCTTTTCTCTCTCTCTCTCTCTTCAAACCTTTTCTCCCTCTTCTTTGCTTGTCTTGTTCTTATTTCTTCGAAAGAGGGGTCATATAGCGGCATAAACGACATGGTCTTTCCGAGCAGCATTACTCCGTCGCCCAATGACGGTTGCAAAGCTTTGTATGTGGGCAATCTAGATCCACGAGTGACAGATGCCATGTTGCGCGATATCTTTTCCGTCACTGGTAACGTCAAAAGCGTCAAGGTCATTCCGGACAAAAACGTAAGTTTTTGTCATTCATTCCTTTCGCTCCCCCCTCTGACAAAGCACCGGCCCTTTTAAAATGCGCGTGGATTGACATGTTCAGTTAGTTATCACACGGTGGATGCAACTATGGATTTATCGAGTTCTCGGATCATAGCACGGCTGAACAAGCATTGTTGACCATGAGCGGTCGACGTATCTTTAGCAGTGTACCTGTCTTTTTGCATATTGCTTTCTATAATGAAAAATGATGATCTTTCTGGTTTTTTTTTGCAGATAGTATTCCTTCCCTTTCTAAAAAACACCTGATGTTTACAGGAAATTAAAGTCAACTGGGCAGCTCAAGGATCAACGCAAAAAGATGACACGTCGAACCACTATCACATATTCATCGGCGACCTTTGTCCTGAAGTCAGTGACGATGTGCTGGCAAAAGCATTCGGGGTGTTTAGCAGTATGTCGTAAGTAGAATAGCACCATTTTGTTACTATGGATACTGTCGGGGGGGGGGGGGGTTGAGAAGGATATGTTTCTGGGCTCTCGTTATTGATTTAAGACACACACACACATACACTGATACGTATATGCAACAACAAGTGATGCACGAGTCATGTGGGATATGAATACGGGCAAGTCGCGCGGCTTTGGATTTGTTGCGTTTAAAAACAAAGCACACGCGGAACAAGCTATTGCTACTATGAATGGAGAGCGCTTGGGTTCCCGGGCCATCCGAGTCAATTGGGCAAACCAGAAAAACACCAGTACCTTCACTGCCAGCAACAACAACAGCAACAGCAGCAACAATCACAGTAATAGTAGTAGTAGCAATAACAGTAGTAATCGCAACAGTAGTATTAGCACTGCTACTACGATTGTCGCACCAACAACAACATCTGCTGCTGCTGCTGGTAAATGAATGAAAGACATGCATATACACACATAATCTATGTGTGAAGGTAGAAATATAATACTCATACTTACAGATGGATGCAGTTCCGATGCAGTACGTGACTTACGAGCAGGTATTGGCACAAACATCCGCATACAACACAACTGTCTATGTCGGTAATCTGTCTCCCAAAATAACGCGTAAGTGTTTTATTCTATCTATCTTTTCTTTTAACCCTTCCTGCGATCTCTTCTGAGAGGCTCAACGCTCTTTATACTGCATTGATACTGGTGCTTATTACGTATTACTAGAAAATGATTTGGTTCCTCTTTTCCAACGCTACGGAGGTATTATGGAAGTCCGCCTTCAACCCGAACGCGGCTTTGCATTTATAAAGTAAGCACGCAACTTTTGAAACAAAGAAAAGAGAGGAAAAAGAGTAGGGGGGATGATGATTGAAACTTTATTGCTTATATGCACAAATACTAGGATGGATTTGCATGAACGCGCTGCATTGGCAATTTTCTCTTTGCAAGGTGCAACCTTGAATAAGCGACCTATTAAGGTAAACAATATTTGACGCATCATCAATTATCAGTTTGTTTTCCATCCATTGATAGAATTATTCATTACTCATAGCTGTCCTGGGGTCGAGATCGGTCATCATCACAAGATAGCAATCATTCGAATAGTTTCTACAGCTACTATCAGCAGGTACCACCACCATCACAGCCTCCAGCAGTCGCAGCACAGCAGCTCCATCAATTACACCATCATTATCAAACGGCTCCAGCACACCAATTAGCATACTACCATCAGCAATACCTGCACTAATAGTGGCAATTAGTAATGCCGTTTGATGACAGGGCCCATCTTCAGTATGCCATCACCCAATTTTTTTCCCTATCAACGAACATGTACCATTCGCACGCACACCGATGCTATAACGAACAAAAATCCCACATTACTCGTTTTTTTGTCAGCATCTATCTTTCTTCTTTCTCTCTCACATCTATTGTGCACATTACACAACAACATCACAACGAAAGCAGAATACCAACAGCCACTTTTGTCTCTGTTCTTTTTCTATATCACATACACACAATTTATTTCTGCGTTATATATCCCGATGGTCATGCATTGTTAGCATCACCACGACTGTCATTATCAAACATATATTTTTCTGTCAAAACTGCTCCTTTTTCGTTGTCCTCTTTTTTTTAAGACCATCCACAAGCTGACATTAATGCTGGTATATTAGAAATTACATGTAAAAACTCTTTTAAAAAAGAAATGTATATACCGTACCGGTACAGCGAGCAAGAGCTGTGACTACGTCCCCGTCCCTCCCCTAACTTGCTCGGTCTATGTCTTTTTAGGTGTTGCTGATTGAAATCAGATGATTTGAAGCACTTCATTTCCGATACGAGTTAACAGTCCGTGTGTTTGTTGTTTACGCTTTATGACTGATAAAAATATTGGCACTGGTAAAGTCAGGTGCTCGCATTGCTCATGCTGTTTTGCCTGTTGTCAATAGAAGGTGGCTTTTGATGTTAAGCATTGCGCATCAATGTTCTGATGTCTTGGTGCAGGCTGATTTCTGATGCTGTAGGTATACCGTTGTTTCCGATTTCATCCTACTACTACTACTGCTGCTACTCTGGCTTGCAATAGTCCCAATTGTGGTGACATAAAATTCTCAAAAGGTGCACAAACTCATACTAAACCAACCTGCTGTGAAATAATGGGTATTCGTTGTTTAGTCGTCGATGATAAATATGCATTTCAATATTTGCATAGCAAGATAGAGCTTCATCAAAAGTCGATACAACACGTCGTGGTGGCGATGCACACAGCAGGTGACCATTCGATAGCTCGGACGCGGAAGACGACAGACGGGTATTTGGCATTATATAATGCATAGGATTTGACTGGTCAATTTCTCGGTAGCGACATCCCGATCGTACGACGTTGGACACACCAGGTCATGAGATCCCCCAACAACAACACTTGCTTGGATCGGAGCGTACGCGTCTAAGGCTTCATGCATGTGTAATACGGTCGCTACCCTTCTCGGACACAGAAGAGAATATAGTTGGGCGTAATGCATACATTATGTGTTTCAGCGGGACATACATGCCCTCTCTCTCGGCCCTTCCCTTCGATGTCCATCACAGGTCCTTTATTCTTTTCGACGTGTTTACTATTTACAAGCAAGTAGAAAGATCCGTACATCATGTTATGATTGTAGACGCTGTACCTTTGCTGTAAATCAATCGTCAATCACTCTTGAACCGAAACCGAGAATGCAGGGTCCACATATCGCCTTTTTTGCACGGGTTATATACTCAATCAATTGATACCGTACTACAGATCGTTTAAAAGAAAAGGAAAGAGGAGAAGAGAAGAGAGAAGAAGCTATCATAATCCTTCATGCAAGCAATCTAGGCCTTAAACATGTACATACTCTCACTCACCCTTGCGTTTTTTGTGTTACATACGACGTAATCGTTTCTGCCAAGTAGCAACCGCATCACCACCACCGCTACCAAGAACAGCCCCAAGTTCGCTCAGCGGCATTATATAAGACCTTCTCTTTTTATCGCGATCGTTTTCCTCTTTCCTCCTTCTTCTTTACTTTCTCACACTCACCAAAACTCAACACCTCAGCTTTTCATATAAACAATCAAAACATGTCTGGTAATTTCCTCGCCACTTTGAAATCCTTCTTTAGCATTTTTACTGACAAAAAACCAACCTCGTCGTCGTCGTCTCCTGCTGCTGCTACTCCTGCTGCCGGCAATGACTCGTCGTCGGCGTTGAAACCAAAATCAACAGAATCCAGCTACATTGTTACTTTTAAGAAAGATACGCCTGAGTCGGTGATTGACGAGGAAGTCGAAAAGGCCAAGCGTTCTGGCGCCAATGTTACAAACGTTTACAAAGCCGCTCTCAAGGGTTACTCCGTCACCGTCCCCGACGACAGCGTAGGCACATTCTCAACCAACCTCAATCAAGAGCATGTTGAGCAAATTGAGGCTGACGGCGAGGTCTCCACCCAAGGCAAAGCTCTTCTTGCCTAATAAGCAAGCTTGCTTTTGATAGTTCCTTTTCTATACCTTTCTCTTATCAGAAACCCATTCTACTTGTGTATCTCTTTCTCTTTCGGAAATATATATACTCTCAAACGTGTGCTTAGTATGTGTCATGGAAAGCACACACATTTGTATATGACATATTGAATGTGTCACCGTCAAGTAGACGACGGGGCAATAGGCGCATATGTTGATGGGCGGTGGGTGGGTGTGTGTATAGCGAAGGCAGCCAGCCCCAGTGCACTAATGCTGGGCGGAGTCCTTTCCTTTCAGTCACACGGTTGACAGCGAATCATGCCAGCGGGGAACTTTTTTTCTCTCTTTCATTTACTCTGTGGCCCCCTTGTTTATTTTTGACATGCTCTCTCGTTCGACACGACGCAGTGCGATAGCACTGATCCGTTGTGCTAAACCTAATAACAGCACTGGAAGCAATGTATTGATTCGAGCCAAACATACCCGAGCAAATGTAAACCTCAACCGACGCAACATTACAAACAGCATTCCAAAACCGAGACAAGTGGCACCTGGAAGCAACAAGCTTGTCAATGAAAAAGCTCTTGACATTGAAGATAGCGTTATCCCAACAGAGGAGGCCAACGACATAGTGAGCGATCTCGAAACTGTTGCTGAAGCCAAGGATGTCAACAAACGAATCTCAGGACGGTCGCCGATACTTTTAGGTGATTTTGTCGAAGCTTTCCAGTATGTTCTTTTTTTTATCTAACATCATGGTCTATTTAGGAAAAAAATTGATGCTAAATTAACGTCTCTTTTTTTTTACATAGAAACGGACAGTATAGCGGCGTAGTTGTTGGGCAGCGAAGCGCCAGTGGCGGACGCCAAGTTTTGACGATTTTACTAAAGAACGGGAAAACCAGAGAATTTAGCAGCACAACGATTGCTCACGTCGTTCCGAGATTCATCCAAAACGATGTGCGATTGCGAAATTTTTCGTTCGATCCATCAGCCGGAACGATGCCTAACGATACGTACCCAGTGGCAGATTTCAGTCGACGAATTTCGGAATATCAACGCACGATTCAGTTACGCAAAGGATTAGGATTGAAGCGTCTGAGCGATTTACACAACGTCTTCAGGTCAATGTTGGTCGCGAACTCAATTGTAGAGGACAGGGATGTATCGTATTATGACACGTTCTCGTTAGAAACCTTGGCTCAATGGGCTTTCAATACACGAACACCGTCGACGGAGCAACTCCATGCCACGTTTTTGCACTTGATTAACGACAATGTGAATTTTATTCCTACGATCAATGTACGCACGTCGGGTCTTTGGATGTTTCGACCAAAAAAAGAAACAAAACTTATCCAAGAGATTACTGAATCCGTACGATCCAACGACGAGGCGTATACAGGATTTATCAGACGAGCCAAGCAGCTTGTCGAGTTTTATCAAGCACATGCGGATCCGCTCTTGGGCACTTTTTCACATGCTTCATTGGACGTGGCGAAAGCGTCGTACAATTTGACGGAGACAGATGCCAAGTTTATCAACTTTATTGCGGATTGGGTAAAGTCGCCAGCTACGGGTATCCACACGCCTCATGAAATATTTGCACCCACGATATTAAAGGGACTAGGCTGCTACTCGGACCATTTATTCGTGGATCGGGGATTGGCTATGCAATTCTTAAAGCAGATCGGCATGTTCAAACCTTGGGATAATTCCATGTTGATTCAGAACGCTGGCAATTTGGTGGACGACTATGTATGGTCGGACAAGGCCACCAAAATGGATGAAACAATGGAGCGACATGCCAATATCTTTTTGCAAGGTCAATTGGATCAGTCGGGCTTCCATGCGCGGGATCCATGTGATGCGATTCGACATGACTTTGGAGATATGCCTGTTTACACTATAGACGACCAGGCAGCCAAAGAAATTGACGACGGTATTTCTATCGAGCGGATACCTGGTAGTAATGGCGACGACGTATGGTTACATGTCCACATTGCCGATCCATCCGCTTATATCCCTCCCACACACGAGCTGGCCAAGGTGATGGAGCAGCGGGGACAAACTCTGTATCTACCCGAGCAGCATTTTCCAATCCTACCAAGCTCGTTGGCATCCGAGAAATTCAGTTTGGGATCATCAGCGCACACCAACAGCAACGGATCGCAATATGCACTCACATTTAGTGCTAGGCTCAATAAGGCGGGCGACATGCAGGCATGGAAGCTTCGGCCAAGTTTGGTCAAGAATGTCAAGAAACTGTACTATAGCGATGTCGACGAATTCATTTTACCACATGCAGCTGATACAGTTCCTTCAGAGCCGCTTGTAGATTTCAACAAGAAATTCGCGCATCCGACATCAATACCACCTTTGCACCAAGCATCATCATCATCATCATCATCAGTAACCAAAGAATGCGAACAGGATTTATTGGATATTTTCAAATTGACTTCCCAGCATAGCCGGTTTCGATTCGATCAAGGAGCACTCAATTTTGTACGACCCAATCCCTATGTCGAGCTCGAACCTCAACCACTTGCCTTGCCGAATATCCACTTTGCGTCTCCATCACTCAGCTATGCTTCAACATTACCCGTGGTTCGCGTTGGTTTGGATAACTCGAGCATCTCTCCTGCCAAAAGAATGGTTGCTGAAGCCATGATTATGGGTGGTCGTATTGCCAGCCACTATGCACAAGAACATGGTGTCATTATTCCACACCGAACGCAAACATGGCCCGACAATGCATCCAATACAGATATTGAACTACGGCAACACATGCTCAACGAACGTGATTCCAGTACGGGTGTGATTGGATTACGAAATGTACTTCAATATCTCGGCATTCTACCACCAGCATCAATCAGTACAACATCCGGGTTACCACATATTTTAATGGGTATTCCCAACGGTTATGTCAAGGCAACATCCCCCTTGCGTCGATATTTGGATATTGTCACTCATTGGCAACTCAAAGCCCATCTATTGAAAGAGCCCGCGCCATTCACCCAAGACAGGTTGGAAACGGTATTAATACCACGCATGGAAGCAAGGGAAAAACAGCTATCGTTCTTGCAGCAAGATTGTCTGCAATATTGGGTGATCGAATTGATGCAACGGCTGATGGCGGATAGTCACGGTAAAGAATTGGAGTGGACGTGTTTGGTCAACACACCAAATCGTGCTTCTAAATCCGAGCTGGGTGGTGCCACAGAAACTGCACGAGCAACGATTATGGAATTGGGACTTCGAGCGCGTATTCAGAATTTGAAGACGAGTTTGCACACGGGCGATGTTGTCAAGACACGTGTTGCTAAGTTGGACTCGTTCCGAGGCTTTGTAGATTTAGAACTTGTATAGAATACTCATTCTTTTAATATTTACTGTTGCTTACCCTTTGTTATGTAACTAGAACAATTAAAAGCACTTATCATAATTTAACAGCTATATTCTTGTTTGAGAAGAAAGTTTATAGTCAATGTATATATCAACATTTCCCTTAGTAACTGTGCAATCTTTTAAGAGTATGAAGCATACCGTGATGATCATCCGTGCGAGTTCTAACACGAATCTCGTACCACGATACATCTGTGGTAAAAGCTATTTTAAGTTTCTTCCACGATGGTTTAAGTTGGTATTGATTGTTGGGTGCTCATTTAAAACTAATTCAAGTTGCCACACCACATCATATTAACATGTGAATGTACCAGATTTGCCGCTGATGGGATATGGCTGTTATTTCATTGGGTTATTGTTGCTGCATACACTTTTTACAAAGTTAATATTAAAGGAGTATTTTTACGACACCGTGAAGCATTTTGTCAAGAAGATCTTAAAAGTGGTGATAGTTGGTAAGTAAAGTGGAAAACGTGTTAGTGTATTATCGTCATACCTTCAAACAGTAGCCAGATATATGAGACACAGTAATGTAATTATTTTAGTAGTACTTCTTTACTAACTACCTCACAATGGAGTTGTAGAAGAAGAATCATCCCTTTCTTCAAAGTACACGCTACCAGACTATATCATAGTATACTTGTGATCAATGTTAGAAAAAGCCTGGAAAAGTGCAGATGAACAATTTTAATTTTAAATAAAGTCATACTTTGATAAACATAGAGCAAAGTAAAACATTAAAAGTAGGCCTCACTGATACAACATTTGAGTCTACTTATTGTGAAGGCCGAGGACGATAATATATTACAAGTCAAAATAACTACTGCTGTATACATATAATTGCCACGCTTAAAATATCAGTGAACATAATAACAATCGAAAAGGGGCGATTCTACAATATGTATGTATGTGAATTTCTTAGCTACTTGTTTCTCATCCAGCTCTCTTTCCCTCATTTCGCTTCTTTATTTGTGCTTATGGGCAACAATAACAATCAACGAGCACTCGGTGACCTGCTCCCTTGGCCAACTTTTGTTCGTTTGGATCAAGTGTAACTATTGTCCTTGACATAGTTCAGCTGTATGCGTGAAATATATCCCAAGTCTTTAGTCTATCACCCTATACGTACATATATCTTATTGACGCTGCTGAGCCTGCGGCTGCGAAGTAGATGGTGAGGTCGTGTGCGTGCGCTGCATACAGCAACACCATGACGTTGCCCACTTGACCTCCCTTTCCTCTTCATCCTCCTAGAATGAGGATAACGATGAATCAATAAAAAGGTTTTGTAGTCGACGATTCCGAGTGCAGCAGCATCAGTATCAGTAACACCACCAGCAGTACTACTAGCAACAGTACTACCAGCAGTAGCAGCGTTGCCATTGCTCCTGTCATTGATATCTGCAGCAAGTGAGAGCAGAACTAGCTCGTAGTTGCTTTTTCCATTGTCTCTTATTCATTTTAATGTACATCAATAGTCCTACCTTTTTATTGGTAGTATAATATTGACAAGCCTCCCGTTGGATACGATTATTAGGTTTACCAACTTCACCTTGGCGTATCGTGAATGCTCAATGCATACTGTAGTTTAAATTGGTAAATAGAATATACACGCTTCACTAAAAGGACGCGAGCTCCAGCATAATGCTTTAATTAGCCTTCGTACTTTACCGCATTTCAGTTTCCTGAATTCAATTTAGGGTGTTCTGCTTCCATCATGCGCAGTGTCGCCTGCAACATGCTCCAAGTGAAACCAATGTGTCAGTAAAGCTCCTTATACCCTATCTCATATTACCGTATTAGTATGAGTGTGATCGATGGGGGCTGTGTATTTACCAAGAGAGTTTTTGATTCCTTCTCGCTTGCCCTGTTGAGGGAAGATGCTTTATTGTGAACTCAAGTACCACTTTCAGTTGCACACATGATACTTTGGCTAATAGCGGTTGCAGAGGTAGTTGATCCCTTTTGCTGATTTTTCTGGGCCGAACATGCGCATTCTGCGGATGATGAACGCACGCTTCCTGAATTGGTGCCCAATTCTCGGTTATTCTCTTCCCCGTCCGGGGTCCATTCATTAATCAATGTTTAATCAAAGACTTATATGTTCTTTATCAACAGACTTGACATATTTACTGCTATAGCAATTGATTGTATTACACCTCGGTTTGCAGCGCATAGCAATAGCTGCTCACGTTGTTTGCCAGGGAAAAAGAAGTTTTTGGAACAGCTACGAAGGAAAAAAGCGATATTTTACAACTGGCATCATTCCCGGCCGGCGTGTGAATAATTCGTGTTATACTAATGACAGGCAGTAGTAGTATATTCATGTATCACATAGATCATTCCGATAGAAATCTTGATGATTTCTTCTCCTTATGGCATATCCGATTCGTGAATGACGTTGAGTAAGAGGTACTATCCGTTTGCGGGAACAAACCTTTGTAGTTTATAGGAGATATAGAAGAGAGACTATTATATTACACGCGTCGTGCGTTAGGTAGAGTTGGTTTAGACGGTCACTCGTCAAGCTCGCTTTGCGTGAAGGAGTTTTCTGTTAGTGTTGTAAATCTAGGATACCACGATGTAGTAATGTTGCTGATACCTGCACCACCTGAGCTATACATACGCTTTATGCCATCGGTTGGTCCGGCAAAGTCAGCTATATGCACTCAAGGATAATAATCACGTTACTTATGCTTGGATTTGACTACGATCTTCATGCTCGTTTTTGGATAATATCGCGAGGAAAAGCTAGAGTGGAGTATCAAGCTAATGAATAATTCCATCGACAACTTATATTGACATTGCACAGCTAACAACTTCCCTTGTTCTTATGATCCTCGTTGTACGAGTACTCGCTGGGCTGTCATTCGATCCCACAAACTCATGCTTGCTATGCCAGCAAGGTTTTTTTTTGTCAATGCTAGCTGGTTTTCGGTTATTGATACTTTTAAAGACGAGGGACAGTATAGAAAATCCGTTTACAAAGAAGTTTGCTTTAAAGATCAGCTTCGTCCTTGTGTTTTTCCTTTTACTTGATTTTTTCCTTTTACTTGATAAGTATTGCTAATACAATAACAAACAGCACATGTTTGATAGACGGGGGACAACAACAACAAGGCCTTTATTTAAATTGGTCAAATTCCTAAAGAGGCTCGTCCAAAAACGAGAGTGTCGATGTCTTAGCTTTCCGGGAAGGTGCATCGGCATCTGCTCCCGAACCCTCTACCACAAAGCTGGGTTCTGTCTTGGTCGCTTTAGGTATTGAGATGCCAGCGGTCTCACCAATCAACTTACCTACTTAGAAGTCGCCCCGTGCCTACAAAACAAGCATCAGCACCCACCCTTGCGCTTACCTACCCTCACTCACACTCACACACACTGAAAAAAAAGGAAGGGACTTACCACATGTGATCGAGAAAAAGCGAGGAAGCAGCACGCTGCGGAAAATGGGTGCCTTTTCATGCACACGTTCAAGACCCCGCTTCTTTTGAAAAAAAAAAAAATACCCCCACTCCCATCCACAGGTCCGTGCTAACAACGCGGGGAACAATGACAGATCTTCTGTATCGTAGCGACAGTATGTAACACTATTACAACGCGCTTTACCACACTTTGGTACGCGTTTTTCACCTATTTTTTTTTTGTTTCTATCTTCGCGTAGTTCGTTCGCAAAAATAATCGAAAGGAAAAAAATTATTCGGAGGGTACCATCCGAAACCTGTTTTTTGTTTTGTTTTGTTTTTTTTTCACATGTATCATACATCACCCGTACACACGCCGAGGAAGTAAACACCACGTCTGATTGGCTTTGTGTCGCTACTGCTAAGGGAGGTGGATGAGAAAATGAGCAAACCCAACAGCACTATCAACCTGAAAAAGCAGCCTGTATCGATAATAGTAGTTCTAGGATGACGCGCATACTATGCTGAAAACAGCCATGCTGCTCTATAGTCTGCCCTTGACAGTTTAGTTTAAGCTGTCCACATCCATCATTGCGGGCTTGGAGGATCGGCAACCGATAATTGCGTGAGAATCGATGTCTACTTGGGAGACGGAGTGCTGGGAGTCTCTCATGCGAAAATCGTAGGCTGGACCTCATGGTGCCTTGTGCGAGCAAAACATCCCCTTTTCTTTTCTGCCGAGCATCAGCATCGTTGAAGAAAAGGAGAGGGTGTTTTGATATCATTTAAACGTCAAGTCGTTACAATATTTTGAAACACACCTCTTTCAAAAAATGGCATTTCTGATATATTATAGTGCACGCCACGCTGAACGCGAGACCCGTTTACGCGACAAGGCTAGCAGCAGCATGAAACAGCAAGTTCAGGAAATGGTATTAGGGAGTCCTTGAACAGCCTGGACCGCAAGTTGCCAGTCTATCATAATCATGTGGGCGTGTGTGCGCTGCGCACTGCTTTCCATGAATTGTAGGGGTTGATGATACCAAAAGATATAAATACGCCCACATTTTTCAGGCCATTTCGTTTTTTCTCTTCACTCTTTCTTTCCTTCATTTTTCTTTTTCCTTCACTCCCTTGGTTCCTCCTGGTCTTTCTCTTGGCTCTTCCCTTGGCTCTTCCCTTGGTCCTGGTGTTGCCTCCGTTGCGCCTGTCCAACCCTTATTTCCGGTAATCCTGGCTGCCTCAACTGGTCCCTGCTTTGGTTTGTCCAGTCTCGCGTTCAACGGTGTTGGTCACAACCGGTCTCCTAGTGAGACCAGAGGACGGAGGAATCCTTTTCGGTTTCTCGCCATAGAAATATGGTAGTGTCCTTTTGGTTGGATGCCTTGTCTGCTGGTCTGGTCTACTATGGTGGGGATCGCGTTCGACTCTCGGCAATCGACTCTCGGCAATCGACTCTCGGCAATCGACTCTCGGCAATCGACTCTCGGCAATCGACTCTCGGCAATCGACTCTCGGCAATCGACTCTCAACATCGACTCTCAAGGCTAGACTCATCGCTTTTTCTCTTCTCTTTTCGATCACGTATGGTAAGTCCCTTCCTTTTTTTCTGTGTGTGTGAATGTGAGTGAGTGTGAGTGAGGGTAGGTAAGTGTAGGGGTGGGTGCTGATGCTTGTTTTGACACGGAGCGACTTACTGTATAAGTTAGGTTTTTCCCACCATAGTAGACCAGACCGGGAGCAAGGCATCCAACCAAAAGGACACTACCATATTTCTATGGCGAGAAACCGAAAGGATTCCTCCGTCCTCTGGTCTCACTAGGAGACCGGTTGTGACCAACACCGTTGAACGCGAGACTGGACAAACCAAAGCAGGGACCAGTTGGAGGCAGCCAGGATTACCGGAAATAAGGGTTGGACAGGCGCAACGGAGGCAACACCAGGACCAAGGGAAGAGCCAAGGGTGACACTGGGGATCGCGTTCGACTCTCGGCAATCGACTCTCGGCAATCGACTCTCGGCAATCGACTCTCGGCAATCGACTCTCAACATCGACTCTCAACATCGACTCTCAAGGCTAGACTCATCGCTTTTTCTCTTCTCTTCTCGATCACGTATGGTAAGTCCCTTCCTTTTTTTCTGTGTGTGTGAATGTGAGTGAGGGTAGGTAAGTGTAGGGGTGGGTGCTGATGCTTGTTTTGACACGGAGTGACTTACTGTATAAGATAGGTGATTGCAGGTAAGTGGATTGGTGAGACCGCTGGGCATCTCAATACCAATCGGACCCTCCGAGACCCCAAAGCGTTCAAGACAAGACCCTAGCTTTGTGGTGAGAGGGTTCGGGAGCAGATGTCGATGCACCTTCCAGTGGTTGCTCCTGTCAGTACCTGCTCTAGAAGCAGAGAAGCTAAGACATCGACACCCTATTAGTAATTAGTAGTTAAATGTACCAAATAAAAATTGTTTCTTTTAACTTTTCACCCGTTAAACTTGTATGTACATGTTTGATATTGATGTAAGACTTCTTCATGCGAAGCGAGGAGGGAGCTCAAGGGCTCGTTCAAGAAGATGATATATGTTCAGATTTGCTGCGAGATCATCAATTTTGTTCCAGATTGCACAATGGAGACAGTTGCAACGAACAATATAGTTGCCACTGTGATCGTCTGCAAAGCAGTCAATGTCGATGGAGAACAAACTTGTCTGAGATTCAATCCTACAGTTTATTTTTGCCGGTATATGGAATGAAATTTGCAGCGCGTGTAGCGATCCTCTACAATTATCCTTTACTCAACTCCACAAATGGTTTTTCTCATTCTCAAATTCCAATTCTCCATATTCCCACAGTGGGCGAGCTGGGTTAGAGGCGAATAAGAAAAAAAAATATGAGTTTGCTAACTGTGAGTAATGTTAGCTGGAAGTGCGCATACTGTAGGGATTCACATTGCGTTTAAGCGTTGCGGCAAAGACAATTCCTCAAGTTATCAACTTAAGGTTCATATGCATTTTAATAGTTGGCATTCTTGCAATCATCAGTTATGAAAGTAATATGCCAATAGACCGACCTCTTTACCATTGCACAGTAGTGCCGCTGCTACGTTGATGGAAGAATGAGTCATTCTTTTATATCTTGTACGTTGACACAGTAACTCCAATGCTATGATACGCAATATTAGTGAAATATGCTCAATACAACCAGGTATTGCTTCCCCAGGAGCAGCTGCACATTTTGTCTTCAATACTGGCACAGCTTCTCAGCAAATCCGCATCGATGCACCTGGGCTACAAGTGTAATCTTACAAAAAGAGTAACAAATGCAAAGTGCGCCATGATTCGTACCTTCTGAACAGCATCCTTAAAACCAAGAATGAGGGCAACCATCATTGTTCCCTACCATTTCTTCTTTCAGCTGTTATGCTATATTTGTTGTGTCGTACGGCAAATGAGAGCGTTTCATAAAGTAGTTATATCTCTTATCATAGGGCTAGGCTCAGGTCATGTAAGATATCAGCGCCTTACTATTATATGTTCTTCCGGAGCATGATACTTTTTTTTGTAAAGCTAAATATGTTGTCAATTGATACCAAACCCGCTTACAGTGAGAGTTAAAATGTTACAAAACATGGGGACAAGTACTTGTTTGGGTGCGAATATCTTCTGCAAATTATAAGAGTATTGTATCTCAATTTCGGTATGGGAGGAGAACTGTTCATAACTTGCCTATTCGTTATAATGTGGAAAGCGAAGACAAAAACTTTAAAAACAGAAGGAAAGAATTCCCGCCTGCGGCCACTTTACAGAACGCTTAATGTGATATTGCCTCGATGAAGTGATGATAAGAAGGATCAATATTACACATGAGACAACTTTTACTGATCCATCAAGTATGGAAAATGTGCATACGCTGAAATGGCAGCAAAAAAGCTAATTTTTATCAAAAGCACTTGTCAAAACATGCGAATGAGCAACGTAGCTAAAGTTTTGAAAGTAATCTCTCATATGTGCTTCGAGGGATGCTCCATGGTTATCCACAGGTGATTCTTTGATCGCCTCGCTTGTGAACTTGTCAGAGAAGTTCTCAGCAAGCTCAGGTTTGGTCTATTAGAACAATTATTGGGAATTAGCATGTGAGATCGACCGACAAGGAATGCGCATATATAGGTCTGAATAAAGTGAAACTTACAACAACAGGTATAATGGGAGGTGTCATTTTGCGTGCCTTGAGGTCTTCCCAGTTGATTTTGCGGAACCAGCGGTGTGATTTCACGCGCTTGGTGCCATCATTGCCACTTCCAAGACGACCATTTGGATTTTTACGGAGGAGCTAAAACGAGCATGTCAGAATAAGTAAATTGTTCCTGGTGCGTTTGTGTGTGTGGGAACAAGAAGGACGGCGCCGCCACTTGCCTAAAATTTATCAGATGGGAGATGAATCGGAGCTTGCCGCTTACTTGAACTTCCGTGATGGTGATGGATGCGTCAAAAAAAACATAGAAGGCTAAAACGGTTTACCCGAGAGGTAGAGAAAACAAATTTGTTGTAACAGCCTTCCCAATACACGAAACCTGTGCCCTTCTCTCTCTCTCTTGATTCACACAATTTCTTTACAACAAAACTATTAGTACTACGACAAAAACACACAAACAATGTTTGCCAACGCGATTCGAAGAGCAGCAACGCAATCCGTTATACTACGTCGCGCATACACAAGCAGTAGTAAAGCCAACAGCAACAAAGCTACTGAACGATTGACCGAAGCCATTAAACCGAAAATGAACCAAGCCAAGGAAAAGGCCAAAGAAAAGGCAGCACCCAAAGTTGGCAAGCTCAAAGAACTGGCACAAAAGTATGGTGCCTCGGGCGTGATTGTGTACCTTGGTATTGGCATGGTCGATCTCGGTGTGTCGTTTGCAGGCATTCAGTTCCTGGGTCAAGAAAAGGTCAAGCAGCTGGAAGACACGGTGATTAATACGGTCAATGGGTGGCGTGGAAAGCCTCCAAGACCTGAACGCACTGAGGAGACAGAGAAAGAAGAACAACAAAAGGCATCACTTGCTTCGGTGTTTGTGTTGGCATATGGCATCCACAAGACATTGTTTTTGCCTTTCCGAGTCACCGTAACGGCAGCAATTACCCCGGCATTTGTCCGCAAGATCCATGCTCTTGGATGGAACAAGTACGCGCCTCGATTGTTTGGTGTCGCAAAAAAAGAAATTGGCAATGCAGCAGCTACTAAGGCAATCAAGCCATGACAATGATTTGATGCTTTCGAGACTTTTAGATAAACTGTTAGACGACACTCCCCCACCCACCCAGCACATCCATTCACTACCGCATATTTACATTTATTTAATTATAAACCGACCCACCCATTTCCAACATCTGTACACTTATTCATTGTAACAAAACCTTTCATACCACTGCTGCAAAGTTGGCTACTACAAGAAGAAAACATATGCCGAAATACTAGTTTTATTTCTGGTCAGAGAGAAGGGTTTGATATAATTTACAGATGGGGTGGGGTTCTTCTGTTGCGCGTAGACATCCAGTGGATGTCACATTAAGAAGGCATTGGGTTAAAAAGGTGGGGTGGGGAAGGGATAACTATGGTACCTTTTCTTTTTCGGTTGGTTCATGGGGTTATATGTACATGTTGTTGTTGAGAGTAAGGATACCCAATTTTACACGAATACAAATGGTGGTGGTAAAAAGATATATGATGCGACGCCGGGTTTTGAAGGTTACGAGAAGGGCGAGGAATTGCTGATTTAAATAGTATATGCGAAAGAATGATGTTGTGTGTCGTTATTTGGCTGGATGGGTGTTTATACGATGATGGGTGATGTTTGTGTGTGTATTTTGAGTAATTAAGATCGCTTTTTCTTCTTGCTTTTCGGTTTGGTGGATTGTGGAGGTGGTAAAGGGATGGCTTCTTCACCGTTGGCCTGTGCCACAATTCGATGCTTGACCTCACGACCCGCCGTGTTTGTGTAGTACTTTTCCAACTTTTTGCCCAGTTGGTGCGCAAAAGTAATGGGAGCGTTGTAGGTATAGCAGTTGTTGAACATGAGATGCAAATCATCATCGATCTGTTGCAAACTGTCGTATTGGCCCGACTCGAGTTTTTCAGAGATGGTTTGCAGATCCATCGGTTGGTTGACAATGCTCAGATAGTCCGTGAACGTTTCCGTATCCACTGGCGTGTTAAATATCATGGCTGCGTTGTGGGATCGCAATTTGTTAATGACTTTGCGTGCCAATTCAACATTCTCCCCTTCCAACCGGTCTGGAACACCGTATTTCTTGGCCCAAAGCTCGTTAAAGTAGCCTTCGAACGTTTTTGCTTGTTGGGAATAGTGGGATTCGGCGCCGTTGAACTGCAAGCAGTTGTACACGATTTGGCGGATATCTCGAACAAAGTCGCTAGTCGTTGCGTATTGTTCGGAGTCGAGCTTGGATTGGATCGTAGAGAGATCCATGGGCCGCTTGATGTCTTGATAATACTGAGGTAATGCATTGGGATCCACCTGTTTGAGTTGGAAACAGTAACACGTTATGTCAATACATCTCCTTTCGAACAAAGGAAATCTATCGTACTTACTGGTAGCCGGAAAGCTTCAGAGCTAGCATGTGCCACAAGTTTCTCCAAGATACGTCCACATCGTTTCCGATTACTGCGATCCATTTCTGCTTTTCTCTCTTTGTGTGGTCGGGATGGTGGATGTTGTGCTACATCTGCTTCTCCTTGCGGTGGCACAGTGTCTTCTTCTGTCGGTGTTGCTCCTGCTACTTCAGCTTGTTGGTGAAGCACACCTTCGTCTTGAACATCATGATGACCGTTCACCGTACGATCATGGACATGGGCAGCATGTTCCAACCGAGGTTCAGTCATGGGAGGGGTACCCAACGCGTCCTCCTCAGCTTTCCGTTTCTCGCCAAACCATTGTCGCCATTCCGCCTTGTACTCCTGCTCAAGCTGCTGGCCTTCATTGAACACATAAGTACCGAGTGGATTGAACGAATAGCAGTTGCTAAACATGAGTCGGACGTCGCTGTCAAATTGACGCGGGTCGTCATATTCGTTGTTGCTCAGCTTGGCCTTGACGGTGCCGAGATCCATGGGGTTCTTGATTACTTGGAAATAATGCGGGATGTTTTGTTTGACTGGATCGACAGGTCGTAAGAATTCAAATGCATGTTGGTTTTCCATGATGTGGGAGAGGATCGCAGCACACTTCTCCAGGTCTGTCTTTTCCACAAGGGTATCGTCTGTGTTGGGCGTCAACGTATTGTCCATTGGCGTTTGTGCTGCCGTTGTTGGCGTTGACAGGTCATCGTCATCACCGATAGCGGCAGAACTTGCTGGGGCCTCCACGATCGTCATGTTTTGCATTTCTTCCACACCACGCAATTTCCGCAACTCATCATCAAAAACGGATTCCAACGTCTGGCCTTCATTGTAGACATACGTTCCATGTCGGTTGTATGTGTAGCAGTTGTTGAAAATGAGTCGAATGTCCTTTTCAAACTCGTCGAACGACGTGTAAATCTTTCGATCTAGTTTAGCCTTCACGGTACCAAGATCCATCGGTTCCCTAAATATATGTTTCTTTAATTGTCTATTCGTATTGGAGGTGAAACTATAGAAGTTCTTACTTGATGATCTTGTAGTAATCAGGAGCACCGTCAAGGGCTTCATCTACTGGCTGTACAAATAAGAGAGCTGCACGATTCTTTTGTAGTTTGCCCAAGATGCGTCGGCAATCTTTCGCTTGGCCGGCTGGCATTTCTGTAGGTTCTGGTGGGTAAGGAGTTTTGATACTGGGTCGAGTCGGTTCGGGTGATGTGGTAGATGAGGGCGGTGGTGAGACTGGGATGACTTTGGTAGGTTGTGTTTTGATGCGCACCATCTGCTTCTTTGGTTTCTTTGGTGTCTTTGGCTCTTCAACTAGAAGCATATTTTAATTGACCACATTTTCTCCCACAGATCCTCTCTCAAAAAAGTTCTAATAAGCCAACACCAAAGAAATTTACCTGTTTGCTCTTCAGGTGGCGGCGGCGGTGGTTTGGGTACACTAATGAGAAGTAGCGTAGGCGGTTTTTCTGCAGGTTTTTCTGCAGGACTTTCTTCAGGTTCTTCTAATATTTCTTCCTGTATCTGATACGTGGAGAGTTTGAGTATATCTTAACACACACGCACACACACGAGCATAATAAAGACACGGAAAATGCTTTTTTACCTGTGTAGGAGGCATGCGAATGGTGACCTTCAAACCAGAATCAATTGGCTTGTACATGTATTCACAAAGTTGTAGCAAGTATTTTCGTGTGCAGTGGTCCAATTCTGACAAATTTTCCGCAGATCTACAAGAGCAAATGAAAGGTTAGCATTTAGACAAAGATCGTAAAAGACGAAGATAATATACGCACGTAAGCATCTCCCACATGGATTTTTGCAATTCACTGTTGTCTTCAAAACGTTTTCGCAAACCCTCAATGCCTTCTTCAAGTTGTTGTTGCTGAGCCATATTTTGCAATCGAGCTTGTTCGTTCTCAACAACAGCAACATTGGCACGACCTTCTTCTTCCGCAAATTCCTCGACCACTTGCTTGCTGTTGTTTTGTGTTGCCTCAATCTTCTCTTTCATGGCCAAACCAAGCCAGGCAAGCATGGATCGTGCTATGTAGTGCGATACACTTGCAGATGGATCGGATTTGATGACATTGAAATAGTATCGTACAAGGTCGTTGTTTGTCAATCCCCATAGGATCATGAGACTATCAAAGGCTGCGCATCGCACACCAACATAATTGCCATATCTAAAATATTATAAGACCATAATTAATATATACCTCCTTTGATTGTCCAAACCTTTTTTTGCTAGATGATAAGACATGGTCTTACCTTGTATAGTACAAAAATAATGAAGGGTCCACAGCCATCAGTCCATTCAACATCAATTTAGTGATAGTCTAAAAATAAACAAAATACAAACTAGATTAAACAAAGCACGTGGTACGAGTAGATGTCAGAATGATTGCACACCCAAGCCAAATACCTGTAAGCAGCTGATAGTAACGACATTGTGGTATGAAGGAACGACATAGTCGAGTGTACGGAAACGTTCGATTTCTGCTTTGGCAGCTTCCAGCAACTGTTCATCTTCGGGGCTACGTGGTTCACCTTCTCGTGGTCCAACGACTGAAGGATCGGATGATGGTATAAGTGCATCGCCAAGTGCAGAAATCAGAGTAGAAACGTAATAATTGTCGGAAAACTAGAAGAAATTGATTGTGTTCGTTGATATACACATACAAAAAACACACACATACACACGCACAAACAAAGATACAGTCGAGACGATAGGTATTGATGATGATGACTTACTTCATTTCCGGTATTATCGTTATATTTTAAAAGATCCAGAATGAATTGACGGACTTTGATAGGGACATGGCCAGTTTCGTCTCGAACTTGTGAAAACGCAACGACCGCGGCCTTTTGTAAGAAGTAGTCGCCCAAGTTTGAGAAATCATTAGGTTTAGGGATGACGCGTGTGATAGGAAGGTGATGATGTTTGTTGTCGTCGTCAATGTCCATGTATGAAGGGGGTAGCGGGAAGCAGAAGCGTCTTTGGAACATCTTATTCAGCTGGAGTAACCCAACCCAATGCAATTCGGGTTTTGCACACTGATTACCCGTTTTACACAAACATAGCCAAGGGGATTAATAATTTCCATGGCAACTATACCTTTAAGCCACATCCCCCTCCTCACTATCAAATAAACTCACCGAAGAGAGCGCATAGGCTGCTTCCATTCGAATCTTATAGAAACACTTTGGATCCAAGAGCGCTCGCAAAAGACTTGTTGAAGTTTGCAGCGAAGCCATCCTCTTCAATGCACTCACAGCCTAAGAAGTTTAGAAATTTATAGGTGAGTCTCTCTACATGATAATGCTCCCTTCTCACCAACCTTACCTCATATTGGGCCACCACATCCCGGTCCTTTGTCAATTGCGCAGCCCACATGAAATCTGGCTGCTTGAATTCCAATTGACACAGCCACTCGAACTCGGCATCCAATCGAATCCAATCAAATGTCGCGCTCGCTGCACCACTATTCTTGTCGCTTTCTGCATCTTGACCCCACTCTGCAATCCTCCAGTCCTTCTTTTGCTGTTCATCCTCAAACACAGCCATGCCGAGACCGAACATCGGTATGATCCCCAGGCTGCCTGTGTTAGCCAACGCTGCTTCTTCGTCGTTTTCGATGTCTTCTTCAGCCACAGCTGCAGCGGCCGCTGCTTGTTTGGCCAGAAACCGTTTGGTGTTGCGTCTAATACGTTTGTACTTGGTATTGAATTGAACTTCAAATTTGTGGGCAAGGTCAGTAATGTCGAGGATGTGTTCGTAGGGCGTACCGTCGGCTTCATGGATACGTGCGGTTAAACTTCCTGTAAATCTTGGTGTCACGAGATAATCGATAGGCACTTGTTGATTGTTGCCATCGTTATTGTTGTTGTTGCCGCTGCTATTCTGATTGTTGTTCGTGGTACCACCACCTCCAGCTTGAGCATTGGTGTTTTCTTGATGCATGATAAACTCGACAACCATCCGCTTCCGATTAAAATGAAAGTCGAATATGAATTTCGGACATCCGCTCTTATAGATCCACTGTTCTGCAAACAACCGTGTGTCGTAACCGCTCACTTTGCGACACAGCTTCAAGAAATGATGCGTGCTGATGGCGTTTTGAGCAAATTCACCGCTCATGGCTGATAGCAAAATTTTACGAAGGACACGCGCGAGCCCGAGATTATTGCCACCTTTACACATGCGTTTGTCGAGCATGTATACGACTAGCGGTGCTTTGAGATCGATGAAGTCGAGATCTTCAGGATCCAGTGGGAATGGTAATGCTTGGTTGTACAGTGGTGCTCGATTGACGTCCAAACTGCAGCATAGATCGATATCCTATCCCACCAAAAAAAACAATGTCGGATTTTGTGAGTGCCACGCGAAAAAAAGATGAGCGAGCAAAACTTTCAAATTTAGTAGCTTACTCTTTTCATGCGTAATCGATATTCGTTGTTGCCAAGATGGCGTTTGATGAATAAGGATGCCATGTAGTTAGCAAGACCGCACATGAGCCAGATGTCAGGCCACGCCTTGGGTGATATGTGTACGCCAAACCATTGTTTTGCTAGTGCGACACTGAGCGCCCAGCGGGTATGGTAGGTTTGGTCGATGATGTCAGGCGAGTGTAAAAGATGGGAGCTGCAGACGGTCAATGAAGCACTTGTTGCTGTATCGCACCATGCATCCTCAACAAAGACGATTTTGTAGTCTGTGAATGGATAGGAGCTGTAATCATTGTTGTAGAAATGCATTGCCTTTAAAGTAAGATGATGGCATGGAACCTATCAATTAGTAAAATATCATAAAGACACACCCAACTCTTTCTTCAATACATATAGCAAGGTAACTCACATGCATTATAAAGCTGCAAGTCATATTCAAATCATCCAAATGGCCCGGTAGCGCAAACGCGAAAATGTTACACATCATGTCGATCTCTGCCATCAGGCACTGCTGCTGCTCATCGTCCAAGTCAGCTGTCAACAGCTCCTCCTGCAGCTGAGCCGGTGTCAGTTTAATCATCTCAAACGGACCAATGGCGAAACCAATGTATGGAGCGGATGTTGGCACCGACAGACTGTAATGAACAATTTTTTTGAGCGAGTCTTCTGGAAGAATAACCTAACAACCATTCGTTAATTCAAAAAGATATACATATACATATATCTCAAAACGAAGCACCAGTATGCTTTTCTATATACCTGCTCAACCACTTCACCACTGCAAACAACAACAGTATCCTCTTCATCCTCCAACTGCATGCTGTCTTTTGCATCTGCTTCTCCAGGTATCGTTGTAGCCATCCTTTGTGGCACAATAAACTCCATATCCCAGGTGCATCGGTCAGAGATTCGGTCAAAGCACGGTAGCCATGAACGCGTAGCTCCAGGTAAGGGTTGATTTACAGTATACACATGTTGATAGCGCTGAATTTACAGAACTTTTAGTTGCACAATACATAATAAAAGGCACCTTATTCCTATTTTTAATATACAGAAAAAAAAAACATACATAGGGCGCAGTATCCTGGTCTGGCTCAACAAACACAAGACCTTCTCGAGGGTTGTCGATGGTATAGTGAATACGAACGGTAATGGGCTTATACGTGACATTGTTGGTTTCTGCTGTTTCAGTGGGTGTTTCAGCTGGCGTTGTAGTTGTTGTTGTTGTGGCGACGGTAGTTGTCGTCGTTGTGGCAGTGGTATCAGTCGTCGGTGCCGTTGTTGTCGAATCACTCACCACGTCAGACAATGCCACTATTGTTGTTGCGGTTGCTATCGTTTTTTAGTAATACAATTGCTTAAATTCGTGTTTCGGTTGTCATTGCAACGGGCGGGAGGGGATCACGCTATTTTTTAAAAAAAATAAGCTCTATTATTATACCTTTATTCGACTCACTGTCAAAATATGTTTGATTCTTTTGACTGTCGACATTAGAGAGCTAAAAAACCCAAGTGGTCAAAATGGAATTGAAAATCGATGTGCATGAAATAGTGGTTCTGTTAATTGTGCTTACAGGTTGAATGCACCCTTCAGGTAGTTGAATGACAAGTTCGCCTTGATCGGCTTCTCTGATGGCAGTCAAGTATTTACTTTTGTACGCTTGGTGATGTGTTATATCCGCATCGTCGTCTACTGAGAGCTCGCATACAGCATCTTTGTGTGTCCATTCAACCGAGACATTATCGACAAACGCTCGTTTTACATCTAAATTTTCCGAAATTGTATTAGTTCAAGGATTTGTTGGTGTATGACTTTCTAAACACGATCCCCCGGTCTTTTGGAGTAAGAATGGCGCGATATTTCTTTTTTAAAGTGCTGGCAAAACTTACTGCATTGTCGACAATTCAACTTTAAATGGGATAAATTGACTTGCAGTGGTTGGATCGTAAGCTCTGCTGTGCCCTATCGTGAGAAAAGCGCACACGAGAAGAAGGAGATCGGGTGTCAAGGTAATGGCTTTTATTTTGTAACGTAGCGAAAAGGAAAATGATCAGTGTAATACCTCAACAGAGCGTTGATCAAAGTCGAATTCCAGCACGAACCGTTCATGACTTGTATAAGAAGAAGAAGGAAGTCATGTCAGCATTAAACTTTATAGAAAAAAACCGTGTTTTACTCAATTGAACGCAATGTGATTTGGAATACTTATAATGTGAAGCTCCTTGGCGTGGTGCTTCGCATAGTAAGTGAGGAAGAAAGGGCATTGAAAAGCACCCCCACTCGCAAATTGCTGCGCTTATATATAGAGACCGAGTGACTTTCTCTTCCCCGCACCATAACAGCTGCTGCGCGTTTTTTTTCTCCACACGCTTTATCGCGTTTTGACGATAATGGCACCCTCTATCTCTTACTCTAGTTTTCTTTTATTAACGCGACGTATGATATTCAAACGTGCAACCTTAAACCCGTGTAGATTAGTAATAAAAAAAAGCAACGCCAGATTGTGTTCATGCGGAAACTTTTTTTTTTTATTTCCTATGAACTTTTTTCATTTTTTCGTTCTAACGATCTTGTCAACATCTTTTGCTACGAGTTCTACCATCTTGGGCTTGAGCAGGTCGTTACCGCTGTGTGTGTATATATTGGATGACGATCATACGATAAATAACGCTGAGATCAACACGAGAAATTTTTTTCATTATCACTGTAACGCTGCCACACAATACTACACACACAAAATATATAATAGGTATACGGGCCATGCAGCAGCAAACACGTATATGGAAACAGGTGGCTTCGATTCAAATATGGACTTTGCAGTAACCTAACCTTTGTGCCACCCAATGTTAAACTCTATCTTTGAGTGACAGTTTGCATGACGTTTGACTGGTAAAGGTCGGATGAACTTTGTAAGACCCGACGAAGGAAGTCTCATAAACTGTTTCAAGTTCTTGGGAGGGTTGCCTTGAGCCTTCTCTTGCGATACGCATGTAAGGATGAACTTTCACTCCTTATCAAGTACTTGGCAGTTACTTCTAATCTTCCTTGCTGTGCTGTAAATTGGATGTGTCAAATGACTTAGCAGATCTAATCTTTGAAACAAGCACACACTTAAGAGACTACGAAGCACCAACATGTGGACTCTGAAGTCACAAGAGTATGCATTGCATCAACCAATCGTTATCACTGCTAGTAATCCCAGGATAAACGTAGTTGTGTCCTATTCTTATTCACGTGGGGGCTTGAACTCATCGCGCTGCCTGGGCAATGACGGCGCGTAATAAAACAGAAGGTACTTTTCTTCCTGAGTACTACTGCTTTACAGCTCTTGGCACTACAATGAATGGGGATCTGTACGGAAATAGTAGTTTTTGATCCTCGAGCCTTGTATATCTTTTGACATGTGAGAGAAAGAGATATACTACAAAGATCATAGAACAACAGTCACTGATTTTTAGTGTACATTGTATAGAACTATATAATAACTGCATGAAAATTTGGATAGAACGTCGAGAAACTCCCTTCTTTGACACACATCTCACAATGACATCCAAAGCACGTCGTCATGGCGGATTTATGGCGGCATCCATTCGCAGCAAAAGCAGTCCTGCGTTCTTTACCACCTCAATACCACAGGCCGGTACAGAAGAAGCTGGTGATCTTGAAAATGTAACTTCATGCGACGACCTGATTGACTTACGGTAAAGAGGGGTCCTTTTTTTGTGTTTGTACTCAATACCCCATTTGAAGTCTGGCTCTAAATATGTATATACAGCAAACTGAAGAACAAGGATGATTTGGCCAAAGTCGTATTGTCCATTGCACAAAAGGTCTTGCCGGATTGGAAATCGGCAACTCAAGTAGAGCTAGATCGCGTTAGTGGTGCAATGACAAAGTAGGACCAGTAACTCGAGACCTCTCCTTTACAAACTCTAATTCGCTCGCTATTTTTCTTTGTGATAATCACTAACCACTGTTTTGACCAATGTTTCCCAGTGCTGTATATTTCATGAGTGCACCAGACCGACCTCGTGTTCTGCTCCGGGTCTATGGCATAGGCGCTGAACAACTCGTCGATCGACAGCACGAGCTAGAATGGTTGGCCAGATTATCACGCATGAGCACCAGCTTGAGCCCGCAGCTCTTGGCTAAGTTCGGTAATGGCCGGTTCGAAGAATACCTCGAATCGACGACGTTGACGCATGCTGATCTACACAACCCTGACATTTCCTGTCAGATCGCTCAGTGTCTGAGAGAGTTGCATGATGTCACTGAAGAATATCCACCGCCGACAGAAAACTGTCGTGTGGAAGTTTGGCGTAACATATCCCAATGGTATGCCTATGCCCGTGAATTGCTGAACCAAGAGGAGTGGAAAGAGAAGTTGAAGCCGTTGGCGTTGGATACCGCGCTGCCCAAGGAAATTGAACTGTGTAAGGCGTATATGCACAGACAAGATGTGCCACAATCACCCGTCATTTTTACACACAATGATGTAAGCCTAATCCATTGAATGGTAGTACGAAATAGAACAATGCGGATCATTCTAAAGTTTTAAATATTCACATTGTGCTTATTTTGTGATGATAGGCTCAATATGGCAATGTACTACGAGTTGAGAAAACTGGCGAGTTGGTGCTTGTGGATTTCGAATATGCCGGATACAATCCACGAGGATTCGATATTGCCAACCATTTTTCTGAATGGATGTACGATTACCATGGTCCCAGTCCTGCTAGCTATGATGTTGACAAATACCCTACCGAAGAAGAGCAGTTACGCTTTATTACGGCATACATCGAAGCTGGTGATGACGCTAATAAGGATTTGCTAGACCCAAAGGAATTGCAACAAGATGCTTTGCGGTGGGCGATGGTGGTCCATTTACATTGGTCTTTGTGGGGTCTGGTTCAGGCCAGTCAAAGTGAGATCGATTATGATTACTTCTTGTACTTTACTGAACGCTTGAAAGGGTTCAGAAAAGGTCTTGAGAGAGCACTCGAACAAAACACAAATAGTAGTAGCGCATAAGTATAACTACATCTTGATATAGATTAACATAACTCTCGTTGTTTGTAAATTCCTTCCCATCTCCCTCCCCCTAATTTCATCATGTTATTCGTGCATATATTATTGTTTGTAATACTATCGTCAAAAAAGGTCTTCTATTAAAATCATTAGACAGGGTAAAGAAACATTGGAAATAAGTAAAATGATGTAAACATTCTGGGCTACTTAACAATAGTCGATACTATCGATAGTATCTGTATACTTGGGGACTACGATAGGCCCTCTTTATATATATCAGTTTCTACGGTTGGTGTGGGGGTGTATAGATGGTTGGAAGCTAATACTGTAGTAAGAAGGATAAAAGGCTTGATGGGTGTGAAATAAATGAGGATTCACTGTATGAATTATTGAATTATAAGGCATTTGCTCACAGTCATCAACGCGACCAGAGAAAGATAGTCGGGATTATATACAAGGCATGTGTCGATAGCTTTGTAGTGATGCTCTCCATTTTCCTTAAGAACTGAATATAGTTTGGTGTTCTTCTCGGCCCAGATCCCATAATCTTCGGATAATCCAGAAAGTATCCCATATTCTTCTAAGTCATTCTCTAATGCTTTCGTCAAGGTGAATCTAAAGCGAGCGAGATCTTCCACAGTTATTGAGTGAGCGAGTAGCGCGCCAAAAGAAATTCTCTTACTATGTTTCCACAAACATGGTCAGAAATTGAAGGCTGTGCAGAGTATACAGAGGCTTAGAACCATCCTTGGATTCCGGTGCCAAGATAGGTCGAACGTGATATGTTTGTGCGTTTTCTGCCCAGATACGCGATCTTTAATTGATAGCCTTCCCACTGCTATCGTAATGTTGAGGTACAGGCGAAAGCTCGTTCCAGGATTGTACCATGGTGAAAGTGCTAGTAAGTCCTTCGGTTGTTGTACGTTTGCATAAATGCTACTCACTGTTCCGTTCTTCAATACAGGATTTCAATAGAAACTTTACAAACTTTTCAGCGCTATCCCCAATAGCGACAAGAGCAGGAAAAAAAGAGGATGACAGGTTACCACCTTCAACACTTTCTTGGTAAGCTGCGATGAGCAATACTCTGAGAGTTTCTTGTAGCTCGAATGGCCTTGGCAACAAGCTCATTGTTTTAGTCGCAGAATTCAAGGCTTCACAGCTCGGATCTAAATTTCCCGGAGTAGGGAAATAACAAATGCCCCTCCTGGTTAACCGCCCGAGGGTGGATCGATCCAACAGTACATAGAAATATGACGATGAATAACAAATGCGAAATCATATGGCATGGTGCAACTTTTCACAACAACACTGCTTGCTAAAATTAATGACGATCTATCGGGATTTTCAATAACTCATCAATTGTTACGTTTTATGTATAGATGGTTTCACTAGACACTACCAAAAGGGTTCAAAAGCTTTGAAAAGAGAGAGGTGTCAAGCGTAAGCGTTCCGGTCTAGTGGCTGGACTAGAACTCGTACACTCTGACTCGCATAGACGCAACAGAAGCCCACACGCCTAATGTCAGCGAAAGAGTATGAAACGACCCTGAAAGCATTCCATCTTGAACAACAAGCAACAACACATAGAATGACTTCGTTGCTCAAAACTTGTATATATCAAAAATTGTAGAATATCGATATAAAACAAAGAACATCAGGCACACCACATCGATCGTTTTAATTGGAAGCTCCGACTTTCCTTTTATAGTTTTTGAATGTGATATATAGAACGATGACGACGATGAGAGTAAATATATACAACAGGTCAACGATGGCCAAGCAATTCTGGATAACTCTCATTGACTATGTATCTTCTTCCCCTACCCTCATTCCCCCTCCACACACACAGAAGAACAACTACTATACATGTGCTCTTGCGGTGATATACTGTTCTATCTACCTTAATTCCAAAAGAAAGCTGGTGTATATCTCTTTTTGTTTATATGTAATATCGTTGTTATTGATATCGCTGTACAACGACCGTGTTGAGTAAACCTGCCTCCTTCAACGTCTTGTCCATTTCTGTCAGCTCCTTTACTGGGAAAGTGGTTTGCAACAAGTATGCTCTGCCTGCGGGACGTGTACTATATAACAAAACATGTTTAGGAAGATAAGCGATCAATGAAAATATAACGGTACAGAGGCAACGTCAGCAGAGCAACTTACGCATCAATGTATCGACGAACGTCACCAACAGTATGTGTATGATTAAACTTTGCGATCAATCTAAATATATAGCAACAGGTCACCCAACATGGCATATTTTGCTTAGTATAATCTATCTCTTTGCCTCTTTTTTAGTCTTCCACCTTCCCCCTTTCCATCGATCTCTTAAGGGCCATCAATAAGTGTATACCTTGATCCATCGCCAAGACGGATTTGTAAAGATGTTGTCGGTTGTGATTCATCGACTGTGACAGGTGCCTCGGATGATGCGGCTGCTCCAGATGACGATGATGATGGGAATGCGCCCGGTGTGCTGCCGCTTTGTTCTGACGACGACCCAGCGGCTGGGCTGCCCAATCGATTACCAGCTCCTTCGAATGGTTTTGGTGGTGCCTTGGGAGGTGGCACATAATCTTCATCCTGACGACGTGATACGCGTACATCAACAGGTTGGCCATGACGAACGTTCAACAAAGAAAGTGGTGCGCGTCTATATCAGAAATGAATAATTGTTCCGCCAATTAGTAAAACTTTCCATCTCGTCTTTTTAGTTTACTTACCCGCTGTTTATAGCTGTAAGCATCGTTTGATTGGCAGGATCATCGTAACGGTATAATTGGCCATCATCCACGCTGAATCCATCACGCCAAAAAGTCAAATACCGAGTAACCTGTCACCCCATAATAATCAGACAGAAAGAAACATTTAAATCAGCACTTTCCCTTTCTCTCTCCCCACCCTTTCCCCCAAGGAAAACGATTGATAAAAGATCTTTTAAACTTACTGGCTCAAGTGAATCATCTTCGTCTTCATCACTAGGCGCTGTTTGATTGATGACTGATGATGGCTCTTCTTCGCTTCCAAGTTTATAACCAGATCCTTTAAAGTAGTTAGGCTTGGGTGCGCTGCTGCTTGCCTCTTCTTCAGGCGCAGGTCCGCCTCTACGTATATCAACATTTGATGCAATCAGCTTTTTAACAAAGACAATATACTCTAAAAAAATCTGTAAATCCAAAACTTACTCTGCTGCCTTTTTAAGGATTTGATTGACAAGGTCATTATGCTTGTTGGGACCTTGGACAACCATACCCCTAATGGATGGATATTTTACAACAGATTCTATTATTAGTATCAACGTGGCACTTAATCCACTGCAACGCATTTAACTACCACTGGTGAAATATCACTTACGATTTTTCGCCGCCTGCGAAGAAGTTTTGATGCTGATCGTCATCGGATTCGTCATCGTGATCGCCACCTCCTAGATCGCTAAGTGTACGCACTTTGGAGCTATATTTAAAATATAAATAATTGTTCTCCCTTGAATTTTATGTTTGAAAAGTGAAGAGAAACTCATACCTGCTCTTTTTAGCTGCTGACGACTTTTGAGCTCTCGATGAGGAAGGGGAAGGACCAGCAGCGGCTGACGAAGAAGAAGAACCACCTTGCGCCATGGGCGTACCACCCAATGTTTGTTCGCCAGTGCCAGCAGAAGCAGCACCAGTGTCTTTTGAAGGACTAGCACCAATACCTTCACCAAACTCATAAAACTGGTTTACGGCAACCTTTATTTTTTTTTAAAAGAGCATAAAGTATGGTATATGTATGTATTTGAGTCAAAGTGAGTTCTTCAAGTCTTGGTTTCCCCTCTTTTCTTTTTTGATATGCTTACCTTAAGTTCCCAACCAGCCATTTCTAAAAAGAATTGCGCTTGTTCAGTGGAAGCACCAGTTGTGTCAACAAATTCCTGAATTAGTTCATCGCGGTTTGCCATTGTGTGTGTTCTTTTGCAGAAATGGTTTATGTAAAAAAAGATAGTTAGAAAAAGAATACGCAAGTTGTTGTAATAGAGTACGCGGCGCCGAACTGCTTTCTGAGATCCATTTTAAGCCAATGAAATTTAGCATGAATCGTGTGCGGCAAGGTTTCTACGCGTGTTGACAAGTTGTAGCTACTTAAAATTTATCAAAGAAATGCATGATACCGATGATTGTATACTAGCTCTTTCGCAAAGCGCGTAACGATAGACATGCTTGTAGAGAACACCCGATCTCGTCATGGAGAAAGGATAGAAGGCCCTCTCGATAGTCTATATCCATAACGCCAAATGTGGAGATAGGAAGTCAATGTACAAAATGCTTCTTGTTACTTTTTTAGTTTTACCATGTATTATAGAAATGTGGGGTGGGGGTTGGAGGTGTGCTTTTCAATGTAAAACATTCTTTTCCGTCTACAACATGACCAGACCAACTTTGTTTCGTACAATGTCCGGACACTTCCAGTTATAAAGATAATAGTTGAGATAACCATCACCAGGACCAAACTTGAGATCGTCGACGACCAAGGCATTATCCATCAAATCCAGAGCATTCACTACATCAAATCCTTCCTTCTTTGCCAACACCAACGCATCCCTGATCAGGTCGCTCAGTCTCTTTTTCAAAAACTTGGCTTCTTCGGCCTGATTGCCCTTAAGTTCAGCGGGTATATCCACGGCATAATAAAACATGTATGCGGCGTTCAACGTCGAATGCTTCGGGTTGCCAATGACGGAGCTTGGCAACGAGTAGAACGAAAACATGTCGGTGATCTTTTTCGTCTCTGGGTTCTACGTATCGTATTTTTGGAAATGTTGGTATATATGTATGTGTAGCATCCCTCTCTTTCTCTCACTCAATGTAATAAGTTCCATCTCTAAATTTTACCTCTACAACATAGCCCCAGACAACGTCCTTGTGTGGCATAACCCAATGCTTAACATCGTCGTCCGTTTCGAATACAGGTGCCATATCGAATCGATCCAAATAATTGTTCAACAGTTCTCGCACTTGAGGCGCATCCTGCTCACGCATCTCACGCAAACCGGAAAGAGCAGTTTGTTCAGACACCTTGTAATGTTTGATCATACGTGCAAGCGTCCACTTTTGTGGGATTCGCGAAAAGTTGCATTCGACGAGTTTCTTTGGGTTTAATGATCGGTGGTAGTATCTAAAACGGTAGTTTCGATTTCACGTCGTTGAACCATTTAGTATCTCTCTCTCCTCTCTCTTTCTCCGTTTCCCTCTTGAAAACTTTAGTAAGAAATTTACCTGCATGTTGCGACAGGCTTTGGCAATACAGAGCCCGAAGTATAGACTGCTTGGAAGATACCTTCCAGATGACTGCGACGTGTAATTTCACGGATCAGCACAGGTGCCAACCGCTTTGAACGCAGTTTCTTGTGAACGCATAAAAAGTTGATCTCGGTCAATGGCTGCGTGCTATAAACAATATGTAGTGTCAATCTCTCGCGCTCCTCTCGAGAAAACATATTTGATTCCAGGAAAAAAAAAGGACGGACTTACGTTTTAAAAGTTCGCATGTCGGCAGGAATACCACTGATAAATGCGACCAGCTTTTTGTTTGAAGCAACACGAACACCTACGTGCCACGACTTTCTCCATTTAGGTGGTTGCAATGCCCTGTCATGTTCAAATATAATCACATCAATATTTTCTATCGTTCTCAATATTATATATATAGATGACCACCCTTCATCTTTTATATAATCACATACCACTTTAAGAATGCTGCCGAGTAATCGAAACGGAACTGAGCATCGTCGTCTTCGACATAATTGAATGTCAACAGTTGATACAATTCCTTGAGTTCGGCCTCATTGGTCAAATCAACTTCACACCATTCGAAATCTTTGGGCAGCGGTGGTGGATCCTTAGAAACCTGATCAACAGGAACAGAAGGTTCAATGGGTCCCACATCCGTAATTTGTTCACCTGAAGTTTTGTGTCAATTAACCCAGTTCAAACGCGAAACATGTAGTTAAAAAAACCAAATGTTCTTTTCCCTCCACCCTTTTACTTTTTCAAGCACTCTCTGGACTGTTTCCCACTCTCAAAACCCCCTTCCCACAGCCCAGACAAATTGTATACAATACCATATTGAGGAACAGGTTGAGTGTTCCAGAAACGGTGATCGCCCATGGATTTAGCCGACGACGCACCACCACCACCAGGCACCATTCCCGCTTCTTCCATTAAAGCGAGATTTTTCATCATGTTTTGCAATTGAGCGCGAAGTTCGGCTTGTTTTTTACTATCGGGCGCGCTGCTGTTACCAGCTGACGAAGGCGCTTTGCCATTCAATTGGTCTTGGACCTGTTTCTTTTGCGCTTTTGTGACAACCTTGTCTAACTTGTTGGTAAGTTTGGTAATATCGTCCTTATTCTTATCGTCTTTTGACATTTTTTCCTTGAGGGGTGTGTGTGGTACTTTTTTATATACGAAAATGGGCAGCAGAAAGAAAGGTTTGTACCACGAGACACTCAAGACACTCAAGAAAAAAAGAATCCACGTCGGCACACCCAACTGATGATTGTGATATCCGAATTAGGAAGGCATCAGCGCTTTTTCAAAAGGTCCCCCTGCATGGCAAAAAACCGAGTGACAGTATGGCCATGGTAACTATTCATGAGATCAACGGGAGAGAGGGAGAGGGAGAGGAGTAAGTTGCATAATAATAGATGAACAAAGTGGAACCTTCTTCGAGGTGTCGATGATGAAAGAAATCTTTCCAAGGTATTCGGTGCAGTTCGTGGAGAAACGTTTTGGCGGTTCCTTTTCCGTTCGATTCCTAAAAGCAGGTAAATCCACAAGAGGGAATTATCAAAAAAGTTATAAATCATCAGCCCAGAATTTGTTCAAAGCACATGCCGAGAAGAAGAAGCCAAAAGTATGTATCCAAGTGTGCTCCCCTAGAAGCATAGTGGCATATACTTCTTCCGTACGAACGGATTGCGTCAAGAGTGAAACGTAAGGATGACGCATAGCAACGTATGCTTTTCTCTCTGCTACAAACATCCGAGGTACCCCGAGAAAGGGACACCGGTCCTGCATTCTATTTAAAAAAAATCACGCAATCTATTCTCTTTTTTTCTTCCCCCGCTTTGTTCGCTTACAAAAACAACAACAACAACTACAACTACAATAACTATTACAACTATGCCTGGTATTCATTTGACAAGAGGTCAAGAAGAAAAACGTGATGCCCTCGGTTTTTCTGCAGGTCTTCAGGGCGCTGCTCTTGGTTTGGGCATTGGTGTTGTCGCAACCATTGCCACATTCCGTCGATCGCCCGATTTCAGGGCCTTGGGTCGACCCATTCAGGCTATCCTTCCAACTTCATGTAAGCAAACCAGGTTGTTGATTTGTGCTATTATATACTGGGTCATATGGAAGGAGGGGAGAAAGAAGAAGAAGGAACAGGGGGAAAAGAAGAGAATACATGTGCCTGTCTATATGTAGTATGAAATGCACTCTCTAATACTTGGTAATGATTAGCAACGGTGGCAGGATACTTGTTTGCCTCGGATCGTGCTACTAGCCAATACGAAAATGAAACGCTTGGATACATGGACGAGGCGATGTATGACCATCTACAGAAAAGCGAGTCTGTAGTGGAGCACAAGAGCTCTTCTGATAAGGCATTGCATTATTTGAATGACAACCGTTGGACGGTCATTGGTAGGTTATCTTCTTTTAGTTAGTTGGAGAGTGGACTTGGCAAAAAGAAGATTCGGTTTAGTTGTTGTAGTAGTAGTGGTGGTGTTTTTAAATGAGAGAGAGAGAGAGAGAGAGACTAACTTGGATTTGGAAACAGGGGTTTCTTGGGCTGCATCGATGGCGGGTGCTCTGGGATATAGTTTCTCCAACCGATATCTCACGACACAACAAAAGGTTGTGCAGGCGCGTATGTATGCACAAGCAGTAACGCTGGCGGTGCTGATGGCATCTGCAGGCTTGTCGATCTACATGGGAGATGATAAAAAGTCGCACAAGGAGGTGCCCGATGCACAGCTGCGTGCTGTGTTAGAGTTGCCCGTTGAACAGGATAAGGCTGTGGTTGCTCATCAACACTAGATTTCCACTACTACTACTGCTACTATTACCACATAGAAACAGTCCTCTTACTTAACATTACTACCATCGCTCTTTCCTTCTAAACACCACCTCTTCAACCCACATTGTCATTATTCTAATACACACACTTACACACAACATTCATCCACTGCCAATGAACACTACATCCTTTCATTATTTCATCCTTGTACACAGATCCACCCTCTTCTTCTTTCTAAAATTGTTAAAATCTGCATGGAAAAAATTAAAAGAACAAAGCCAAATGTGTTCATCATCCCGATAAACATGGCCAAAAAAGAACAAGGCTGCATAATTACACGTGGCTGTAGAAGCTCACATTCTCTTCTTTTCTATTGTGAGAAAGTACCATTTTCATATAAGATCTTGGTCGATCCCTCTCCGACCCCACTCTATCCATAAACAATTCACACTGCTCTCCCCCCCCACTCCCCACTTTCCTCTCCTTAAACTACCACCACCCTCTCTTTTTTTCTTAAATCACACAAACCTTAATATTTTTATCTGTTGACCACATGCGCATCCCATCATTAGATCCACTACTACAGAACTGATGTACATAGTCATTTCAGCCCCGCAATAAAACAATACAACATTACACTTTAATGATCCTTTTACTGCCAAAAACGATATGGTTTAAATAAGCGGATATATTTATATATTTCAAAGGCGTGTAGGGATAAGATATACAACAAGATTTTTTTCTGGGGGGGGGTTACTACTGCTATGTATGTGTATGTATGTATGTGTGTGTTATATATATTACACATGTGCTTGGATATAGTATATGGATAGATGGTGTGAATGATGATAATAATAACAATAATAATGAAGAACTCTAGGAGCGTGGAAAAAAAATCAAAGTGTGTAATTTGGGTGTTATATATGATAATAGTAAGTGAAATGGATATAGTATAAAAGAAGTTGCGATAATGGGATTTGGGGGAGGGTGTTGTTTGTATAACAAACGCGAGTTAGTTTTGGTTTTTTTTTTCACCCGCGCTTTAGGGAAGAAAAAGGCTAAGGTAACAATAATATATATGCGTGTGTGTGTGTATGTGTGTGTGGTAATAAGGAAAAAGGAAGTTTCCGCATAAACAAAATAAACGGTGTGTGAGGGGGGTGGGGTTTACGGATCAACATACAATATAGGAAAAGCATACAATATAGCATGAGAGTGAATGCGTGTATATAGGACTGCTGTAGAGGCGATATAGAGAGAGAGAGAGAGAGATAGAGAAGAAGAGAGTTGAGATGTACAGTACATGGGAAATGTAATGAAGTGTGTTGTGTATATTGTATGTGTATATGGAAAAGTAAATAGAATGTTGATCTTAGTAGTGAATGAGGGCATCCGTGGGTCGCATGGTTGTGCTGTCGGAGGCATAACCGGACGACGATGACGAATAGTCGAACGGTGTAGAAAAGTCATCAAAGTAAACATCATTGGGCGAAACGTGTGCTGGGTGCACATACGCCATGTAATCAAAGTTGTTGCCGCCACCACTACTGCCATTGCTATTATTATTGTTGGCGGGCGTTGTGGATTCAGGCATCATGCTGTTGCCGGTATTGTTGTGGTACCATGGCTTGTTGTTGTTATGGATAGGCGAATGATGATGTTGTTGCTGCTGCTGCTGCTGCTGCTCCCAATCCGACTTTACCCAGTCAAGAGGCTGGTTACCGCTGAGAAGCATCGGAGGTATTTGAGTTGCTACAGTTGCTGTTACTGGCATAGCATCGTCTGAAGAGGCTGTAGTGGATGAAGAGAGTGATGCCACTGGCGCTGGTCCTCCGGCATGATGATGATGATGATGATGATGGTTATCTTCAAGCCATTTGAAATCATCATCGTCGGCTGCTGCTGTTGCGTTGTTGTGGTGATACGCCAGGCTTGGTGCAGATGATTTGACTGGCGAAGAATAGCACGAAGACGACGTGGACGAGTAACCCGAGTTGCTGAGAAATGCATCGCCCCAAGGTCGACTCCATACAGTTGATGTGGTGGTTTTGATAGAATCAAGGTGATGATGATTGCTATTGTTACCATAGTAACTGTTGCTACCATAGTTGCCATGATAACTGCCACCGGCGGTAGCTGTTGCTGATGTAGCGTGATGATGATGATGATGATGGTGCTTTGTCGACGACGACGACGACGACGTGGCGTTGTGATTATTATTTCCGCCAGCGCCGCCGTTACCGCTATTGTTGTTGCTGTTGTTATCACCACCATTGTCGCCTTTTGAACTTGCAGTGAAAGGTCGCTGACGCCGTTCGTGGGTCTTTTTGTGCTGCGCCAAGTTATCGGATCGAGAGAAGCGTTTGCCGCACAAGCCGCACAAGTATGGGCGTTCCATTGTATGCGTTCTCAAGTGACGCTTCAAGTGCTCCAACCGTTTAAATAGTTTGCCACATGAGTTGAGTGGGCAAGTGTACAAACGGGCTGTATCGTCATGTTGTTGTTGATCACGATTGCTATAGTATCGTACAGAAGAGCCGTCTTGTTGATGGTCGGACCCACACGTCGTCATATGGACCGAAGAGGTCGAGGAGGATGGAGAAGGTCGTAAACCATTGGGTTGTTGTGACGATGCTTGCTGTTGATGACACACAGTACGGCGCCGCCGTTGTTTGTAAGTTGGCGCACCTTCAAACAGCGAAAAGTGGCCAAACACGCTCGACGCTTTGCGGATAGCCGAGTTTTCCTTGGGCAATGGTCGAGTGTCAATGTCCATGGATTCCGTTGGCTGCTGCTGCTGCTGCTGCTGCCAAGCGGACAAAAGTGGGGCTGAATAAGAAGAAGAAAGTGGACGAGGCAAATCATCTGTTGCTGCCATGATGGGCGTCGATGAAGAGGGTGTCGGTTGATGCTGATAGTAAGAACGCCGATCAGCCGCTGTGGTAGCCGCACCATTCAAACAAGCATCCAACTCGAGATCACTGAGCAAGTTCTTGCGAAACTCATCAAACATGGCCTGGGTGGTATCGAGCGAGATGGACACTGCAGGATTAGCAACGGCAATCGACGTGGGCTCCACACCCAGCTTTTCCCGCTTGAGGTCGCGTTCAAGCGCATCCAAGAACAAGCGATCGTGAGGGACCGAGAACCAGTTGAACACCTTTTGCTTCTTTTGCGTGCGGATGCAGTTGTGTTTGTACAAGAGGTCCAGAAAGCTCGATTTGGGCTCTTCGAGTGTGGCGTCGGCGCCGGGTTTGAGGTTACGCAAGTCGCTAAAGATGCCTTCTTCAAACTTTTTCAGGTTTTGAATGGGCCGTCCAAAGGCATGGAACCGAAACACCAGGCTGCGGACAATGTCTGTGCCCGAGATGAAATATGAGTTGTTCCATTGCACGCATGAAATGTAGTCGCCGATGGGCAGTAGGTGTTTCTTGATCGGTGGCTCGTCGCTAGGCACGTTCCATTCGCTGGGTGCGGTTGCCAAGAAGTATTTGAGTTGATTGATCATTTCAAGTCGTTCGTCGACATCTTCCTCGGTTGGAAACGGAAGTGTGTTGCCTTCTTGAGCTGGTTGTGTCGCTGCTGCTGTTGTCGTTGTTGTTGCTGTAGCCATTTAAAATATATATTATTATGTGTTGGAGGTAGAGGAGGAGAGTTGTTACTGTTGCTGAGAGTGGGACACTAAGTGAAGACGAAGATGTCTAATAAATAGAATAAAATGGATAATACAAGAGAAAGAGAGGGCAGATTGATAGTTAGCAACGGGTGAGATCAAGTTTATGTTTATATATACAACATATTTAATAGCAATTTATTAGGCCCTCTCTCTTGCCCTCTCTCTTAGCGCGCATATAGCAGAGCAGTATAGAGAGGGAGAGCGTGGGCAGGAAAAAGGCGGGCCCGATAATAGGGCAGATGCAATCAATAAATTGCATCTCATCAGGAGTTGTTGTTGTTGCTGCTGATGCTATGAGAGTAGGGTATGTGTACTTGCCTTGGTTGGCTGCTAATGCTGTGCTGCTACTGCTGCTGCTGCTGCTGCTGCTTCTAAAATGTATCTAGCACCACACGCGTTGCGCGTTTAAACTTTTCCTTTTTTCTTTTGGAAGAAGAGAGAGAAGAGAGAGGGTAGAAAGAAAGAGTAAGGAAGAAGAATCTTCCTTTTGGGGGTGGCCCTTCTTATATGCTTTGCAGCGGGCACGAGAGAGTGGAAACAAAAAAAAAATCTTTTTTTGCTGCTATCTAGTAATAGTCATCGGGCCCTATTGTTTACAAAAATGGTCCCCCTTCAAACACTTTGCTATGTGCAACCTCAACATTTTTTTTTTCCCTCCAGCAAGTGTATCAGAAAAAACTCTTTTTGCCGTGTGGGATACATGACGTCAAGTCCGACAATGGGCGAGACGATTTCATGCGCAGATTCTCTTTTCCCTCTTTATTACTTCTTGTCCAGCCTCCCCACCACAGAACCCCACATCGATCTTATAACCAAAAAGAAAAAACAAGCGAGCGTGCAATAAGAAAAAAGAAGCTAAAGAAGCAGATTTGACCCGCCCAAATATATATATTATAAGCACAAAGCATGAGGATGATCCAATCGTCTCTTTTGCTACCCGTTCTAGCGCAGCTCATCCTCATCATCCTAGCATTAGCATCCTTGACCGTCTCATCATCCGTTATGCAGGAGAAAAAGAAGGACTCACTATCATCCTTCTCTTCGTCGTCGCACTCGCTACTACAGCAACGTGGGCCGCAGCTCTTGTATAATCCAAATGCACCCGATTATAGATGTCCCGAAATCCAACAGTCCTTGTTTGACAAACTCGCAGTCGATGCCTCGCTTTCCACCTTCATGAGCGCTCTAACGCAAGTCGAGTCTGTTCTCAAGCTGGTCAACGATTCCCAACTTGATCCGCCATTCACTGTATTTGCGCCCATCAATTCTGCATTTACCGAATTCAATGACAATGATGGCGACGATAGGATGCATTCGAATCTGGAAGCGTTTCTGCGCAACCACATGGTGCCAAGCCAGAAACTCAGTGTGGAGCAGTTGCAACGCACGCAAACATTGGATACAATGCTCGACGATAAGGATGATGAAACAAAAACGACAATCCAAGTCAAGTATCACTTTTTCAGCCATCGAGTCGAGCTGAACGGCGTCGCAGAGGTGGACACGGACCACCCCATTATGGCCGACAATGGGGTTGCCTACAAGATCAACAAGCTGCTACGGCCAGCAAAGCCCTGATCATCATCCCCTCCCCCCCACACCCCAAAGTACCCAAAGAAGAAGGAGAATAGCCTCCTTATTCCTTACACTCTCAAGTCTAACAGTTGATGAACACGCCCCCTCCCTCCCCCTCCCCCAAAGGCAAAATAACACAAAACCACTATGGACTGTTTTGAATTGCTTGTACCACATGTTGTCCTTCTCTTTTTCTTTCTCGGCAATCTGCCGACGAATTTACTATGTGTGTGGCGCATCGCCTTGTCCAAAATTGGGCATTCCAGTTGTGATCCGAAAAGAAAAAAAGAAAACCTTGTGTACATGTTTGAGATTTTATTTGCATGATGATGATGCTGCTACTACTACTACTGCTGCTGCTGATGATGATGAGGATGATGATGATGATGTACTAATGGCAGTAATAACAGTGGTAGTACTACAGTAATTATAATAACAAGCGTGGTAACCCAGGACCAGGACCAGGACCACCACCACCACCACCAACAACAACAACAACAACAATAGCCGCAGCAATCACGGTAACAATAATAGTAATAGTGGTAATAACTTTACGTTTTTCTGGAAACATAGGCTGCTCTTGCTGCCGCTGCTGCCGCCGATGACGCCGACAAGTCAATATATCCCATTTTGTCGTTGCCGAACTTGTTGTTGTCGTATGATGTGCGCTACTGCGTCCGACAGCCCAAGCGGCTCTGCCAAGAGCACCGCCTGTCGGATACAGTCGGATGAAGTGTCGTGGGTCAACAGGAGCGGGATCATGTCCAAGAAACCGTGGCTTGCGGCATAGAGGAGAGACGGGTTGTTGCCATTCGGAAGACAAGGGCTGGCGTTTGCATGTCGTATCAGACATCGGACCATATCGAGTTTACGCTGCTGTACGGCCCGATAGAGTGGACTGTCATTATTGATTGTCGGATCGGTTGTTGTTGTTGTTGTTATGGTTTCCGTCACTTGTTTATTTTGTTGTTGCTGTTGCTGTGTTCCCACATCGTCGTTTCTCTCGTCGTCGTCGTCGTCGTCGTTAGAGTTAAAGCCGGCCCCGAGTAGCAATTCCAAACATTCAATTCTGTTCCAGAACACGGCCAGCGGTATCAGGTTTTTGTTCTTTTGTTTGTTGTTGTTGTTGTTTTGCTGTTTCCTTTTCTCTCCTTTTCCTTCTACTTGTCCTTGGTGTCGTTGTCGCTCTTCTTCTTTCTTCTTATTCACCTTGGCCAACAACTCGCTCAGGATACTTGCACAGCCGCCAACAACACATTCTTCCATGACGTTGCGTTGATCCACCTTGTTCGGTGCATACAATAACGCGTCGTCGTCATCGCCAAGGTGAGCAAGCAACAGCTTGGCACAGTCGACTCGACGATACAAAGCAGCCAAATGCAGCGGTGATCGTCCTTGCTGGTCCTGGAGATCCACACGAGCACCCGCTTGTAGCAATATCTGTACACAGGCAGGTTGGTTGGCAGTGACGGCGCGATGGAGAGGTGTTTGACCCTGTTGGTCGAGAGCATGAATGTTGATATTTCGTTTTGGTCGGTGGAGTAGTTGTTGAATGCCATTTGAAAATCCGACAGAGGCAGCAATGTGCAGCGCTGTCGATCGGTCCGGTCCATGGGTCGTATTTGGATCCAAATCTTCTTGGCGCAAGAGGAGTCTGAGTGCGGATTCTGATTTGCTGTAGCAGGCCCAGCACAAAAGACTGAACCCGCGTTGGGCGTCACGGATGTTGGGTGATCCACCGGTTGTCAGGTAGCGTTCAAGGAGAGTTGGGTCGAGCTTGACTTGTTTATTGTTTCGTGGTAGTTGCTGTTCGTCGTTATTGTTGTTGTTGTTGTTGTTGTGATGATGATGAGGGGAAGGGCTGACGGATCGTTTTCGTTTTCGCTCAGTGGGCGATGTGGGTGGCGAAGGGAAGTAGTGGGACATGGTTTATTAGCAAGTGACGGTAATATCAGGCGTATAGCTGTGGAGGGAAGGGGGGTGTGTGCCCAGCAGTAGAGTGTCTTCAATGAATGGGTGGTTTGTTTGAGATATAATAAAAACAAAAAGTAAGAAAAGAAAGGAAAGCATGGAGTTTGCCTGCTTTATAAATCAAAAGGACACAGTTCTTGGCGGGAAGCTATGCCTCATCCCCATCCTCACCGCATATAACACTAATGCGCGTAGTATGTGTGAGTGAGCTACACCAGCAGTGGAGGGTCCACACAAGAGGAGGTGGAAGAGTCGGCCATTCAAAGATGAGTTTACCCGATCGGGAAGAGTGGGATCGACGGAGAGAGTGTGTGAGCTACTGGTAGGAGTGAACGTCTTGGCAACAACTCTGTTCTTTTTTCTTTCGCACCTTCTCTTTCTCTCTTTCTCGCGCGTGCGCGGACGTAGAAAAGTCTTGGCAAAGAATAAGTTTTTTTCGAATAATGATCCTTTTTGCACACACAAATCCGACTTTGCTCTTTTTCCTTACGATGAAGCCAAGCCGTCTGCTCTTCTTTTGTCGTAGCCCATGATGAAGATGATGACGACGAGAGTTAGTACATAGTGCATATGCATGGACAGCAAAGTCTTGGTTTATAGTCGTGGATATTTTATTCTTGGCACAAAGCCGGCGGTACTGTTATCTACATGGTACAATATGCATCATGTACGGTTGCCCCAGGTATACTGTGTATTATATATCCCAGTTTTGGTTGCCAATGTCAATAAGTCTCCATCAGGCAGAAGCATCAACAGCTGACGACGTGCAGATGGACTGCATTCTATTTGTGCGTATTGGCTACTGCATATTTCCTCGATAATATGCTGTTACGCTATGATTGCGCGTGCTGTATCGGAACCTGTATACAACAACAGCTGTTTGTTCAGGCCAGTATAAAACGTCATACATTACATGTATTCTCTATGTAGGTACTTCTCAGTCGTGTACACTCAAGAAGAATATCGGAACTAGTAACCTTGGCCCCCGCTACTGCTGTATATGAAATCTCCCATAATGCAAAATCCAGCTGTCGTCGTCGCCGTCGATCATCATGCGGGCGTAACCTTCTTGTTTTATTGGCAGCAGCAGCAGCAACCAAGATTTAGACTTACACTACCTATCACTGGCACTTAATATATACATTGATGTCGCATCATCTTGATCTCTCTGACATTTTCTTTCAAAAGTAGGATGCACGTTTTCAACGACGTGCATTACTTGTAGGAAATTGTGCATATTTTTTTTAAAAAGTGCCAAGAAGAGAAGCGAACCGCTGTTCCTTTTACTTGACTATAAAGAAAGGGTCTGCACAGTGTGTCAAAAACTGATTGACACGCATAATGAGCGATTCTAGACTTCATCGTGCGTGGTGTGTGTGTCTATCCAACTATGCTTTCTAGTAAGTGTAGTAGTAGGATACAAGGAACCCCTTGGTGCTCATCTGATATGGTATGTTACCAAGAAACGACCAAGACAACACGGTGAGCCAAGAATCCCAGTTTTCTACTGGTACCAAGAGGCTTCATTATATGTCGTCAGATATACTAGATGTTATCTTACGTCCTAAATGAACACTGCATCATCGGTAATTGATTTGGTAGAGTGACGGAGTGTAGATAAAATCATGAATATCCTGCAAATGCATCATTAAACGAAAACCAAACGACCTATAATTCATCGCTCAGAAGCAGATCTCGTCGCATCTAAGGTTTTTCACCTGCTTCATCATCATAAACCATTTTTTTTGTTGTCAGCGAGTCGCTGCATTCGGTTAAAGCCGTGCTATTGGATTTTCCGATTAGTTTGTTCAAGTGATCCCATCATTTACAGTGTATACATCAGGAGTTGTGATGTTCGGGTTCGGAATTGCATGTGATTCGTCGCCACGGCTTGGCTTTATAGTAGTGTCATCACAGGTCGTTGGTGCCACTACTACACATAGTACAAATGACCTCCTCCTCCTTCTGTATTAAGTTATGATTAGCGTCTTCCCTCACCCCTTCCCCGTGACACTTTTTGAGAACGACAAACAGTAAATGTCAGGCCAATAGAAACTGTTTTTCATTGTATGATTTTTCCAGTCCGGTTCCGTTATTGCTTATTGAGCAAAATGATGATGCCGCCGATCGATTGTGGATACATGTTGTCATGTACGTGAGTAGCACACACATACCCTAATCCGCCATTTAAAATTTTCCCCTTCTGCTTCGGTTGCTATCAACCCTTTATTCTACAGCGCGCGTCAATAGACAAATGAAGAAAACTGACACACCGTGAGAGCTCTTTCTTTCTTTAGTTATTGCGATGAGAGACCCCGGGGCTGTTACTATTAAGCTCCAAATAGGTCCCATCCGTAGAACTTTGTTTGTATACAATTCATATCTTTTATAAGGTACAAAATATAGAACAACAGAAAATTAATCCTGCGGATCAAAGCAACACATCATGTGCTTTGTATGTGTAACATACAGAAAACGGTCTTCAGTTTGGTACTATTGTAAAAGAACAAACAACAACAGAGAACTGAGCTACGATGATCCTGTGAATTTATATAAGATGATGTCAGCCATGCTATCTATTTAAGGTATACTAGCAGTCCTTCCTCGCTTCGCTCCGTGTCATTCAACGGAAACGCGTCGCAAGGGGGTTCCCCCCTTGACTCCCAAACCCGCCCTGTCGAGCGAGGTTGCATCAGTGTTTTGGTATTACATAGATGCTTATTGTCTGTTTTCAAAATCAAAAGCAAGATCATTGTGCAGTGAGAAGTAGCCTATCATAGATAGTCGTCAAAGTTGGATACTTGACTATCTCCAGTTTAGAATGCAATGCGAAAAGAAGTGTTGACAAAGATGATGTAGTGATATTGATAAAGAAGAGAATAGGTGATAATAAAGAGAATAGAAGATAAATAGAATTAGAGAAGGACTTCATGGAAAACAACATTTCGGGTGTTTTGGCCTTGCTGACCCGCGATACTTGGGTTCACGGGAACTAACATGATTTTGATGGATGAAGGGGGGCGGACGCGCGACATGGCTACATAGAGTAGACCATGCGTGAAAGGAGGCTCAGGTAAGTATAGGCCAACAGTGTTGAAAGTTTGACCCTGTGCCTTATTTTTGGTCATTGCAAATGCCAGGCGAACAGGGAATTGTGTACGTTTAAATAGAATGGGGGAACGTGTTTGTGAAGGTGTGAGTGTTATGCGAGGGATCAAGACGATGTTGCCAGCATAAGGTCCAGTGGCTATTTCAGTTTCAAGTACAAATCGTTGGAAAGAGCGTACAATCAGCCATATCCTATTGCAGAGACCACTTTGGGTGTGCAAGTTCCGCAAAAGCATGACTGGGAAACCGATTTTGAGATTTAGTGAGTGTGGTGGAAGGTCGGATGGATTCATTGAGTTTAGAAGCTCTGGTGGGTATGTGATTTGATCTTCTGGATCATCCACTGTATCAGCGCTTTGGAACTCATGTATGGTGCCTAGAAAATGGTCGAGTACCAAATCGTTGATTGTTGTGACGTCGGCATTCTTTGGAGTCAAGAGGGAGCGACTGATGAGGTATTGACGATCCACGTGTGGTGCATTGAGGTTGCCGTAAATGGTTTCTATGAGCTCGTACATGTTGTAATATGGCATGAGCATCCGATCTGGTAGCCAGACTCTGTCATCGGTGTTTGGCATCAACAGCTCAGCACAATCACCAATGCGAAATAAAATATTGCGCAAACTGGCCAAGCTCGTTTGCATCATTGGTGTTGGCAGCTTATTGGACGCGCATGTTGGTTTCAACGCGATGGACGGTGACACTGGGCCAAATTGATGAACGATTTATACACTGCTGTACGATTTGTGAGCGCGATGCATTTGGTATCATAGGAAGGACCTATCAACAGATTTGATGCAGATACTTTAAATGTAAGTACTACCGCTCAATAGCAAAAGAATGCAAAGTAGAAGAGAGGATACAATGTTGAATATCTGGCGAAAGTCACCACCAAAGACCCTGATCTTTCCACCAAACGGAACATCGGCAAGCGCTGGATCGTCATGTTTCATGAGATTTTGGATACTCCTGTATACATACAGTATTAAATACGATGATACTTGTATTCAGCGTGTTTAAAGCGATCACACTTCTCGGACGATAAAGAATTTGAAGTGAGCTTTATATCGTGTTCCTTAGTGACAGTTATCCTCTCGAACTTTTCCTCGATGCGATACCCGTCTACTCACAACGACATACATTCACTGTAAAGCAAAGTTTCTGACCTGGAGGGGCCACACACCTCGGCGCGTCATAAACGTGAGAGAGCAATCTGATTGGATAGATTGAACTGGCTCAAATTCCGCATAGCATGTGTGTTCATTACTACTATGTAACCGCGCAGCCGCAGCAATCATACCGCTCTTCTTCCTCTTCGTCAACTTTTCTAAACCAAAGCTATTCATGTGAGTGTCATTGGAACGGATTAGAGGATCGGAGAGTGTATGTTTACGGTGGTGAGTGAGAAGAGTGTATGCAACCGGTTGCGAGTATACAGCGATTTCTTAAGATCCGTTTATCTCACTTTCTTTCTTTTTTGACACAAACTTTCTTTCGTCTTAACCTGGTCCTTCTCCACTCAAAGCACAGATGCAAGGGTAAGTACAATATGGAAAGTGTGAAGTGTACTTTGAGGTTTTGCATGTGGATGTGATATACGAAAGAAGATCTGAATTTTGACGTGTCTAAAGAAGTGTGTGTACAGCATACAGTCGCTAATGTTATCCTCCTTTCTTCTCTGCTACTACTATAGGATTCTGACTTTTTGAAATGGTTGGTTCGGTTTGTTGTTTGCACCCCAACCTTAAACACAAGCAACAACTGTAAGTACGGTAGGGAATGAAATGTGAGGATGAGCTGGAGAGAAGTCGAGTGTCTGTTGGGGGTGCTGATGCCATGACGTGTCAAGAATAGTTGCATATTTAGAACAGCCTGCTCATGATCTTTCTTCTTTTCTTTCTTACTTTAGGTTCCGCTTTATGCTGGTTGGTTTAATCGTGTCCGGCGGACAAGTAACAGATAGTAAGTATAAGCAAAAGGGGACTTGAACATTGGTAGGTGAGTAGGATGGCCTGGGTGCTTGGGATGACGTGCCAAGGGTGTGTAGTGTGCGCAGCAGCGTGACGGGAAAGGGTTCCTGACCATAACGTGTGCAGTATGGCAGTCTCTCAAAAAAATTCTTTCTCTCCTCCCCTTTCTTCTCTTGTTCTTCAGAATTGGTCGTCGTGCCCTTCTTGCTTTTCCTCTCTCTAACTCAAGGCTCTCTTCCTCCAACTCAAAAATGTCATAATAGTAAGTATAGCTGGAAAGGATTTTGTGCTTGTGTTTATATTTGCGTGTTTGAAGACCAGGAAGATGTCTGCCGTGACATGTCAAAAAGTGTATGCAGCTGCTCATAGATGTTTTCTTTTTTCTAATAGAGGATGGCTCTGCGGTGATCTGTTTGAACTTGGATTGGCTTAGACCCCATCTCTCTCTGTCTATAACTTTGCTGTAAAAGACAAAACAAATGTAAGTCAGCTTGGGATGGAGGAGGATGGCCATGCCGTGTCAAAAATAAAGATAGCACAGTGGGTGCAGCCCTCTAATGATCTTTTTTTTCTCAGCTAGAAGAAGCGTTTTTGTCTTGGCTGCGTTTCTCTGCTCTGCTCTGGCCGTGTGTTCGGCTCTCCTGCGTCTTATCGTAGAAGTATGGGTAAGTATAGCACGATAGAATCTTGTGTGTGCGTGTGTGTGGTTTAACAGTTTCCCATTAAGTGTTCATCTTTTTTGTTTCTCGGAATGGCGATAGCGCATAGACACATTCACGCTAGTCAAGATTGATGCTCCACTGTCATCCCGCTCCTAGAATCCGACCTGTCAAGTAGTCCATCGGAAATATCCAACTACAAATCGTCTCAACTGTCTTGAAACGTCCGTATATCTCACGATGTCTGTTAGTCCACGGCCTGAGCCTCGGCTGTTGGCAGGGATTGAGGACTTGACACATGTAGATTGAGAGACGAGGAAGTAGTAGTGCTGACAATGCGACGGTCGTTTCCATTTCCTCCGTGCTGTGGTGTCTGCCGTTTCGTCTATCCTGTAGAGGGTACATTTAATAGTTTGCACTTTATAACGGTGATGGTTAAAAGCAAGCAACAAGAAAGGGGTCCGAGCGACGCTTGAGCGTGCTACTACAATAAGACCTGCATGGTACTCATATAAAGAATGCCCCAACTTTGCTCTGTTGGCATTGTTCAACTGCTCTCGAGTTATTGAGATGCGAATGTGATTTGCTGCCATCGGTTATTATATATGCATGAAGCATTGCCAGGTTGTTGTTTTTTTCAACAAAGACACAATGATGTGCGAATGCGAATCATGTATTATATAAATGACTTTTTCGCATTCCTATTCTTATATACCACATCATGATATACGTTGGTGCCGCAATCGTCAAACAGATTTAATAACAAGCGAATCTGACAGAAAGTTTGTGTAACATAACCCAAGGATATGGCTTGAAGATCACTGCTATCTGCAACAACCATCCTGTAAGTATCCTAATTAACAGGTAAAGCTTGATCGTACGATTGATTGTTATCTTCCAAGCAAAAAATCATCATTGCACCAGTAATCATTTATTTCTAAAAATGGAACAATCAGGATTTCAAAAACAAGATTTATATCGTTTAACAATGGACAAGAAGCCAGGTTGGTCGCACCACTCACACTCTTTTTTTCTCTTTTCTTATTTTTCACGTGGCAATACAAGAAAATCATGACCCATAGCTTCACCACTACAACCTTTCATAAACCAACAAATTGTCAAGCTTGCGATGGTCTACTCTGGGGTGTTCGACACCAGGGGCAACAGTGCAAAGGTAAAAAAAGAGAGAATAGCTTATACCTGAGAAAGTTCAAAAAATATGATTTCCAGCAAAGAAGAAGCTCATCGATGAAGGTTGTGGTTATAATTGTCACGACGATTGTACCATTGCCGCTCCGTCAAAGTGTTCTACGACCACAACCACTACAGCTACAACAACACCGACATCACCGTCTACAGGAGCTACGAAAAATGTACCTGAAGCGATCCTAAATCAGACGACTCCTCCTCGAACAGCTACAACATCCGAACATATTCAAAGTGTCATTGTCACCGCCGCATTGCGTGCCGCCGACAGAACTGATCCGCCTAATGAATACCTTGCGAACTTGCCACCCCTGAATGCACAAATATCAGCAAAGAACTTTGTACGGTTCGCCTCACGCTGTGGGTTCATGTTTTCGTTTCGAGACTCTGTAATCCTCTTGCTGAGCTGGGAAAAACCGTTGGATACTTGTGTGGCTATGGCGCTTTATTGCATGATCTGTAAGTATATTATCTGCTTGTGTTTACTAGATCTCTCATTTATAATCACTGTAATACGCCTTGAGACCTAAATGGTTTGAAACGCTCTTTTGTTGTTTTCCATTAAAAATCAGGCTTTCATCCCAAATTATTACTCCTGGCACCACAAGTCGTCTTATTACACATCATCATCAGTGCATATTCAAAGCGACACGACCGGGATCCAACGGGAGCAGGGTCAGGAGCAGCTGCCGAAAACTCGCCCGAGTATCTACGCAACATGCAAAATCTGCAAAACATGATGGGTGAAGTGAGTGATGCTTATGACGTTGTTGTCAAGTACATGCGCTTTGTCGACTGGTCGTCCGAGGCAACTACCTGGCTGGTCCTACAACTCACTATTCTGTCGTCGGTTGGAATGATCGTGACCATGTGGTTTGTACCACTGCATCTGTTGCTCCTCCAAGCTGGTATCGGGGTGTTTATGTCTAACACGCGTTTTGCCAAGTACTGCATTCGCGAGTTCTCGCCCTATATTATCGACTATGCCAAGGGAAGACTGCATGTCGCCTCACAGTGGTATACCGAGTTTGAAAAGCAAGTCGATGAGCGAGAACGTGTGCGTGAAGTATCACTGTTTGAAAATCAGCGTTGGTGGTCTGAAAGTGGATTCGCACCTCAGGTAAAGAATAAAGCTTGTGAACTTGCAAATACGCAGTGTATGAGTTATTTTAACTGTATGTTTAGCTTTTGGATAGCGAGCGAAATGCATGGTCAGATCTGTCTGGATCTGTACAGCTACCACCCAAGGAAGATATGACTGCACCCAAAGGATATCGTTGGACCCAAGACAACTGGAAGCTCGATACGGCTGGTCCCTGGATCGACGATGTTCTGGGAATTGGTAAGCAATTTTCTACTCCTTATCATAGTTACATACAAAATGAAAACTAACTGTTTGCATTATAGAGGTACAACAGAAACACATATCGAGTCAAAGGTAGACACGAAAGTCATCGAATTATCCACTAACATAATGTTTTCTCTCTCAAATAACAGTTCCTTGTCTCCCCTGAAGAAGGTGGATGGATGTATACAGACAACAACTGGGAATACTCTGGTAACGACAAGAACCAAGGACGACAGGCAAGAATGACACGTCGCCGACGGTGGATAAGACAATGCGAACGTATTGCAAACAATGCATCAACATCAAGCACACAATAGTACATCTGTTTTATCGTTTTTCTTTTTCTTCGATTCATCCTTGAGGGATAAGAATAACAATCCATCAAATGCTTATACCATATATAAAAAAAGAAAACAAGGTTTTTTTTCAAACAAAAAAAAAGGGGGGAAAAATCGATGGTTTTGATGTAAGGAGTTGGTTTTGGTCTGGATTGGTTTTTTAAAAGATAACATCAAAGGTTATTATCTAATTGGGCGTGGTGTAATACCGGACAGTGCGATCCAAGCCTGCTGCCAACAATGATTGAGCAAGAGGAGCCCACTTGACACCAGTGACTTCAGCCGTGTTGTCCGAGAATGCGGCAAGTTGAGAACCATCCTTGGCTTTGAGGATTCTGACGTCAGTGCCACCCACTGCCAAGTACTGGGCATAATTGTCAAACGACAGCGAGTTAATCTTGTAACCTTCGTCGAGCGTGAAGGTCTTGGTGTTGCTGAGTTTACGCAAATCCCAAAGCTTGACAAGGTTGTCCTCTGATGCAGTTGCCAAGATATAACTAATAAAAACCAAAATTAGACACACATTTGTTTACCCAGCATATATCGAGAGAAATCGCTAGTTACCCGTTCTCTGAGAATGCCATGGCGTTAATCTTGCCAGCGTGTTCACCAAACGAAGCAGCAACACGCTGGGCTTTGACGTCCCAGATGCGGACAGTCGAGTCCGCAGTACCGGTACCGAGAATCATGCCGTCGGGATGGAACTCAATAGCAGTATAACCGGCTTGTGTTTCAGGGTCCACAGTATCCACAATCGACTTGCCCGTTTCGAAATCATACAATGACCACTTGCTATCCATACCAGCACTGACAAAGTAATCCTTAGAAGGATGGACTGCAATATCCGTAGCGTCTGCACCGTGTGCAGTGATATTGTGTCCGAGCTGATAGCCTGATACCCCACGATACCAAGTGTTAGTTTATGTCTCGGTCTTTACCATATCGAATACTCTGTAGTGAAAATCTACGCAGCTCTTACCTTTGTTTCCACCGGGAACCCAGACACGCACGTGCTTATCAGCACTCGCACTGATGGCAACATCGTGCTCAACTTCTTGTCCTCTGAATTTGACAGCAGTGACCTTCTTGGTGTGTCCAGTGAGATTGGCAAAGACCTTTTCTTCGGCCTTGTTGTAGATTTGTACGTGCTTGTCGTTGCCACCCGTCAGAATATATTGTCCGCTGTGATCGACATCAACACAGGTAATGCCAGGCGAGCGCGTTGTGTGCATGGATGGGATTGTCGAGGTCTGCGTAAACGTCTTAATCTGGTCGACAGATGTGTGTTCAGCTGGCGGCTTTCTCTTACGACGACCTTCTGATAATCTGTTTTGTTCCATACACATATTAGCCATTGACCTAAGGTACATGCTCATTTTTTCTTTGCTTCTTGTTCAAATATTCATATTCATCCAAGCTTACACTTTGTTGGTTTCGTCAAACTTGCTCACAACTTCCTCTGGTAATCCTGAGCTATCCACTTCCATAGACTCTGACGGTGTAGCTTCTGGTGCGGCAGCAGCAGGTGCAGCAGCGCCCAAATGCTCCTGAACGTTCGAAAGTGCCCTATTAATTGATATAAAGAGACATTAATGAGTACACGAATCTTGCACACATAAAACTACAGAATGAGAAGGAAAAACAATATCAACGTACTCGCGAGCAGCATCACGTTCTTTCTTCAAACGAGCAATGACGCGAGTAGCTGCGTCGTTTTGGTACAAGGCGTGCGATAATTCTTGTCGTACTTGCTGATACTGCTGCTTCAGCGTAAATGCCTCCAACATGACACTGTCCCATTCATTCTGAAGTGCTGACAAAAGGGAAGGTACTGATGAAAGTTTGGGTGGTCGCGGTCGTACAGTTTCTGGATCTTTTTTTTTTAACCAAACGAGATTGAATAATGAAACGCGTCAATTATAAAGATCTACGAAGAGCGCAAACTTTTTGATGTCGTCATCTAAATTGAAAATGGACTTACGTGCTTTCACTTCGACCAAATCTTCAACCGTCAGTTCTTCGCCGCTCACGGGATCTTTACCATGATCAGCAATGTACTTTTCAATCAATCGCTTTTCGAAAAGATTGCCAGATTTGACAGAGACAACGGGTACCTCAGGCGCCTCTCCAGAAACTAGTATTAATTCAAGTTAGTTGATTAGTTATAATAGCTTTTGCAAAAAGCCTAATTCATGATAAGTCTTACTGGCACAAAACATAATTGTAGGTTTTTAGTAAAGAGAAGTCCGTGGAGCGTCGGGACACATACACTATCACCACTCACTGCCAACCAAACCAGACCTTTCAACTGTAATGATGCTGACAGTCACGCTCATCGACAGATTACTAAATTAGGAACAGCACGTAACCTTGTCATGTCGACAGTCGCCACGGACACATGATATGTACTCTTCATCGCTGATATTATGTTCTGTTTAATACATACTGAATCTCTTGGTCTAAACAGCTGTCACTTCTTCTCTATGATATACATACGACCAAGTCTGTTAGTTTGATCTGTACACCAGCCGCTGCTACATGATGTATCCGTACCAGAAATCATCAAAGGGAGGGACATGCTATGTTGTTTCTTTCAAGTGTTTTGGTAAACACATAGCGCTGGTTCCAAACACACAATCCTATGCGCTAAGCCCTCTACCATGTACAGTGTATCTAGGAGAGAACTTCTAAACATAACAGTTTGGAAAGATTGTGTACAACAAATCTTTATTGAGTCGTGGCTCCGTCGACATACGTACTACGGAAACAAGCGACACGTACGAGAGACAGTACTGCATAAACTACGATGGCTTATCGATACTACAGTATTATGTCAGCAGTGCACATACAACTGTCCTTCCTGTCCTTATTCGAGTGGCAAATACAGACATGATGATGGCACTGGAAAGAAGATAGCTTCATTTATAATTATAGTTGGAGGTTGTGTGCTAGGCAGTGCATCAGCATCATGTATTTTATCATTACTATATTCAGCCCAGTATGGTATCTTTCAATTTGAATCGAGAATGTGATTGATCGATTGTTTATTAAAGGAATACCCATCTACATACTAGTCCGTATTGTCAAACATAAACTAGATACGGAACGCACTTGTTGGCAGCCTGATTGTTTTCCTGGTTACCATAGTACTTGGCAACAACGTTGACATCATCGTGGTCGACTAGTGATGTCTTGTTCTTTATGAGTTCAACAGTTCATATTAGCTACGGGTAGGCGGCTGATTATGAGTAATCAGCTGCGCTGCACATTAACCAGGACTCTCTTTAACCGTTTTCGCTATGTAACGTTCTTTCTTCACTGCTGTATTCTAGTGAAGCCATACACAATAACATCAGTTATTGCGCACACCGCTCTACTAGTTGTCTCCTGTTATACAATGTTCCCATCCGTTCGCTATAATGCAGCTAGTTCAATAGATGCTGTATTTTGGAAAATCAATCGTAGAATGTAGAGTAGTAGTACCACACGACTGGAAACGTCCATATAGAATATGTTGTCAGAAATAAATCTGCAGTGCATAAAGTGTTTCCCCAACTGTCGGCCCCTTTTCTTTTTCTTTTTCCCGCATAACGTTTCTCCTGCAACCGGCAGCTTTTTTTTTCTTTTGTTTGTTTCAGCTTCTGGCCTCACACCGTTATGGAAGAAGACCGTTCTGGTTCATTCAATCCTCCATTATGGCGACAACGACGAACCTTCATTCGCGACATTTTGCAAAAGCATAATGTGTCTACTGTAAGTCTTTTATCTGATACGCCCTTTATAAAACAAGTTGACAGTGGCCTTGCACGCGCAGGATATTTGACCATTGTATGTAAAATTGTTAGGTACTCGATTACGGTTGTGGTGAAGCGTCAGTGCTGTCATTCCTGATTTCACCTACAAATGATCCTGTTCAAATCACTAAACTCGCTGGAATCGATATTAATCCAGACGTGTTGCAGGAGGCTGTGCAAGCGTGTCAACCATGGCCGGACGACTATACGCACCTGCGCGAAAACCCATTAATCATCGATATCTATCAAGGTACGCTCTAACTTCTATAATAAGTGCGTTTAACTAAACAGGTTGCATTGTTATTGTTGTTGTTTCCTAAACCTGTTTTACTAATTAGGGTCAGTGGATCAGTTCGATAAACGATTGGTGGGATACGACGCGCTCATCTGCTCAGAAGTCATTGAACATTTGTTTGCACCCACACTCGACAAGTTTTTGGATACAACACTAGGCCAATATGCTCCTCCATTGATGGTTATCACCACACCAAACGCTGAATACAATGTAAACTTTGATTCGTTACAATATGGCACGCCCAACGCTGTTTTTCGTCACGACGATCACAAGTTTGAATGGACGCGCCAAGAATTCGAAGCATGGTGCCGTGCTGGTGCAGACAAGTATGACTACGATGTTGAGTTTCAGGGTATTGGACTCGTTGAAGGCAAACGCGATGATCTATCGTTCGGTCACTGCACCCAGGCTTGCATTTTTATTATCCGTAATCCATCGCAACAACACAAACAACATCCGCAACAGCAACAGCAGCAGCAAGCTGATGCCACACCTCATCAGCTTGTTCTACACACTGAATTCCCGTATTACCGTGAACCAGCCTTACCAGAAGAGCAGGCACTGATTGAAATCGAAACATACATTGCTTCATTGTGTCAAGTCGAACCAGAAGAAGACAACAAACAGCAACACCGTCGCCGGGAGTGGCAGCATCAACAAGAGCCATTAGTTCTTAAATGGTGCTCCGATTGGACTACCATTGATACCACTTCTACTGCCACGTTCACTGCCCCAAAATCGTCACCATCAGCACCATCAACCCCACCATTGACTGATGACAATAGTGACAACAACAATGACAATCCTCAATCAAAGCGTTACACGCGTGTACCACAACGATTTCCCTATTCAATACTTTGGGATATCTTACGTATCCGACAAGTATGCAAAAGTGAACAGCGCATGATTCAAATTTTGAGAGCAAATCCAGCAAACTATCAAATTGAAGGAAAGGACCTTGTCGTTCTAAAGGCGTTTAAAGTGGTTGATGACGAACAAGAAGACGATTCTATTAGCACAGTCTCCTCCGACCCCGATGGAGATTATTTCTCATGATAATGATGGCATCGACTTGTGGTCTTGTCCCTCTTATCCTTGTAATGGATTTGTTGTGATGCAGGGGAAAAATAAGGAAAAAAAGTTTGTACATAATGTTTGCAATGGTATAGCGAAAATATACCACGATAGTAATATAAAAAATAACCAGGTCTCCCATCTTTCATTATCCATTCTTTTTTTCGTCTACATGTTGGTGCGCAGAAGCGAGCTTGCCATATTCAACCAAATACTGTGCTTGCGCATCTCCCTTCTTTGCCAGATCCAATAATAATAGCTTTGTATGGGCAAGACACCAACGTCGAAGTTGTACTGCATCCTCCAACTCGCGTCGCGGCTGAGCATCGAGTCCGGTCACACTTGACAGCATGGCAGCACAGATCCGCCATGAAGCCACCACATCCTTCGCCATATCGTAGCGCTTGTCAATAAGTGACATGTGGTACCAAGCAAGGACAGGTATCAGCATCAAGGCAAACACCAGCCCAACCATGGTGAACCCAATATACTTCCAAAACTGATAAATCAGCGTTCCATAGAGCGGGATAGCAAGCACCACCGAGTAAACAAGCTTATCCTGGGCCACCGATTCTGTGTATTGTTCGTAATGTTCAGCGACTCGGCCTAGCAGGTAGATGGGCCAGTTGATGATGATGCTGGGTAAGAAGAGTGGTATCTGGATCGCTAGCGCTGTCCATGTGGATGCAAGTCGTACAATGGCACGTCGCAGTGTGATTTCATGGTTTTCGTACATGTTGATATCCCATACTGTCAGTCGTAGTTGTCGCAATGTTTTATGAAATGTCAGTAGTCGCATTTTGAGCTCGGCTAGTGCCTCGTCCTCTTCGATTTTAGATGGGTGGAATATTTCTATGAAGCTTTAGAGTTTTGATGATAGTGAGATTCCTCTATGCATTTCCCACTTGTTCTTTCCCTTCTCTGCCAGTTATCCACATACCTTTGTGATACTTGAACATATTCTTCAAGCCTGACACTCCGGGTATCTCCAAACATGATAAATCGAGCTTCAGAAGCAGCATGGAGTGTATCCCTAATGGTACCAAGGTCATCAGTCCCTGAATGTTGTTTCGTTCAGTTTAACCTCGCCTTCCACTTGTTTCTCATCCACAAATACGAATGCTCTCTCTCTCTCTCTCTCTCTCCCCTTTTCCTTTTTTTAGGTTTCCCTTTTCGAGTAAAAATCATGATATTACCAATCCGGGCTATTGATGGTCCCTTGTTTCACACCGTCGGCTATGCGGGCCGTCAATTGCTTCACTGCCTGTTTCGATTCAATCTGAAAGTTTTCTAAATCACGGCCTGTGATACGTATCGGTGCGCCATATCTACACGAGGAAGACATAGCAATAACGTGGGTTAGACAAGATTCAAACCTCCTGTTCCTCCCGGTTCCCTTGTTTAAATAATAGTGTCTACTACTTGCTCAACCACCACATCACTGCGCCATTTGTTCTTTGTGGTGTAAGTAATGCCTGCTGGAATTATTGATATCCCCACGTCTTCTGGATTGCTTCCTTTGCTGCATTGATCCAATAAATATTCGTATGCTGCCCATGACAGACCGTCCTTGAACGGTAGATGATGAGGTAGCGTATACGATGTGCCTATATATCTCATATCAGTTCCTGTTGTATTTGTGTGTCTGTGTGCTCCATAATCCTTTGCCCTTTTTCTTCCTTGAAACCCCCCCCCTCCCCCACCCGAACGCAGTATCAGCCTTTCTCGCCTTTTCAACCTCTTCCTCCAATAATACTGAAAACCAACCCTCAGGAAATACAGCAATCACTCCGCCGTGTTCTAAACAGCCCAGTGTATGTTCAAACAGTTTCGCGTTGCTGCGAGTTTGGGTATCAACGGGAAGCACGCCTGCGGCCGCAAGTATTTGACCCACGACAGGTATTTTAAAGAACCGGGCCAATGCCCAGAAATGACAACGGCGAGCATGAGGGAACGTGGCAATAAGGACGGCTGGATCGAGCACCATGTTCATGTGGTTGGCTGCAACAAGAAGCGGACCTTGCCGGCTTATCGGGGGCATTCGAGTAACGACCTTGACGTTACGAAAGTATACCCATACAGCAAGTCGTGCCAAGTATTGTAATGCTTTATAGATTCCGGAATCATCGTCAATGTTTGGCTTGGGTTCGGAACGCGCCATTGAGTAGGAGGAGAGAAAAAAGGTCAGAAAATAAGTTATTGGAAATTAAAGTCAAGTGTGGTAAAACACTGTGAACTTGATTAGGAAGGCCAAGGAATAAAAAAATTTGGTCGTGACCTCAGGGTGTTGGTAGTGTTTAGATAATAGGCTAACAGGTGAAGGGGCAGAAGAAGGTTGGTGGGCGGGTGGTGGTGGTGGTGTGGCCTGGCCTGACCTCTTTCCGGATTCCGGTTTGCCGTTTTGGCTTTTGAAGGCTGGACTCTTTAAATTTAGCATATGAAAATGCTCTGTGTTTCAATGCCACACACGCTCTTCCTCTAATATGCCTTGCACACCACGAAATACAGTTCGCGTAGTTCTTTTTTTAGAGGCTCGTCAAATCCTCTTACTATGAAAAATGCGCGCGCACATGCACCCTCAAGTACGCCAGTATCACGTTATTTATGACTGCTTACCATAACAGAAAAGGATTAGGGTTAGTACTATCTTTTAAGCTACATGTTACTACCATTGAGATAATAAGTGGGGATATCACTTCATTAAAGGCAGATCGAGCGAGATTTCAGTAGCTTACAAAGCTTGACGATATCGTCTCTAACCTTATAAATAATCCTTGAAAGCTAAAATGTACATATTCAAGAGTACTGGTTCTTTTATACCATACCACATTTCATTATATTTAGTTCATGTGTAATTTGTTTCTCTTTTGATCACGTCCTTCACGTCTGTAGTCAGTGACCGTTCTTGCGTTAATGGTTTATTACGACATCAATAAAATGAACGATTATTGGGAGGCGGGGGGACTATGGTCAGCTCAAATCGCTTGTTGATTGGGTTTTCACTCTAATTGCTGCTGTGTGTCTCGCTAAGTATGATAGTTCTTTCTAACAACCAGCTCATATGTAAGATGTATTGCTAAACTTTCTGTTATTGCACTCTACAAAAACATCGCAGCAACGATGTTCATATAAATATTTACAAGCGTGCTTGGGTAAACTTGAATGTTTTGGTTTTCGAGATTTGCAATTTGGAACTTGCAACATCTGTTTTGTAGTGCTGCATCTTATCAGGTATAAAATATTCTCGCGACTTGCAACAAATAACATATGCCTTGGCGCTTGTTGCATCTTATCAAGGGGATAGTTTAAGCCAAAATAGCACGCTCAAATCAGAGGACCCTTCGCTCCTCCACATAAACCGAAAGCATGTATTATCTGCTATACTTTCTGAGGACTCATCTACATGTATTCGACTTTTCTTGTTGCTATAAATTTTACATTTGCTTTATATAGTGGCAAAATGTATATGTCTCCAGGAAGCAAATCACCATCCTGCGAATGGCTAAGTATACCGATCGGCGCCTTAACACCACATCGTACACTGATGAGTGTGCGCCGGGTACGAGTGGCCAACCTTTAATAATATAAATTAATTAGTTGACTTGCAGGTTGCGACTGTGTCGATAGCTTGCCATGGATAGCTCTATAACATAGATGGCAAAAATTCTAAGTTAGTATGGCAGCAGTGTCTTAGATAGCAATATCTACCGATAAATACAGCGGAATACCTGTTTGAACTGCAATTAATTTTGCTACACGGGTTTATTTTGGGGTTATAGATATAGTCTTACGCTGTCGCTACGCTGGGGTTTCAGCACTTGCAACCAACGTTAGGGATCAAAGGGGAAGCTTCCTTACGAAGCGAGGCAGGGGCCGCCAGTAACTTTAAATGCATTGCACAGACTTTGTGCAGCAACCTCCCAGTCAGGCCTGATGATAGTGATGCAAAAACATTAAAATGGACAACCCTACCCGTTCGTGCATCATGCATCATAAAAGACTTGGCAACACCGTACATATTATTAAGCTGAATTTCCCATTTTAGGTTTTTCTCGCGGTTGGCACATGTAGTTTAGCAGCTGCTTTTCGCATCACTCCCTTGTAACAAGTTATACATATGGAGAAGGGGGGGATGACTCTAACTTACATAGTATTCACTTAGCATAGTGTATGTATTGTTTTTGCTTCTTCTATACCACAAATGGACCACTGGCACTTTAAGCTGGCAGCTTAGGTTACATGATACGTAACTCGCATTGGGGTTTCCTACATATCAGGTATACATCATGGAAAGCGAATTTGTATACTTTACGACAAACAATAAGTTAAGAAGCACTCCAATTTCCGTTTTACCATGCTGAACAAATAGTGCCTTGAAGTACCATTACACACGTAGCGTATAAATGATTCTATATTACAGTGTATGTAGAATGGTAGCATAGTAAACAGCTCAATCATGCACATATACCATTGTCAAAAAGAAACAATTATATAAAGCTCAATGTGCGCAAGACTGAAATTCACATTGCCTATGTTGTCATACGTAAACAGAGCTGCAAAATGACAAAATAACCCTCCATATTTGTATCAAGGAAAGAGGAGTGAATTCTCGAATGCGATAGAAAAGATGATATCACATACACGTATCCAACTGCTCTTTTCGGGGATTAGACATAATATGCAGACGATGCAAGAACCCATGGAGATCTATCTCTTATACTTGCTGTAAATTCCTGCCGGAGGCGAAGAAGAGTATTGCAACAAGCACACACACAAGCGCGTTTCCACCATCAGCCAATCATCGCGAGTTCCTTTGCACCACTTAAACTCCCGGATGAACGGGGCTTTTGTTACATAGTATAATATATACTCGTCAGAAGTAATCTTTTTAATTGGTAGAGAGTGGTAGAAAGATAAAGGTATGTGTTTTTTTCTCGAGTCAAATGTAAGAATGTAGAAAAAGAGAAGAAGAAAACGGAAGGGCCATACTACAATAGCGCAACAACAAACGACGATAATGAAGACGACAGCGACGACGACTTATTGCTTCGTTGCAAAAATCGCATAGCTCATTGCAAATACAGCGATAGCCACCATCACCAAAACCTGGATTGGGTATCCTTGAGGAGCCTGGATGACTTCGGTGACAGCTGGTTCCTTCATCTGTCGGATGTTGAGCATTTCCCTTTCGTACTCCAGCAGTTTTTCCTTCATCTGCCTCATTTCGTTTTGTGTTGAGCTGTAGTCGTTTTGGAGAGGAGCAACAGCCTCCGGTACAGATTGTTGTTGGCGATCCCGAACTTCAGGAGCAGCCGATAGTGCACGATGCGTGCCGTTGGAAAGCTATAAAATAACGGCCCCGTCAGTTGCTTTCTTTCTTTCTAAGCCCAACACCTGAACTCACGGAAGACACATAGGCAAGCATACAAACACACATACTCGCACATACACAGGTCACCCCACTTCTCCTTTTTACCACTACAAACTAGTGATTACTTACGTCGGCCACTACTGGCTCGGTGTGGGCTACCTCTGCGTTCACCGGCAAGAAAGCGCATCGCAGTTTGTGTTGTTTGATGGCTCCCATCTTGCCCGCTTCTACTTGTGTCCACTAATTTGTGACAACCCGTTCAATTAGTCCCCCTTTTTCCCTAGGTAACGACACGCGCTGCACGCGTTTTCCGAAAGAAACTCCCTGCATCTCCTTCGTCTTCAATGCTCTATTCTCTTTTCCCCTCTGGTATGGCAAAGTGTTTAAAATTTCAAGATTCTTACCAGATCATTGATTGGGAGTAGTTCCTTATCTGCTGAAACCAGCACGGTCTGCACAAGGAACTTATCTTTGCACCGGTAGTCAGGCTCAGGTTCGGTTTTGAATGGTTGAAGCATCACTACATTTGTCTTGTCAATTCTTCCCGAAAAAGTATATCTTCACGTTGCTGCCTGTCCCTTATTACTCTCAAGTCCTCAATGTGCTTCTCGACAGCTCATAATATTGATCTTGACAGCAGCAGCAACATTCCATTGTCGCATAATGCAAAGGATCAACCAGCCAACCCCTTTTCTCCCCTCTGCCTCCAGCAGCCCTTATCATTTCCCTTATCAATTTTAACTTGATGCTTTGAAATTACCTTGCACTTCTCGGGTGGCATTCGGGTTAATAATACCAGAGTTCGGACGTACGCAGTACTGCTTTGGGGCTGTGGTTTTCACCTTGAACGCCACGGGACCCGAGTTGGGATTTCTGATGGCCAGTTTTTCCTCAACCACTCTAGTTAATGGGCCTAAAGCGAGAGGGCAACAACAAAATTGAATCGTGAGTGGGAGGTGTTGCAGGTAGAATGACCCTTAATCACACAAAAACACGCCTTTTTTCTTCTGTTCATTTCGCTTTTTCTTACACCTCCCTTCTACAGCTACATAACACCTTCCCCAACAACAATTATCCTATTGATATTTACGCTGGAAAGTAAGAAATTGTTCGGGCTCGATTTGAACAGACATTTTAGCGATATAAAGGTGGTGTTAAACTTTCTGAAAAATAAATGAATGGCGTGAAATTTTAAAGAGGAAGAAGAAAAGCACGGCCGATAGGCGCGGTGAGCGGGCTTTTTGTTTTGCTCGCGCTCACCTCGGCTGGGGTTTTTGCTTGACATGGCAAATTAAATATACTGCGCTAAAGTATATGTTGCCAAGGTTTTCTACCTTCTATCAATTCGAGCTAGTAAGCCATCAAAGTTCATACCAAGCACGCCCCTAATCAAAGAGAGCTAAGTCTATGCGATACCTGCGTAGCTTTACTACTGCTGTCTCAAATGCTCACTGGCTTTGTCAGCAGCTGCGGATATGGGCCGATCATGTGGGTTAGACGACGATTGATATGGCACATGCATGCAACAGCCTCAGCCTCTGACTGTTTATGATACCACCACAATTTGAGCTTGCCACTCGCATCGCAGCCGCTGCATAACAGCGGCTACGGCTCTGACTAAGACCAAGGATTGCTCATGCATACTGTCAAAAATAACAGAATGCACACTGCTACATCGGGTTTTTTTCATTTCATGACCAGCGCAGTAACACAAAAATCGTATCCTAAATGATAGTAGTCTTTCTTTTTTCACATGCGTATAGAATTCACCCACAACCACATGTATCATTTCTTACTGTCCTCCTGTATGCACAGTATACTGCTGTACATCGTAGCAGTAATAATTAACGGAAGTACAGCGTATTGCTTCTTGATCCTGTATAACTGTAAGCTCTGTAACTATGACGATGATGATGATGCTCCTTGGACTATTTTTTCTTCGTTGATAGAACAATGGCGGTTTTTGAAGGCACCAACTAGTGTTCTTCAATTGAAATCATTTCAATACACTTTTCACTTGCAGGAATTGATAATTAACAACAAGATGATGTGTATGCATAAAGCCACAACGAGAATCTGGTCAAACAGAGTTATAATAGCTCAAAAGTTGTATCGGCGCATAGACACATTTTCGCAAACGTAAACGGTATATTGCAAACCGGCATCCCAAATCACAGATTACCGTTTGGGCCTTTTGCAACCTTACAAGGTCTTGGAAGGTCGCTAAAGGTATTCGAAAGGCTACAGCGACAGCTAACGGTTACGAACGGCAATTGTACTTTTCGGACGGGACTGCTTTGTATGGCGAGATTCTGTCGACTGCGATACCACGAATGAAAAAGAAACGACATAGCACTTAATTTGCAGCGAATGCAACAGTTTCAAAAAATATCCACGACCTCATAGCACCAGAAAGAAATCGCAGACATAAATGGAGGCACATCCGTGCTGAATAATAGGCATACACAATACAAGGGTTTGCTACAGCAAATACGGGACGTACCAAAAACGTACTGTAGTTGGATCAAACTTGGGATGGAAGAGGATGATGATACGTCGTGTTGAAAAAAGGTAGCAGCTCTCTGATGACCCTTTCATTTTTCCCAGCTACTGTATAGAAAAAGTGTTTTTGCCGTTGGTTGCAGATTTTTGCTCTAATCGGGTGTTCGGTTTCCCATGTCTTCTCTTTGTAAAAGTCTAGGTAAGTGTAGCTGGACATGATCTTGGTTTATGGGTGTCTATGTAAGCAACAGCTACTCATGATGTTCATACTGGTATGTCAGTAGTGCATAGACACCTCCACGCTGGTAAAGCTTTCCGTTCCACTCCATCATGCCATCCCAGTGACTAAGGCGGGGTTATTACTGCTGTAAGGAGCCAACATATTAAGCAGTCCATCTACTGTGCCCAAGATCTACCCATCTGTCTCAGCCGTATATAGCGTGTGCCCTTTTGCTTGTGCTTTATAACCCTGCATTACTTTTAGTACCACGCTATCTTTTTCAACTACAGCAACTACAGTATCTGAAGACACTGATGACGATCTGTTTTCGCCCGACCCTGCTCGATCCCACAGTCTTGCGATCACCGCGCCTATGTGTACCGTGGAAGGTCCTGTCGACACGGCAACACGATTGCTGACAATAATGATCTGATCACCACGCAAGTCGAAAAAGTCCTATGGAGAAATGTTTCTAAACTCATTTCCCCTCGCAGTTGATTATCTTCTTTGCCCTCAATGTTTCTATTGTTGCTTTCCTCTACCCCTATTTCTCAAACGTACTTGTCAGCATTGTTTTCATGATCCATATTAGCCGAATTGGCAACCATTATGTTATTGTCGATAACACAATGGGTACCCCATACATGGTTTTGATCAATGATCTTACAACAGTTGTAGTATGCTGGCCAATAATAGAGTCACTGCCCGCTAGTGTTCTTGGTGCCACCTCAGCACTGAATAGAAACAGTACTTTTCAACGAGATGGTGCGTCAGAAAGTACATAATTTCTTCTATCATATATTTTGATACATATTGTTATGATAGCACACACCTATACTACTCATGATAAATTTAGGCAATGCTCACGGCAGTACTGTAATGCTGTTTCTGGTATGTAGCCTATACTGAGATAGACCTCCGATTCATCATTATCAACAACGTTCTCGTGTATAGGATACCATTTTATCTCGGCGTGAATCTTTTGAAACCATTCGGGTTTTTAGCTATAGGCACATGTTTACAAGTAACAGGCAATAAGATGCATAAGTGGCAATATAATAAGATGGTTGTAAATTGAAAATAAGCATATAGAGTACAGAAACGACTCTCTGTCATGCTGTTCAAGATAGATAAGCTATAGCATTTTTTTCCATGGTGATTATCTGTTGCTATGATACAAATTTGCTACAACAATGAGAGGGCAGTACGGGATTTAATTAACTGGACAAGTAGAATTTGAAACATTGTAATTCTGGCCATGGGGAAAGTAGGGGTGTTCTGAGTATGTGTGTGTGTCCCTGAAAATTAGAGTAGCAGTAGCTTAAATTCCTTGAAGGTGGCGGTAAATTAGGAAAAGGGATGTGTGTGTGTGTGTGTCTCACCTTTCTCATGTTATGGATTTGAAGGGTGGCTACTAAATGAAGTCGATCCGACCACGTTTATTGACCTTGTACGACGTGAAGCACCGAGCCCCATTGGCTGGGATATGGGTCTGTGTGCGTATTGTGCAGCACAACCTCACTCTACTTAATTCTTTCTTTCTTTCTCTCTTTCAGTCCAAAAGCGCGTGCAGCCCTGCTCCACGCCACACATACACACGACACATACACAAACTTCTGTCTGCACTATGCCTTTGGTAAGCTAGTATCAAGGCAGGTTTTTGACTCGTTGAATTCCGAAACTCATTTTCACTTCTAAATTTACGAATTAGGAACACGCGCTTCAAACAAGGTAAAATGGGCATGGCAGTAACTCGAGGCAAAAGTTTACCTTTAACACATAGAGGAAAAATCCTTTTTTTTAGAGGTCTGTTTCCCGACTTGGGACCTTATAAACACGCACCTGCCCGAGCCGCGCCCTTGAACAGACCTCTGGGCATGGATCAACTCCCACGACAGAGACACCTTAAAACCAAGCGAACGCCTTTTCGATTAAACATCATGGTCGTAGGTAAATTATCAGCTATAAGCAGCAGTAGACCGCCCAACATGATCCCGAAAATATTGACCTTTTTCCAATTGATGTATACAAAAACAAAAAAAGGTGAAACTGGTTTGGGCAAATCGACTTTTATGAATACCCTCTTTTGCACCGACTTGAACGACACGTCTGTGCCAAAAGTGCCGCAAGATACCAAGACTGTTGAGATCACGCCTATTCATTTCGGTAAAGTGTCCTCTAAACAGTTCTGATGTTCGAAAATATTTTATCCGTCTTTCGAGGAAAAGAGAGGAAGAACACACATGGATGGGCGTTTTTATTATCCATCTAACAAGCCTGTCGCGCTCTATTTCAGAATTAGAGGAAGAAGGCGTCAACCTCAACTTGTGTCTCGTCGACACACCGGGATTTGGTGATCGACTAAACCGTACCGACGAGTATGTGGGTTATTGTTATTGTATCTGCAAAAAAAAAGCAAGCTAACAACAGTGATGATGGTTAGTGTGCAACCAATTTTGGAGTATATTGATAAACAATATGCCTTATACTACGAGGCCGAACGAAGTTCAGAATTTCGACGCGGGATCGTCGACACACGTATCCATGCATGCTTATACTTTATTGCGCCCACAGGTCACAGGTAAACGTTTCTTCAGCCCTGATGGTATTTTCAAACATGTGTGTACTTTGAGAGACTAATGATAGTAATCATTCTCAACCGAAATCTGTCAATTATGTACCATTTCGTGTTCCTGCTAGTCTCAAGGACTTGGATATTGAAACATTGAAGGAATTGTCCACCCAAGTGACCGTTATACCCGTCATTGCAAAAGGTGATACCATGACTCAAGAAGAAAAACTACAGTTTAAAAAGACGGTAATCAACTTTCTCTCTCTTCCTGCCCTCTCCCTTTTTCCATATACTTTAACTTCGTCATATATGTGTGAAACGATTGGTATAGATCCTTGAAGATTTGGAGTATCATAATATTCCAGTTTACCCAAGTGCTTATCCTGATGACGACCGTGACGATGTGCAAGAGCTTGTGGTATGTAATGATGGCTAATTTTTCCCGAGTAGTTGCGTGGAATTGGTAATGCAAGATATACCTCGAAAGAAGAAAACACTGACTTAATATGTATACTGCTACCATAGCAACATATACCATTCGCCGTCATGGGGAGCGACAGCATTGTGGACCTTCCAAATGGGAAAAAAGTGCGAGGTCGAGCTTACCGTTGGGGTACAGTAGAAGGTAAAAAAAAACCAACAGTTCTATCATGTGCTATATGAGGTGGGGGGGAAGGAGGGGCTCTGATTAAGATTGTCGATGGATCATGCATCTTTTACTGAAAACCAATATGCATGAAACCAAAAATTTAGTCGAGAACCCGGAACACTGCGATATGGTTCATTTGCGTCAACTAATTATGATCCAATGTCTGCACGAGCTTTCTGACCTTTCACACGACCATCATTACCACGGCTACCGAACACGATTGTTACGGAGTCAGGGCCGTACTGACTCCTTCATGAAGTGCGATGAAAACTATGATGAACAGATGGAGCAGCTCAAAAATGAAAATGATCAGGCCATGAGCCAACGTGAAGAAGAAATTCGACAACAGTTTGTACAGCTTGTACAGACGACAGAAGATGATTTGCGTCGTCGTGAGCAAGAGGTATGAGCATTCCTGCCAATAACACTAGCAAATGACAGGTCGGGGATTGTAATGGAATCGGTTGAAAGCTGAATAAGCAATGCTTCTCTCTCTCTGATTCCAATTATAAAATAGCTTCAAGAGAAACGTGACAAGATGATGAGCGATTTGGAAGAGCAACAGCGACAAATCGCACAATTGGAACAAGAGTTGAACTAGAAACTGAGTATTCGGTAAAGTTAGTCGCTAGAAATACTGGTATTCGCCACCTTCATTAACCATCATCATCATATTTGTATACAATATAATAGCCGTTAAACCTTCTTAGTTGATTTAGCGAAAATACATGATTCACTGCATCTATGGCACGATATATGAACCCATCCCAGCCTGCCACCTACCATCCTGCCACCGCATCCAACAACTCACTATCCATCAATTATCACAACCACACGATTATTCTTTTCTCTTGCACTTATTTACTAGTAGATCGTATATACTAATATTACAACAGTCTCAACTCTTTATTGTTTTTGAAAAAGTACTTTGACGATGATGCGTCATGTTTGACAAGCCAGACAAACCCGATGATCATCCAAAAAAAAAGAAAGTTAACCATCTGAGCCCCAACAGCTCCGCCGAGCAAATCCAGCCTTTTTTATCTTTACCGTGCCCCCTTGTTACCTTAGACTCTTACGTTTCATCATCATCACCTGTATGTATCGGCTACCGTGAGTTAAAGTGTGGGTGCCACTTGGACCTGGTACCTCTTTAGAGAATGTAAGAATTAGCGCCGCTGTGTTATATGCTAAAAGCGGATGTTCAAAATTGGCATTAGTACGATCGACTCTAAAAGTCAAATAAGTTCATGGCCAGGGTGGGTATGGGAGCATCGTATATAGTGTGCTTGCTGCTATATAGCTCACCACAATGCAGTACATGACAGGGTACTCTACAAAGTAAGGTAGAAAAAGAAGAGGCTGAAATAGGAAGCCGGGGGACCCTCGTTTGGGGGGGTCGAGGGTCGTGTGATTTGCGGCTTCTCTGAGGGGGGTCAGATGATATGTGCTGTGTGCCGCCGGCGCCATTGTTGGAGATGGAATGATATATTGAAGAGAACAAACAAAACATCTTTTACTTTATTTAAAGCTGTATGCAAAACAGCGAAAGCACGAACCCCCGCTATATGTGATGTTTTGTTTTTTCTTCTTCTTTCGTAGTAGGAGGTGTAGAAGTAGAAGATAATGGGCAAAATCATGATGATCATTTAACGTCCGTCAGCAGTTTTTTTTCCAGAATGAACTTCCCCTCTTTATACTTGTTGTCATCGTTGTATGCTTTGACCTGTCGTGTGTGTGTGTGTGTGTGAGTGTGTGTGTGCATGATAGAGAAGAAAAAAGGAGTATTAGTGGCCAACTCGGTACACATTAAGATTATCATTGATCATCAACTATTACTATTACTACTACTACTACTACTACTACCACTAACGTAAGTCCAGCCGAGAACTGTGCTGCATTTGACGCAGGAGATATCTCTCACGGTATGCAGGCCCGTTGTCATTGATCGATCCTCGGCTTCACCTTGGAGAATATTTACACTACACTTCAATAGTGAGCTCAACCATGATACACACTACAAGTTGACGTGGGTTTCCTTTCCCCTCCCGCATATATAATAAAGGGTATGATATCATACACATAATTGAACAAATAAGCTTGACCATGTTGACCTTGAAATTGCTGGGTTTGGTAATATGCGTAGTTGGAGTTTGTCAAGTAGGCAAAGGAGAGAGATAGATTAAAATGGACGGGTGCGTGTATGTTGAGCGAACGGTGATAAATCATCATCAGCATCATCAGCATCATCAGCATCATCATCATAGAGCATGGAGGTCCCCTTTTTTTAGCTGTTTTGCCCTCTTTCCGGAAAACAAAAAGAACAGGGTATGTGTTTTATGTATAGCCTACCCTGGACACAATAGCGTCACCAGTGGTTAGATGGGTTCTGCATTTGGTGCACCCATAGATGGCTGTGCCGTCAAGGTACGTTCGATATTTTAAGCCCATTATGTGCGGATAAGGGGTGTGTTTGGTGGTAGTAAAAGTAGTAGTCAGAAGGAAGAAGAAGAAGGAGAGAAAGAAATGGAGTTGTTGGAAGGACGTCTAAAAGTTACAAGGAAGCGAAAGAAAGGAAGAAAAGAAAAACAAAGAAGGGGAAGGAAGAAGAAGGCTATATATGTTTTGGACCGGTTCCTGATGACGAGTGCTAGATAGTAGTTGGTAGTAAAGGGTGCTGTTTTCTGCTTGTTGCTTCTGCTGCTACTAATACGGTGGAACTGCGGACTATTACTTTGGCTTCGGTTTACTCGATAGTAGAATCTGTTGGGGCTCAAAGGGCATATGGGAGAAAAGAGAAAGATTACGGTAGTTGACCGAGAGAGGGAGAGGGAAGTACGATCTAGCTGGAGAGGGGTTGGAAAGTAAGAATAAGAAAAGAAGAAAGAAAGAAAGAGAGAGAGGGAAGAGCGAGAGAGCGATTTTTAAAACTATGAGAAAGAGCAGGAATGCAGGTCGATCAGCAGCCAACCAGAATGGTTCCTCTGAAATGGAACATAGAAAGCGTATAATTCAAATGTAAAATACAGGCCATACAAGAATAAAAAAAAAAGCAGCAGGCAGGCCAGCTGCACGCATATGGAAAGCGCTTCTCGTTGACCCTTTTGTGCGACCACTCGGGGGACAGGCTCGCTCGGGATGCGTACCGACGACTTGATGTAGTGTGCGTACGTACATGATGGAGGAAGGATTAATGCGTGCCATCCGCAGTACTGTTCGCACACACTACTTACTACAACTACTACAACCTTGACGTTTGTCCCCCATTTCCCCTCCACCCCCATCCCACTGTATCCGCCCCTGTCCTGTCCTTCAACGTCGTATTATTTATAAGTTCTCGGACTTTGGGGTCTTTTCACACTTCTTCCTCTTTCTTTCTCTCTCTCTCTCTCTCTCTCTTTTTCTTTTTCTTTCACCTCGTATACCTTCTTTCTTTCTTTTCTTTCTTTGGCTTGGTAGTTCTTTGACGTATATATATATATATATATCACTTATAAATAGCATCAAAAACCCATATAAAAATATACATTATAAATATACAAACTATACCCCTCCACCCCGTCCCATTATCCAACCGCCGGTATACTACTGCTATTTAATCACTCTTGTTCCTCGCTTCTTTGTCAGTTGAACCCGTACAAACTTGTTACCATTTCACACACTTTGACGATTGACATTGCATCATGACGCACTCGGATTCCGAGCCACCGTCGCCGCCTGATTATCCTACCGAGACTGTTCACTGGGCACACCGAAAAAGGTAACCATGCGCGTTTTCTTTATTCGCACCTAACGCTGGGTTTTCTCTTGATGTATTTATAAACAACACAAGAGAGGAACCATCAAAAGGGGGGGGGCGGTTGGGCTGGCTAAGGATGAATGAATGTCGTCGTCTTCGTCGGCTGGGGCTGGTTGAGTTGGGTTGGGTTGGGTTGGGGGGGGGGTGCGAGGCTGGTCAAAATATACAATAGACACGTCGTTGTAGCAAGTGATAACCTAAGAACTTCCACCTGCTTGCTATATATACTTCATATTGAGAATAACCTTACTATTTCTATCACACTTTCCACGTCAATAGCTGGACCACTGTTGCTTCTACGACGACGGCCAACATGAAGCAAGTCGACAACAGCGACAACGATCAAGTTGGCGGAAATAGCAGCAGCGAAGAAGACGAAGAAAAAGATTATAGTTGCACTACCACCACCGTCCTCACCAAGAACAATACTACTAGCAACAACAGCAATAAGCGAATGTGGCAGCAAAAACAAAAACAACATCTACAACAACAACAACAACAGAAAAAACGAGTTCAGTTGCTGTCACACAACGACCACGAACATTCACAGACGTTGCGACAACGGCCTAGAGCAGACACCATGCCCACACAGTCGACTACCGCGTTTCTTCCATCCTACATGACTCCAGATAACAATAACAATAGCATCAGCAACGATTCTGTTGCCATGGCAGCATCGGATTTGTCTCACCATCCTCATCATCACCTAGCAACTAGTGAGGCGACCGTTGTCGCGCCAACTGCTGCTGCTGCTGCCTCTGCTACAGCAGTTTCATCAGCTGCTGCGTTTCGCAACCGGTCCGGTTCTATCACCTTACCACCATCGAATAACCACCGTCATGGAACTGCAACAATATCGAGTAACCCTTTTGGTGACGGTATTTTCAACAGCTCATGGTCAACTGAATCGATGCAAAGTCCAACAACACCAACGACGGACCAGCTTTTGAAAGAAGATGATGGAAACACGATCGCAAGTACATTGGCTTCCTTGGGACTCGATGATGAACGTGTGGATCGTAGGCATACCATCCATTCAAGCCATTCTTACTCGTCCTTGCGCACATGGTATAATCATCACCCTCCGTCATCGGCAAATTCAGCCGCAGGCTCAAGTGAGCCCTGGCCACCCCATCATCAACATTATTTGGCACCTGCGTCATCATCACCAGTATCTTCTAGGGGAACTACGTGTACCACAGGAGGAGGGGTTAGTGCTGCTAACTCTGTTGGAGGAACAGGAGGTGGAGGAGAACAGCAACACCAACAACAGGATCATCACCATCAGCAGCAACAACACACTCCGTCTCAACAACACCATCATCGCCATCATCATCACCACCAAGGGCTTATGATGGCCGTCGCCAACAAGTTCCAGACACAGCGACCACGTGCAATCAGTATGAGTGTAGCCGATAACCGGCCGCCGTTTGAAAACTTGAACTATGTGCCGTACCATCGATCCATTTGGCAGCAGCAACAGCATCAGCAGCAGCATTTGCCAACATCGCTCAGGCGTCAACAACAAGGTGGTACGCGACCGTTTCTGCGGAGTTCCAACAGTAGTGCAGATTTGCTCGAGATGATGGCGAGGCAACGCAGGGCAGCATTAGGAACGCCAACCGGAACTGGGGAGCATACAGCCGATGACTGGGTATAAAACAATTTTTTTTAAGGTTTACTCTATATGCGCATATCTTTTTCTACGTAAAGCTCATCATCGTCAACAACAACAACAACGTATATGTACATAATTAATTTAGGATACTGCTACGCCAGCATCCTCATCTTCGTCACTACAAGGCTCTTCTTCTTCTACCTATTGCGGAGGAGGAGTCGATCATGGTTCTTCTTCTGGTGGTAACACCACAGCGACTACTGCTGGTATAGCTGGTGGTGGAACAGAGGAATCTTCATCGCCTTCTTCTGGCAAGAATTCACCTGCCTCCAGCGCGGCACAGACGCCGACACGTTCTCTCTGGCTTGGCAACATTGACCCTTCGTTGACCATGGCTGATCTCCAATGCGTGTTTGCACAATTCGGTGTGATTGACAGCGTACGTATCCTACCCGACCGTGAATGCGCATTCGTGAACTTTATTTCAGTTGACGATGCGTTACGTGCCAAAGAAGGATTGATGCATACGTTGAATGGCCGACTGGGAAATTCGGCCATCAAGGTTGGCTTCGGAAAACCAGAGGCTGTTCCGCAACAGCCGCCGACATGCGGAACAACAACAACAACAACAACAACAGCACTAGCACCAGGAGCAGCAGGAACAGGAGGAGAATTCGGTGCCAATGCACAAGGTCCAACACGAGCTTTGTGTAAGTTTATTTTCGAGTACTACTAAGTACTAACTCTGTCCTTAATAATGCACATAACAGACTGTGTTATAAACAAACACACGGCAATCTCCCCTTTTCCATCCTCTTTTTTTAACCATGATTTAACAATTTAAAACAACAACTTTTATGCATGTATATATGTATTTTATTCAGGGATCGGTAACATTCCGTCAACTACCACGTATTCTATGCTGTTTTCTCTGTTTTCGCCCTTTGGTGCGATCGAATCGGTCCGAGTCTTGACGCACAAGAATTGCGGCTTTGTCAATTTCGAGTCGCAAGAGGATGCCGTGCGCGCGAAAAAGACGCTGCAAGGTAAAGAGATCATGGGACCCGCTACTGGTCCTGTCCGAATTGGATTTGCCAAAGTGCCTACTATGATGGCAATGGTCGCTGGTGGACCCCCTGGTGGTGCTCCTCTTCCAGGTGGCCTCATGATGGGCGGTGGCCCTCCTCCAACTGGAATGATGATGATGAAACCAGATCAATATTACAATAACAGCGGCAACAACGACATGATGATGACAATGATGATGACTTGTCCTACCAGCAACACGGGTGGTGCTATGTCTGCCGTGGATGCTACCGCCGAAAACTTGATACCAGTAGCATCATCATCAGCAGCAGCAGTGGCTATGGGTTGGACTGCTGCTTCTACCACTCCCCCACCACCAACTTCAGTGGCCAACAACAGCAACAATGGAAGTATCAGTGGTAACACTGGCAACGGTGACGGTTACCAACACGAACAGCAGCAACAAATGATGATGTACATGATGGCAGAAATGATGGGAAACGGATCCACCAATATTTATGCGGCCATTACAAGTGAGCGCCAAGTGTTAATGAGTGAGCTCGGAGGAACGGAAGACGAAAATGACGGCCCACTCTTTGACGGTAAACGTTTATATTAGAGTTTTCTTGTGCGACATGCCATCGATTTCGATCTGACATTTTCTATTATTTGCAAAAACCAGAGATGCATATGCCACTAAGCTACTTTGCCACGATTCCTGCTGCTCCTGAATTGGGTCAGGCCCGTAAGATTGATATTGGACGATTGCGTGATATCCGTAAACGACTGGATACTGGTTATGTACCTACCAAGGAGCTGGAAGTGATTGCGCTTGAATGTTTGGATGAACTTGTTGAGCTTTGCAGTGGTAAATTAAATTGATGGGGCATCAGAGAAAATAAGGGGAAAAAACATGCGTATCTGTTGTTTTTATTTTCGGACGTAGCTAAAAATTTAGAATATGTTAACATCTTGCAGATCATATCGGGAATACGGTGATCCAGCGGCTTTTTGAACGATGCTCCGAGGTCACGAAATCGCGCATGCTGGACGTTGTGGCGCCTTATCTTGCCTCAATTGGTATCCACAAGAACGGAACCTGGGCTGCACAGAAGATTATTGACACGGGCCGACTTCCTGCACAGGTTACTACTACTACTACTACTACTACTTTCACTGCAACTGGTAGTCATGAAAACATATACGCTCACACGTTGTCAATTTCTTTCTAGATCAACCGGATCTGTGCAAGCATCAAGCCGTATGTGCCAGCCCTCTTGTTGGACCAGTTTGGCAATTACGTAGTACAATGTTGTCTTGGCCTTGGACCCGAGCGTAATCAGTTTATATTTGACGCAATTGTGGACAATTGTTGGGAAATCGCACAAGGACGTTTCGGAGCCCGGGCTGTGCGAGCAACCTTGGAGAGCCCCCATGTGACGAAAAGACAACAAGTAAGGCGTGAATGGATTTTTCTTTGTTGTGCAAGAGGATCGTCACCATGTCAAAATAGCTATGGATGAAAGAATCTAATCATAAACACTGAATGTTTTTCTTTGCTTTCTCGGTATAGAAATACGTTGCAGCCACAATTGTACAACATGCACTCGTGCTGGCCACCAATGCCAATGGTGCGCTCTTACTGATCTGGCTTTTGGACACATCCGGTATTCCTGGCCGGTATCGTGTGCTTGCACCGAGACTGACGCCGCACTTGGCCCGCCTATGCACTCACAAACTCGCATCTTTAACAGTGCTCAAAATCATCAACCAACGCCACGAACCGGATGCACGTGCACTGATCCTGGACGCATTGGTCTTTTCTGCAGACGAACAAGTGATTGATGAAGTGCTTAAAGACCAAGTTCATGGCGTAAACCTGATCCAGAAGATCTTGTCGAGCTCATATGTTGAATTACGTGAGCGTCAGCGCATTGCTGAACGGATCAAGCACGTGCTTAACAAGCTCAAACTTCAGCATGTTCAAGGATATAAGCGTTTGATGGAAGAAATTAATATGGTCATGGGCGACTCAAATCCGGGCGCTAGTTTGGGCGCCTTACCTGGTCTTGTTCCTCCTACGTTTGCCATGAATCCGGAAATGGCTGCGGCACTCCATGCAAAGTATTTGGCTGCCGCCGCTGCTGCTGTAGCAGCTGCTCACCCACAGCAGCAACAGCAGCCGACAGTAGCACAGCCTGTAGTACAGCCACTAGTGGAACAGGCAGTGTTGGAGTCATTACCACAGCAGGAAAACCAAGTGATGCAAGAAGATCAATCGGCAACGCAACAAGTGCACCAGCAGCATAGTGACGGTAGCGATGATGTTGATGATGAACCGGCGCAATCACCCACGTTACCCGCTGTAACAGCAGCAGAAGCAAAGACTGCCAATGCGGCTACTACCTCAACAGCAACAACAACAATGTAAGATATACAGCAACAACAAAGCACGCAATCCACGAAAAATAAAAGCAAGCAGCAAAAACACTCTACAAAAACAAGTTCAAACAAAAAAAAGAAATACCCTGCACGCAACAACCATTATTCCCAACATATTTGCACTCACTCACTCACTCAAAACAAAAGCACTACCACTTTTTTTTCCTTTATTATTTTTCATGCATTTTCTATTCATTTTCTATTCCTTTTTTTCCTCTTTTGTAAGACAGCACATCATGGTTCATGCACACACACACACACACACACACACACAAGAGTATATAGCCACATACAACACGCACTTTTTATTATTACTTCACGTTCTTCATTTGATCGCACAATGCACTCTTATATCTTATGCTTTCTTCTTTGTTTCTTCTTTTCTTTTGTTTTTTTCTTTTGCTAGAGACCGACTTTCTTCATTTGTCACACACATTTTTCTTTTATTTAGGAATTCTTTTTCTTTTTTCTGCTGTTCATATATAAAAAGAAAACAACGCACAATCACACAACACATAGAAGTTTGGGTATCATAGTAGAGAATATATACTTTGTTATATTGGCTATGACGGTGGATGTGATGAAAATGATGAAGGAATAGCAGTAGTACTAATACTAGTAGCAGGAGCTTGTTCTTGCGTCACCACCACTGCTGCTGATGCTGTTGGTTGTAATAACGATCTAAGATACGTGTTTTCCTTCTCTAACACGTCCAATTTCTGAGTATCCGACTCCTTTTCTTCTCGAAAGCGCGTCATCAACGATTCCAACTGTGATACACGATCATTCAAATCTTGTTGTGGTGAAGACGATGGCGACGACGGTTCAATCAATGGATGGTTTGGATGATAGTGCCGTAACGCTGTTTGTAGTTGTTTTACGCGTTGCTCTAATATAACTACACGTTCTTGAAGTTCTTTCTCTCGTTGCTTTCGTCGTTCTCGGAATCGACTCGAGGCTCCTGCATTGCGTCGTCGCTTTTCTTCGAGAATGGCGTCGGAGGTGTGATGATGTTGATGATGATGGTTTTCGTTGGCAGTAGTAGTAGGCCATGATGAAGACAATGATGATGCTGCACAACTTCCTCCCGCTGCCTCTGCTACAATACTATTAGAAGAGGATTGGTGACGATGATGTTGATTTAGTTTGGGTAAAAGGTTTGGAAAAGCGGATATGGGTGGTAGGACGGTTTTGTTGCTGTTTGTTAAAGAAGAAGAGGTGGGAAGACTGACAGTACTGCTACTGGTATCGCTGGTAAGAGCAGCACTTATACCGGTAGGAGTATACTGTGTTTGTTGCTGTTGCTGATGATGGTATAAGTGGTGATGAAACTCGCGTTGTTGTGGTATAGATGATATCGAACTCATGTTGGTTGGTATCGGAGAAACAGGTGAAGACGGAATCGTCGAAGAAGTAATTTCAGTTGTAGTAGTTGTGTTTGGTAAAGATGTAGAAGAAGGAAAAGAAGGACGACGACGACGCATACTTTTAAGCAAGAAAAGGGGGATGCAAGAAAGCAATCTACAACCAAATGTGTTTCGATGTGTGGGAGAGCCTGGAGAAGACGATTATGTATGTCACAAAGGCCACAATTACGCCATTTATGACGACATTATGCCAGACGATTGCGTTCCAGGATTTTTTGGGTAACACAAACAAAGGGCATAAATTTCATTGTCTATGTATGCATTGTTTGTTGCCGCTTTACACTTTATCCAGCACTTAAAAAAAGTGTCAGACTCATGAATTTAGTGGTAAATGGAAAAATGAATTGGGCCCTATCGTATAGTTAATCGTATCCCGCTCGATATTACACACGCAGCCAGCTATATATAGCCCTCAAATCATCAAATAAGAGTTCAGGTACATAACTGTGCGAAAAAGCAAAAGCATATGATGCTTTCTTGCACACCATATTAGGAAGTCAAGAAGCAAAATAATGTTATATAGAGAGCCATTAGCTACACTGGCTAATTGCCGCAGTTATATGTACAGAGGCATAGCATAGAAGTAATACCACATAGGAGACAGTAATCTTTCTTTTGTTGATAGCTCATGCGATGTGCTATCGTCCACCACACCGCTTCTCCCACCAAAAAAACTGGCATAGGAAGTATGCGTACTCTGAGGGTATAGTGGTATATTCAACGACGGTGGTGATAGAGGAGATAGAAGAAAGCGCACCAGTTGTTTGATAAGAATGCACGTAATCGCCAACCGCTGTAGTATGATGTTGTGCTGCTCTTACCATAGAAAATTCCTGCGCATTATTGCGTGCTTATCGATAAATATGTTGGTAATCGAAGAACAAGGTTACTTGATTTGCTTAGGGTACACACTTGTTGTCAGTTTGTTTGCCTAATTTATTAGAGTGAGTAACCCTGATGCAGTGATTTTTAAAATTTTGTTTACGTATGCGTAAAATCGCGAACCTTCTTAAGGTGTACAAGGTCCATAAGTATAGCTGAAAGTGTTTTATTAAAGGGCAATGATGAGCCGCGTCAAGAACTTGACATATGCTCGCCCAAACGAAAGAACAATGGTGGTGTCACAGCTAGCTGCATAAAAACCTCTGATGCTCGGACGTAGAGGGAAAAAGGTTTAAGGTGTAGTAGAAAAGGGAAGACAAGTGAACGCTGAACGGGGTCACAGAAGGTAGAAATTCGTTGATTGGGGTAATCTTTTTTTTCTCGGATATAAAGAAACCATGATTTGGCTGGTACCTCACCTGCACTAAGTACCAGAACAATTAACAATAAACCCGAAACAGCGGTTATCCGTTATGGGTAGGAGTACAGTAATCGATAAATCAACATAGTAGACTTAGACGGATTATTGTCCAACAACATAATGCGGATTGAACAGTGCTTATTTATAACAATGTAAACAAGACCGTGCCGCCAAAATTGTGCTGCACACAATACATATGCTATAAGTGCCACACTCTGTGGTGCCTGCAACGTAAATTCGCTATTTAGCGAGCAAAGCACATATAAATTACCACCACCACCATATCATACTTGTAAATTTAATAGCAAAAAAGAAGCCAATAGTGAAGCAAGCCAAAAGGAACGAAAGAGGATTCCTTATAAATGATAGTTATTAATGCCAACGATAAAAGATAAGTATGATAAATGCTATTTACACGATAAAGTCCAACGCTTGTTGTAATATCCATAATACCGACTCGTGCCGCCATTCATCTATTTAGATAGCACATCATCTTGAGTTAGGAGTACACCACTTTTACCAAGTCCAAATCGTACAGAAAAGAAAAAACTTACTGAGCTTTTCAAATGTGGATATGGGACCAATCACCACGTGGCTAGGCTGTGAAGAAGCCGCCAGTTCGGGATGTGCCCGAAGATATTCGCGTCTTGCCTTATTGGCTGCTCGCGTCACAGCTTCGTCTTCGGGGTCAGTTTTGTACAAGTCGCACTTTTTACATTGATCGCACGGAGTGCCCGAGACTTCTCGAAAATGATCACAGAAATGGGAATACGATTCTATATGATCCGCGAGTATATATTTGTGTGTGTGTGTGTGTGTGTGTTAATTTGATCGGGCGACAGGAAAAACACAAAAACACATATCTCTCTCACAACGTACCTTTGCGGATGTCCTTGCGGCATACGTAGCACATGGTATATCCTATACATACACATTTAGGTTACGACTTTAGATACTGTATGCCTACGTTTACTTTAACAACCACTTGATAAAAAAAATAAACTAACCACAACGGCACACTATCTTGTTACATCCATCTGCCTTTTGGAACGACAGACTACATACAGGACACTATACAGGAAAGAAAAATCCGCCGTGTGAACAAAACTGCAGCACATCTCATATAAAATCTGTTTGCAGTATGCGTCATCGTTTCCTTACCGTGCGCTTGACGGCATCTGCCATGGCCTAAATAAGGAAACAAGGATCAGACAATGACTAATTTGGCATTTCTCCCCCTGATTCTCCTTTTACCTTTTCAACGTAGAGTCTCAAGCCATCCTGTTCCTTCTCCCAACATTTGTGCAACCCTCGTACAATGTGCTGGCACAAGACACACGTAAGTCGACGACATTCCGGATTCCGGCACTGGAAGACGGAACCACGACGGGCACAAGCTATCCGATCGTATACGGTTTCGATATCTCCTTTCAAATCCCACTTTTGAAAAGAGGAGGTGGTAACAATAAGCACCATCATATAAAGTACAACAGTAGTAAAAGTAGTAAAAGAAGAAGAGTGTAGCAGCAATAAACGATGATACAGATAAATGATGAATGATTGGGCGATCCATAATACCATTAACCAGCGCGCGCCCGCCACCAACACCATGAGGCGATCCAACGTTGTATGCAACGGCAACCCCATGGACTCGTCAATCTCGCAGTAACCACAAGCCGAGCAACGCACAATCTTGGATTGGCACGCGCGCATGTTTTCTTCAAAGACCGACTTTTGATAAGCAGACCAGATATCTTGGCTCAGAATCCGATGTTCCAACACCGAGTGCGCAAAGCATCCGTCGCAGCTGCCGCCCATGGAAATGCAGGGTATACGGGCAGCGCCGCGCAGCGCGCCTTGGCCAAACAGGCCTTCTGAAATGTATCGCGTGATGCAGTCGTGGCAAAACATGTGCGTGCCTTGGCTGCAAAATGCGAGTTGTTCAATCACATAGTCGCCATAGCAACATTGACATGTGATCAGTTCGTCGTATTCGTCGTGGCTGATCTCCAGTGCTGTCTTGGCATCTTGGGCTGATTGTGCGTCTAGTGCGCGTCGTCGTACGATGCGTCGATCGTATTCAAATTCCTCCTTATCGTCTCCAGTATCGTCATGACTGTTGTTTTTCGAGGATGATCCAGCGGATGTTGCTGATGCTATGAACGAGGTGGATGATGTAGGAAGCGACCAGTGTCGAATGAAATTGCGTATAGTCGTCCAAAACCCGCCTGATCCCATATCTTGGAGCTGGTCATAGCTCTTTACATAATCCCAATTGTTCTCTGCCAAGACGGCTCGTATCGACGACTTCCAGACCTTTTATATTTATGTGAGTGAGTGTAAACATGTGAAATGGTAGCCCCCACAGTATACAAACACTTTTTTTTACCTGAGGATAATCCAAAGCGAGCTGAGCCTGTGCTTGTGCACGATATCCTTCACTTTTAATCAGATCCGATCGATCCAGTTTGCCATACTCGAGCCGTTCCGGATACGCTTGGTCTTGTCGCTGGAGGAGTTCATTAGCCACTTGTTCAACATGGCTATGGTCATAGCGTAGCAGTCTCTCTCGTAAATAGGCCACATTGCAATCTGGAAAGAATTCAGTGGCCAGTAATTGTAAGGCTTGATTCAAATGTTGTGTTCGATTATTAGTATTACTGCCGAGTAATCGTGGGTAATAGCCTCCATTGTTGAATATTTTTTCTGCAATGCGTTCAACGGGTGCCGTTTCATAATAACCAAGACAAGAGCGGAAGTAACCCGGGTCTACATATACTATTGTAAGTATGATATTCAAAGGACTTTGGTCTTCATGAACTCAACAAAGGTATATATACCTCCTCCGGGAAAGAGCACCAAGAGCTGTGCGATCAAGCGATCGTTTTTATGCTGTCTGACCATATAACATAAGGGAGTTGGAAGAAAAAGAAGAGAAAACGGGAGTACTCAAGCACCCCTAAAAATTTCGAAATCCCTGCTTATGGATTAAACCCTTTCCAATACTTGGCATATGTGATCTGCTATATGCTCCAAAGGTGCCATACTTGAGCAAAGGACTTGCTTATTATAATAGCGATGACGATGGTCTAATATTAATATTTTTGAGTATAGTGGGTGAATGGATGATGGTAGTGGATCACAAAAGAACATAAATAATAGGACACGTAAGGAAAAGGAAGAGGTAGCATATATCACTATATACGGAGAGTTAAAGAGGATATTGAAGCGTTTTTCTTTTTCTCTAAAAAGCACACACACAGAGAGGGGACATGATGGGATGATGAGATGGGATATGAGCTGAGGATATACAAATAAACTTTTTTTTGGGTTGATTCTGGTTGAATTGGAACATATGTAAAATAATGGGGAAATAATGCAAAAAAAAAAAAAAGAGAATATATAATAGAAAATCAATAACGAAGAAAAAGGAAGCTGGTATATAGAAATGTATGTATGATTGAATGCAAATGAGAGCCCTGTTGTGGAAAGTCCCTTTACGACTCATCCTCGAACGAGTCAAACAGAGTGCTCGGAGGAGAAGACATAAAAGTGGTATCTTGTGATGACGACGAAAAGAGCACAAAGTCCTCTTCTGGAACCTCGGGAGTGAATGCCGAAGTCGCCGTCACTCTCGTCGTTGCTGATGCTGCTGCTGCTGATGCTGCTGCTGTTGTTGTCGTGGTCGTACGATTTGTAGTAGCACCGTTGGTGGTGGTAGTGTAGCCATTGCTTGCCGTTACAGGAACATGTCCTGGCTGTTGTTGCTGTTGTTGTTGTTGCTGCGGAATCGTCATTATTGTTACTCCTTGCTGGTCGTGGTCGTCGTGGTAACTCGTGTTATTGTTGTCGTCCAAGAGCGTTGCCATGGCCTCCAGGGCACTGCTATCCTCCCGGTCTTCGGGTCTTGTTGTCACCGTTGTGGTGGCGCTTAGGGGAGGAGACGGCGGCAAGTAGGAAGAACGACGACGACGACGATGACGGACGGTTTTATTTTGGGCCTTCATTGATTTGTGTTGTTTTCTGTCCTATGTCCGCAGAGCAGAAGAAGATGAAGAACAAAAGTGCGTGTCTTGGAGTGTATAACAACGCGAGGTAGGCGGTGGTTTCATAAGCGGTTACAATGTACACACACTATAAGCGTCGTGGTGCTGCTGCTGCTATTATACGTCGTCTTGTCTTGTTTAAACCAAAAACGGGAGAAAAGAGAAGAGGGCCACACACACACGCACGTTTAAACGGGTGTCTTTATTTCTATCTCTTTGCTTGTAAGTGTGTTACAGTCTTCACAAGGTGGAGAACGGTATTTTTGGAAGGAAGAAAAAAAAAAAGTGAGAACAAGGAGAAAAAAAGGTGTTGCGTTAAGCTTGCTGCGCCAACGCACGTAAAAAGAAAAAAGAAGACTGCTGCTGGCTGGCTGGCTGCAAAATGATGGCGTCAGAAAAAAACTTGCCAGCTAGCCAGCCAGGCAGCAGGTATATGAGCAAGAGAGAAAGGCGGGGGGGGGGGGAGTTGCTCGTGGGGGTGTGCTACTACCTTACTGTAGTTAGAATGGTGGCACAGGAGAACCCTAGCTGCTGCTGCTGCTGCCAAGGATGCACACACACGACATGACAACGACGTGTGGTGATCCAACTTGGCATAACTATGAGTCATCCTTGGTCTGTGCACACCGGCCCCCCTTACTTTAATGGTCATTACGCGTTGTTCTTTTTCGCTCAAATGGCGCTGATGGTGTGTATGACTATTTATTTGGTTTTATATGTGCAAATACTATCATTAACTTTTTTTCTTCTTCTTTTGAAAGACGGATATGTATAAGTAATAAAAAGGCTATATGACGAAAGGTGAGGAGAGAAAAGAGAGAGAGCTATACTATATTACAGGGTTGGGCTTTTTCTTACTTTTTTTTTTTGCAATGGACAATGGATGGTGATGTGGCTTGAGTAGAGTAGAGTGTAGTGTATGAAGATCAAGTAGAGAATAGGATTGGGATGGCATGGGATGGCATGGATGATGACGGCGTTATATTGATTGATGGCTGCTTTTTTTAAGGCTTTCGGAACTCGAGAAGCACAGGGTATATAGCCTGGAAAGCCTGGTAGATTTCCTCACGCACTTTGGCACCCGTGAGCACAATCTTGCCAGACACGAAGATCAGCAGCACGATCTTTGGCTTGACCATACGATAGATCAGACCAGGGAACAGTTCAGGTTCATACTAAATCATTTCCCCCGCGTCACCCATCAGTCAATCAATCATTTCCAAAGTTTTTTAAGCTGCCACGTACACACACAGCACACACAACCACCACCACCACGAAAATGCTACTTACGGAGCTAAAGTGTCCGTGCGAATAGGCCAATCCTTCAAGTCGAATCGGGAACCGCACATCACACGAGCCCACAATGTTTTGAATCTTGAAATCAGTGAATTTGCTGGGGAAGCCAAGCTTCTGGATGATACGAGCGTATTTGCGTGCTGCCAGTTTGGAATCATCCTCTGATTTCGCTCCCGTCACCACCATCTTGCCCGACGCAAAGATCAACGCCGTCGTCTTTGGTTCACGAATACGCATAATCACTGCTGCGAAACGCTAAATCCCCAACGTCCACAGTTTTAGATCTCAATTTCTCTATCTCTCTCCCCCCCACCTCGGTCTGTATGTGTATATGCGTGTGTGTGTGTGTGTGTGTGTGTTGTGTCTGCTAACCTTTGGATTGTATTCCGCATTGCGAGCATGCAAAGCAATGGTTTTCAGGTCCAAACGACAATCCAGATTGACAGTTGCCACAATATTTCTTTTTTTTTCCACAAGATTACGCAAAAAAAAACGCAGATACTTTTTTAGTGCCAAGTATTATATAGATCTATTTAATTTGCTGACGATCTATTCCCACCCAAATAAATCGGGAGCGAATTTGACCTTGTTTGTCATGTTTAATGTTTAAAGAATAATATACTTACTGTAGAATGGGAGTGATGCCAGCCACAGCATAAGGGTTGTTACTATTGTTATTGCTAGGAGTGGGCGCATCGGCAGGTGCGGGTGTGGAAGGAAGGGCGAATGGTGTGGTTGGTTGTTGTAAAGGGGTTGGCACAGAAGGTGTTTGTGGCACGGCAGGTGTGGCCATGGATGGTGTTGCAATATTGAATCCGGACATGATATATAGTGTGTGTGCGTGTGTGTAAGAGTATGCTGTGAACTGGTTCTTTTTAAATTGTAAAGAAAGACAAAAGTAAAAAGGCTGGCGAAAAAAAAGAAAATATGACAGTCGCTTTTTATATTTTCAATTTGACACCAGTGGCTTAGAAGCCCTGACCACCCTCCGCCAAGAAACAATAACCCCATTTTACTTTTCCACCAAGGTAAAATGTTGAGCCGAAGGTTTCCTTTGGCTTGGGGCCACATGTAAGCAATAATATTGACTCCTTTGCCATAGTTAATGCTGTATGTTGTCAGTGTATACCACACATATTCCACGTGAGTACAATACAAAACTAGTGTCGTTTGAACGCTTATATCAACTGAGAAGCGGTCCCTTGTCTGGCGATACATATGTCTTGTCGACAGAAATACTTCGTAAGCCGGTAATAAGCTATGGTGTAAACTCATATTAGACTTGCCTTCTCCACAAAGGCATAGACGAGCATATTCATTTGTTAAGCATGAGCTTATCATGAGACTCTGAAATCACCATCAATACTTGCAATTACCATACGAGTAGCTGAGATACTACGAAAGTCATGAAGAGATAAAATAGTTTATGTACGAAAATCTAACAGTTGTACCTCGAACAATGCCTTCTTCTGTTGATATATTAAGGAAACAAATCAGGCTTGCGTCATCAAGATTGTCACAGCCGTAAAGCAATAAGCTTGCTACTCTTTATAGCGACATATCCATTATGAAAGCCTTGCTTTTCCTCCCGGTATCAAAGTGTCGCCCATCGCCCAACCTGCGCCAGCAAAAAAATTGGAAACTACTGCGGCAGCCGTCAATAGTAATTGAACCACTTGTTGCGTTGAATCGCCACTGATAAAAGCAACTTAATTAGTCCCACCGTTTATTTTCTCCAACTACCCATCTTGCTAAAGTAATAAAAATCGGCTCATTGATGACCACAAGTTTGACGACGGGCGGGAATGGGGTTTGAGCACAGGTACAGAAGTTGACAGAAATGACTGCATATGTGTATATGCTACATAATCAAGCGGTTGATCTACAGTTTGAATTTCCTTTCATGATAGCTACACACGTCAAGTAGATTCTTTTTGCTCGCCTGATACCGCAACTACTACATCACTACTACTGCAGCTATCAAGATAGAACAAGCACCTCCATCATTTTGCTGTCATTCCAAAGATACACCTCATCTTTTATACTCCTCCAGTAATGGTACTTATACAAATTACACATAAGCGGCTTTCTCATAGAGCTTGATTCGCATGTGTGACACAGAGCTAGTGAAAGATGCTTTTCGGAGAAAGATATAAGCAGGAACCTGTGTGTGTTGTGCATAATATTACCGGATGAGACTGTTGTGATAAGGTTTAAAAATGGTCACATCAGGCAAAAAAAAAGCACGCACCCACCCAACTTATAAAGAAGCATCTCTTTCTCTCTCTTTTTTTTTTCTCTTTTTCTCATAACACCCCAACCTTTTAGACGCATCGAGGAAATGACCGCAGATAAACACGGATTCAGCCTTACTCAACTTACTTCCGAGAAAATCGAGCGCGTCAAACGCGATCCAAAGTATAAGCAGGTACGTGCACCCTTAAACTCTCGGTTGGAGCTGTCTTTTTATTGCCCAATGCAGAATGCATCATCTACACGTAAAGTGAAAGTTCACCTTTCGATTCATGTGTGTATATATAGCTCACAGACGAAGATATTGCCTTTTTCAAAAGCTTTCTTCCTGAAAAATGCGTGCTGGAACGCGACTCAATGTCAGTGTCTGAGCATACCAAATACGTATGCGACTGGTACAACATGTTCCGTGCCAACACAGCTGTAATTCTGTTACCGGAAACGACAGAACAAGTGTCGAAGATTCTCAAGTATTGTAATGATCAGTTGATTGCTGTTGTCCCTCAGAGTGGAAACACTGGCGCTTCCGGAGGTATAGTGTTCGAAGAGCGGCTCAAGAAAACGATGGATATATTGATGGATTGTGGATGAAAGACACGAACGGGAGGGCATCCTATTGAATGTTTAATTATATGTACCTACATGATGGCGTCCGTTGCTGATCGATGGCACACGTTTGCTGTCATGTTTCTATAGGATCCATCCCTGTGTTTGATGAGATCATTATCAGCACACAAAACATGACCAAGATACGTAAATTCGATGAGCTCAGAGGTACAGTAATAAGGGCAGGAGGGGGAGGAGACGTATCGGCAGTGGACGGTTCCTTCCCTCGGAACCCTATTTAACGTTTGCTGTTGTTGATTATCTGTCAACTGACTGGGTTCAAATTCACACGGTTAATCCCTGACAATTATCTATAGGCGATCTGGTCTGCGATGCTGGATGTGTTCTACAAGAGCTTGATGAACATCTTTCCCAGGCTGGGTTTCAGGTACATCAAAAATTCTCCTTTATCCCCCACCTTCTTCGCACTATGGAGGGAAAAAAAATTTAATAATAACAAATGCTCCACATAATTAGGTTCCTTTGGATTTACCCGCGCGTCACATCTGTCGTATTGGAGGAAATATTGCGACAAATGCTGGCGGCATCCGCCAGATGCGGTTTGGAAACTTGCATGGAAGCATCATGGGTCTTGAAGTTGTAAGAAGGGCTACTTTTTCATTTTGTTTTGCTGTCAGGGAAAGGTGCATTAAAATGTTTTCCGAAATTCAGGTTCTTTCCGACGGATCTATCATTGATAACCTGACGACCATGCGCAAGGACAATGCGGGTTACCATTTAAAAAACCTGTTTCTTGGATCGGAAGGCACACTAGGCTTTATCACGGGCGTATCGCTGGCTACCGCTCAAATTCGTCCTGCCGTCAATGTTTTCTTGATTGCTTTACAAACTTTCGAACATGTCGTTAAAGCATACGGGCTGGCCCGTCGTGAGCTACCAGAAACAATTGCTGCATTTGAAGTTTTGGATGCTTCGACGGTCAAGGTTGTCAAGGATCAGGAATTCCAAATTCCCAAAGGATCACCGTTCCCGCTTGAAAAGGAAACACATCCATTTTATGTTGTCATGGAAACTGCTGGCAAGGACCGTGATATTGAGGATCTGGTAAGTATGATAATACATGGTCGACTTTGAAGAATATTGAAACTACTATGATAGTTATGTGATGCTTCTGGAGGGTATGGTGATACAGTGCCCGCTCGATAATTCGATCACTTTGGTCACAGCCATAAGTGATCGAATTATCGAAAATATCGAGTTATCGAGTATCGAATTATCGAGCGGGCACTGTAGTGGGTGGACTCAGAAATTGATAATGGATGTTTCAATTGTATATTAGAGAGCGAATCGACTTTTGAAGCAACTGTTCGATAAAGAAATAATATTGGATGGCCAGGTGGCTCGCACGCCTGATGAGGTAAATTTATATGGGATAAAACAAAAATTCAGTCGCTGCGATCTTAAGGGGCAAAGAAAGATCAAGGAAGACGAGGGTATATTGATTAGTTCGTTTGTATTGCTTTTCATTTTAATTTCAGATCGAGCGGTTCTGGTCATGGCGTAACAACGTCCCCAAGGCTATTGTTCAGCAGGGACCTACATCGATTCATTTCGACGTTTCGTTGGACCTCCCATTGTTGTATAAGCTGGTTGAAGATACCCGTGCATGGGCTATTGCGGATGGCATGATTGGGCGTGATATTGTTGCAATTTACGGGTAATGAAGCTAATACGAGCTTTTCCTGCTAACACGTTTGATGTGGAGAAATACTGCTTGGACTGGTTTCTAAAACATTCAAACACGTTTTTTATATAGTTATGGACATGTAGGCGATGGCAACATGCACTTGACTATACCAGCAATAAGAGAGGATGAGGCTGTGCGAACCAAGATTGATGATTTTGTATATGAATGGGTTGCTGAACATAAGGGCAGGTGAGTAAGCAAACATAAAAGAAAAAAAAAACAGATTGCTGGAATCTCTTTTCTAAATACCTTTGGATTAAACGTGTTATGTATAGTGGCTCTGCGGAACATGGCATCGGTATGATGAAGGTATGTTGGCGTTACGAGAAGAAGAATAAAGATGCAGGGAAACAATAGGCGTGATGACTGACAGTAATATGGATGTATATTATATATTTAGGCTGCATATTTGTCGTACAGTAAATCAAGTACTATCATCGACAATATGCGCAAGATCAAGAATGTATTTGATCCTAATGGTATCATGAATCCATATAAACTGTTCCCAACCAAGGAAGAAGAAGAGCATGGAGAAAGCGTACGAAAGCGTGACCACGTAGGATGCTAAGGAAAACAATCCAAACGACAAGAAAAGTTACGGAAAATAAATGGCAATTGCCGCAAGTGTAACCTTGACTTTTGTAACCAATCTTTCCGACAAAACATTTCATAGCAATGAAACGCCTAATATAGGCAAGCATTGGCTATGTTACAGTGCCATGTGCGTGTAGTAGATGCCATACATATAACATCTGTGACAAACAACTAAGGTGGAAAGCAGTAAATTCTTCGGAAAATCAGTGGGCTGCCCATCCATCTGAACTATCTCTGGCGCAACCAGGTGAGTTCTCTTGAAATGGCGGGTGAACCAGACTCGCCGTTGGTTGTACGTGTTGAAAGTGGAGAGTGTGCTGGATTCGATGCTGGTAGTGGTGCTGCTCCCATCTTAAATGTCACTAGGACTCCGTGTAAATTCTGTTGTTATAGCAATCGCTATCTACACGTCAGAATATACATAGGCTTCCTGATCATTTCTGCGCGCGAGAACGCGACGGCGCGATGCTATAGCAAATTATTGATGACTTTGGTGAAATAAGTTACCGCTTGAATATAATCGCTTGCAGTATATGATTGTCGTCATTGGTGAGAAACGTATTGCGTTGCTGTCAAGTCAAGATCTGTTATTGTGAACAAGTTGCAGGCACCACCGGGTTACACCAGTGTAGGCATTTGGGACAGTGCTGTTTTTTGCCATGTTGAGATTGAGAGCAAGGGCGTTTATTCTGTTTTCTTCTTTAAACCTAAACTGCCTTTTTCATTCTACTCCCAAAAACTCAGTATTTATCTTTTTAAAATCTTCAATGGACACACCTTTCATTAGTAGTCTCAATCAAGCACAGCTTGAAGCTGCCACTTGCAGAAGCAAAGCTGTTCAGATTTTGGCTGGACCTGGATCTGGAAAAACTCGAGGTAACAATTGTGTCATCGCACTCATTCATACACACGGTTCCTGCACAAATTTATTTACGCGTTTTTTCTTAAAAAAAAAGTGTTAACGTCGCGCGTGGCATGGCTCGTTCTGGCTGAAAACGTCAAACCACAGCACATTGCTGTTGTCACTTTCACCAACAAGGCTGCTCGAGAAATGCGAGAACGTCTTGAGAAGCCAAAATTGTTGGGCCCAGCGACAAGCAGAAAGTTATTTATGGGCACGTTTCACTCACTTTGCGCTCGGCTACTTCGACAATACTATGCGCACGTCAACTTGAAGCCAAACTTTACCATTGCTGATGTAGATGTTAGGTAAGATAAGAATATATTCTATATGTGTAACATGGTATGTTGAATGGTTAATTGAAGTTGTATATTTTTTGTTCGTATAGCAAATCGGTTATCAAGAAGCTCGTGAAGGAGTTAGGTAATCAGTTGTCAACCTATGCTCGCACACAGATGAAACCTGGTACGTTAATTGATCTATTAAAGTCTAGTAACAGATAAGGAGAAAAGTTTGTATGCAAGGGAGGCTTTGCATGACGCTGAAAAGATGTAGTGCTACCGTATTGAATGTTAGCATGGAACGTATGTTCTAACACCTTTCTTTCAATATTCGATAGATGCATTTTGGACCGCGATATCGGCAGCACGTAATGAGGGCATGAATGTTGATGATTTCATTGCCAAGTATCGAAACGAGTACACTAAGAAAGACATATGCATCGTTTTCAGGTAGATGTTAATATCCTCTAATTCAAAATGCTATGGCAACTTGACGGACTCTGTAATCTTGCTAACTATCGATTTTCTCGTTTGTTTAAAGAGCTTATGAAGATCGTATGCACGCAGACAATTACATTGTAAGTTTGAAAGCAGAAAAAGCAGCAATGAACGGTAGCTAACAAGGACGTATGTTGTGGTACCATAGGACTTTGACAACTTGCTCTTGTATACTCGAGTACTGCTTCAAAAGTACCCAAGCGCCGCAAATTTCGTCAGACATGTTCTTGTGGATGAGGTATTCAATAATATCTTTTTCTCTCACAGAACCTAGAAAAGTCGTAAGAGAGTAATGAGAAAATACATGTTATATGATGTATAGTTTCAAGATACGAATTCTGTACAATACGACATTGTCAAAGGTTTGACACAAGGTGGTAAATCGCTCACTATTGTTGGAGGTAAGAAGGATGTTTTTTCTTTGCTTATCGAATTTTGATCCATATTGAGCTTTTTATTCTCTTACAAAATAGATCCTGACCAAAGCATTTTCGGTTGGAGAAATGCAGACCGCGAAAGCTTCATAAAAATGCAAAACGAGTATCCAAACACAACAGTCTGCAACCTCGAGAAGAATTACAGAAGCACCAAGAAAATTCTCACCGCTGCTCTTCATGTCGTGAACAAGGGTAAACAAAATCTATTAGTGCTACTTGTGTTCAAGTTATTATGCATAACATGTCCATTTCTAATTTCTTTGATGATAGATCGTGACCGTATCCAGAAATCGCTGTTTACAGAGAATGCCGAAGGTGTGCCAATGTCGTTGTTGCAAATGTCGAGTGATACGATGGAATGCCAGTCTGTTGCTGAAGAAATCAAACGACTTGTTGAATACTCGGGTGGATTGATCAAATACAAGGATATTGCCATTTTGACTCGCATGTCGTACTTATCCAACGGTTTTGAACAAGCCCTTAATGTCCTCGGTATTCCTTACGTTGTTGTAAGTTTGCTGTCAAAATGTATTTGTGGCGTTTTCTCCCTAGATCGCTAAGCAACTGTCTTTTGGTTTTCTCTAGATCGGCGGTGTGAAATTCTTTGAACGTGTCGAAGTTAAAGACGTACTTGCCTATCTGCGCTTCTTTTACAACCGCAACGATACTGAAGCATTCGAGCGAGTCATCAACAAACCAAAACGTGGTGTGGGTGAAGTCACAATGAACAAGATTGAGAACATGAGTCGTAGCAAGAACACAGATATCATCCACGTCCTTCGTGATATTTGCTCTGGCGAAGTTAAGGGTGTCACAATTCCAGGCAAAACCAAACTAAACTTGCGAGATTTCGTTGACTTATATGATAGTGCTCAAGCAATGATCAGCAACAAGGTAAGAAAGAAAGAAAGAAAGGAGAAAGAAATTTGGTTGTAAACTTGGATGGGCTTTTTAATTCGATATTGAATTTTTACTTTCGCTTTTTTATAGGATTACATCTACAAAATTTTGGAACATATCATTAGCGAGATCCATTACAAGGAGTATCTGAAAAAGGAGTTCCAGGATAAAGATGGTGATTCACGTTGGGATAACGTTGGTGAATTGATTACTTATGCCAAGAGGTTTGATCCACCGCCCAACAACTCGGTGCAGCTTTCGGCTGCTGCTGTCTTGGCTGGTGCGGAACCGCGCAGCAAAGAGGAAGTCAGTCAAGCTTACAAGTAAAGTAGTTTTCTTTTTTTCAAATGATGGCGAGGAGTGTAGCAAAAGGTTCAATTCTACGGACAGAAAAAGTAACAGTAGCTTATATGTACCTAAAATCTTCATAGCCAAGAATTTGAGTTACCCGAGTACACAGACTTCCCTGAAGAACGTCACGATCCCAATGACAGGTATGAAAAAAGAGAAAGAGTTCTGTAGAATTTTGAAAATTCTTGATAAGAACTATATGTATGCGTCTATCGAATAGTGTCAAATCTGGAGATCGTATTGTCCAGTTCCTCGAAGTGACGACCTTGAGCTCGAACACCAAAGAAGAAGAGGAAGTCGAACAATTGGGCGTGAGTTTTCTGATCTTTTATCTTGCTTTGACAGAAGGGTAGTTTTATTGTACGCGACTAGATTCAACTGATTATCTATGCTTATGATTTACTATTCATGGTTATGTAGAAGGTGACAATCTCAACAATGCACAGTGCAAAAGGTCTTGAATGGCCCTGCGTATTCTCTGTTGCCAGCGAGTCCGGTATCGTTCCGCATGGCAAGGCTGATACTATAGAAGAATCGTACGCTTTACTTTCTCTGTGTTGTCATGTATCATATCTTTATCTGTGCTTTGCGTTACTAATACTGCAATCCTCAAAATATATATAGTCGACTGCTGTATGTGGCAATGACTCGCGCCAAATGTAAGTGTTCAATTGACGTTCATCCTTCGTTGTTGCCGTAGTTGCTTATGTACAAATTCCAGTATGTATTTTTCGATCTAATACAAATTGTCGATATGGTTACTATGTTTTATATAGGCTTCTTATACTGCACATTTGCTCAGACGCGTATGGTTTGGGGTAACGCTCAATATGGTAGCTTGTCTGAATTTTTATCAGACATGCCCCAAACAGCATACACTCGACGCACTCCCAAATTGGACTCAGAGGCACGAGCTTGGGTAGCAGATGTATTGCGTTTACCGTATCGAGAGAACTGCACATTGCAACACGCCGGTGATGGCATTTGGATGGATGAAGAACGACAATGGTCCAAGTAAGTTTTTGGATTTCTTTACTTTTAACTGCTCTCGTATCTCTGGATACGCTAATGCTGTTCATTTTAATGTACTTCGAAATCTTAGATGTGACAGCGATAAAGCCGAATCCGGCTATGCATCTAATCGACGAAATTATTCTCCTTACTCTCGTAACGGGTTTAACTCTGCATCATATTCTTCGCGCGGTGGTCGATCTGGTGCCTTTGGGTTGAAGGGCAATCGCTCAGGTGCTACAACAACAATGACAGCTACACCACGACCCAAAGCAACTGCCCAATCCGTCCAATCTAAACCGTATGCATCGTTTGGATCCGCTGCTTTTGTCAAAGAAGACGTGATATCTGATTATAAGAAAACAACGAACGTCAGCGATAACAAGTCAGAAGCAAGTTTCAAGCGTAAGCGAGAATACGGTGTTGGAACTGCCCATTTGCGCAAGAATTAGGTGACATAGATATAAAACACTTCAATAAGTAATGACCCCGTGCTTTTCCATATTTGTTCTCTCTCTCATGATACCAACTTCACTTCCCACTTCCCTCCCTCCCCCTCGTATGTATTTGCTCAAAAGCATTAGTAGCAGATCAAATGCTACATTTCATATCATCATGCTTTGTATTCATATGTTATCTGCTTTTAAGCAACGATCATATCACGTTACGAAGTAAAGAAGAGACCTTTAGTAACTAATGTCTGTTTTTAGTGTCGATGTTGCTGCATGTTGTATCTGGGGACTTGTCATTGCCAGTAATTTTTATCACAGCCCCGAACAAAACTGCTAAGCATTGATTTTTCCTATTGAAGAACAGATATAAGCGTCGACAAGATATTCTAAGTATATTTGATATCAAATGCAGATACATACAATTAGTCAACTCGAAGCATTAGAATGCTAGATTAAAGATACACACGAGTCCTTTGCTAAGGTAATAAATGTAGTTAACTTTTAAATTGCTAAACAAAGCAAAGTTTGCCTTTCGGTTTCCCTTCTTATGTACTGAACTTTGTATAATCCGCGCTGCAGTAACAAACACAATGTGTAAATAAAGGCTTCGCTGCTGCGTACAACCTTTCACAGACGTGGCAATCAAAACAACATCTATCCCCTTGTTCAACTTTTTGTAAGCGATTTATTCTTCCTTACACCCTAACCTCGGTCTAGTCTACAGGCATTTAGCTAAAACGTATAATAAAAGGAAACAAAGATCTAGAAGGTATATGTATACATGCTGTGCTTCGAAAATGAGGGTCTCAGTAGTTGCTTTTGCTGTGATATTAGCTCAGACTTACCCTACAGCATAAAGGCGTTTTCTCTAAAGTAGTGGAAGCAAGGGGAAAATCTCCTTACCAAACATCTTAATCCGGCTTGACTTTTTCCTTTTCTAGAAGGGGTCTTTCAGTTTAAATCATCGCATCCTACTATGCTTCTTCTCAATCACCGCACCGCAAGAAAGCGACAAGAATGCTATAAGCGTATCATCATTAGCCTTCCAATGAATATTAACTTTGAGCTATTGTTAGCAAGGTCAAAAGTTTTGACTCTACTACTTAGTAGACGGTAGCTATAAAATTTCGATAAATTGGGTTGCAAAAAGCGAGGGATTGCAAAAATCGAAAGCGTTATACTAGAAATAGATGCACCGATGAGATTTCAGACCAAAGGTCCAATTATGGTTGTGTCGAGATCAATCGACACTGTGGCTATTATCCTCTCTGTTTTACATGCAATCTTTCTTCTCTGCACCTTATCTGAATTAGCATTGATAGATTTAACATAGCAGACATATTAACTTTACATACCTCTGTCATTGCTTGTACGCATTGGTTGGATGAGCATTAATCATGCCAGGGAGACCTGTTTATGATCACTCTTCGCATGAACAGCGTTTTCATTGGCCAAATAGCATATTTCCGTTGCCCCACGAAAAAGCACCCTCTCACATTATCATGAGGCGTAAGGACGAGTGTGAAGAGGGTTGTAAAAGCAGGGCACGTTGAGAAAATCATTTTTCTCGCGTAGTCGTGCCGGGTTATTAAGTACGAACATGTAGTCATTGTCTAAAAGAAAGCACATATTACTGACGTGAGTCAGCAGGAAGCAAAGGTAGTCTAGGAACGAGGAGCTCAGGAAGAGCGCAACACAGATCTTTCTTCTTTGGATAGTGACAAGTGATGCGTGTGTCAAACCTCGAACGTTCCAACAGCTTTCCCTTGAAACGAAAACTCCGTAGAGTGAAAGCGCATTGTTACGCAACGATTTGGCCAATTTACTTGGTACTCAAAGTGCACAAAGGAATGGCGGGTGAACAAGGTGATCAATGGAGCAACGAGTTACGCGCAAAAGGGTCAAAAGATGTACAGTAGGAAGTCATCGTTTATGGTGTTATTCTTCTGATCGTCCCAATGGATCTTGAAAGCTGCTAAAAAAAACGTAGAACCCGCACAAAAACAAACGAACCGATTAACTTTATCAGCAGCAATGAAAATCAATGAAGGGTGAGTCAGTTTCACTAGCGGCAGCGTATACTTACCATGAGCGGACAGCTTATCTGCGGCAGCACATACATACTTGGATAGAGTATGAATTCGGAATGGATGGAGGGAGGTTACACGGCGTAGTTCAGAGAACTGTTGGCGGATGGCGAAAATTATAAAGCAACAGTAGACAAGCACGCTTCACAGTAAAAGATAACGATCTTTTTTTATATACTGCAGCGTTGGAGTCAAGTGTGTGTTGTATTCATTCCCGCACACAGCACATGCAATCAAAAGATACTAATCAAATGGAATAGTCTGTGGACTACGCTCTATACTCATGCTGTTTACCTTGTTGGGTGAAGAATAGAAACTGGCTGCTGGGAGGATCGTGTTCTCAATGTTTACTAATGCTGGATCAGGAACAACTGATGCCGTAGAATCTGTTAAGTTGTTTACCTTGTCAATCACTCCTGTATTGCCATTTGATTGCTCACAGAAAAGCATTTCTTCCGTGAATCTACATGCTCATTCACATTCTTGTCTTTGTTTTCGCTTGACACGGTGCCGTGCACGGACCCCCTCACAACCAAGCGGCGACAGCATCGGAGGTACAGCAGCCCATGGTGAGAGACACGTACCACTACCGCCGAAGCACGCTTGTCTACTTGACCATCAGGTACCACTCCTCCTTTCATTTCCTTTGGTGCTGTATCTTTTGTTATGCCATAGTAGGCAACCCACAAGTTGATACGCAACCCGTTATCTGGGCCAATGAGAATTCACGGGGATTTGAAGTCCCGAACGAGAAAAATGTCTATATAAAGCGAGCAATTTCGCCTTTCTTTTTTCTCTTCTCTTCAGTTCGTTTTGGTACAGCTTTGGTCTGTAGTACAGATGCACTGTTTGGTGCCATGATCAGGTCATTGCTTGTGCTGGGCTATTGTCATAATTCTTTTGATGATCGGCAGATTCAGTGGTCCGCCCTGAAAGAAAATTTGCAATATATACCAGTGGGAATGTGGTCATATACTCCGGCAGCCGATCGTGAACCTTCGGGTGCATGTGATGCCAACGGTATATGTTGGGATAATTGAAACGAACTTTTTTATTATTATTTATTACACACAAATAAGAAAATGATAAACAAAATAAAAATATATTTTTCTTTTTCGCACTTTCCGCATAAACGTTTTACCGCTTTTGCCTCGCCTTTTTTTTATGTGCACGACAAGTTCCTTTTTCTTTTTTCGCGAACAAAAAGCTAATTACTCCCCCCTCCATCCATTCACAGCTCCGTGCTAAACAAAGCGGGGAACAGTGACAGTGGCTCTGTATCGTAGCCGAAAGTAACACGATCACAATGCTTTGGCACTCTTTTTCACTTTCTGTGTTCGCCTAAATTGCCAAAGCAATTGTCAAGAAAAAAATTGTTATCGAGGATATGGTCGGTTATTTTATAAGAGGCAACGCCAGAGCATACGCCAGCAGACCTGTATAATTGTCAGATCTGTAAAAAATTGGAATGTTTTTTTTTCAGCTGTTCGTCTCTCTCACTCTTCCTGCACGTAGCTTATCACAACACAATTTTCTTATCATTTTGGGTTTCACCTGGATCGAAAAGCTTGCACTGATCTTTCCGATGTGCCTGCTTTTAAAGCGTGATTCTTGTAACAGCTCTTTCCCTCCCCTTACACCTTCACTTCTCTCTTCCTTTTCTTATTTAACTTTACTTCGTTACATATTTTCAAGGTATGCGTTACCTATTTGAAAGTGATGATCGCTCACCAAAGATATCAGGGGGACCTGTTGAAGATATGATATATTTGCTCTACCAAAACATGCACGCACCCACACACACAGGGATGCTGTGTTTTCCAGGCCAAGCGATTCGTTACTTATATATGACTTTTGCGGCTCGCAAACAATAAACCCGAGTATTGATTGAAGCCTTTTCTTTCGTATCGAGAAGTCGATGGTTTTAGAAAGAGCCTGTTCTAATGTGTATCTGCGTATCGCTATGATAGCATAGATTTAAATGAAGTTACTGGTGGTTACAATAGATCAATCTTCAGGGTCCCCCTTTTCCAAATAAAATTCAGGTGAGCTACCTGGTTCGACTTGCTTTTCCTTTGTCGGACATATTATTTCACGAGTCCGGATTATGTTATACAGGCTTTGTTCGATTAAAAGCCTCGTGCCAAATTTCTTTTCGCGCGTCCCCTTTCACATACACGTAATATGACTGATTTGATCTCGATTTTGCCTCCCGAATCATTCAGTACATCTTCTCGTTTATCGGACAGCGGGCTGTGTCGAATGTGTGAAAGTATGTCGCCGCTGGTTATACGCGATCCCCACTTACCAGACAGCCCTGTGGACACTGGTGGGAATCTCGCCTGATGCATGGAACAAAAGGAGCGACGCGATGCTTCAATGTTTGGGACAACAAGTCGAATCAGTATACATCAAATCTCAAGCCACGTATAAAGTACTGGAACGACTTGCTTGGCGAAGATACAGCATTCGCTTCCTTGGTGAAGTAAAACGATACTCTTTTTTTTTGCGTTAAGAGGATCGCGTATTCGGTAGTACTTACTACTGCTTATGCGCAAAAGATATACTAAAGCTTTTTCTTTGTTTTCAATAAAAAAAAATAAGACATCAGCAACCATGTGCATAGCAAACAATTACAACCTATTTTCGACAGTAGCACGTTACTGCCAGGATCCATCAGATATTTCTCGCATACGCTAACTGCTCTGACGATTTCATTTCACACTTGCGATATCTCGCTGCCAATGCTACTGGACTTCTTGCCGTCATTAACGCATCTTTCAGTGATGTTTGATGGCCGCACTAACTTATCAGACGCTACTCTTGAACAAGTTGATGGCAGAAGCAGACACAAAAGGCCACCGATACACAACATTATCTTCTTAAGACTGGACGGTGTTCTCAGTTTTAAATACCGGATCCGTCCCTTATTGCAGCGTTGCTCCCACATCAAGTACTTGATATTATCGCCTTACTCACGATTCAACAACGTATCTCCAACCAACATCTATACAGCTTATGAGCTGTGCCCTCTATTACGCTACATTATGTGGGAATGCAGCGAACCAGTCATAGCAGACAGATGGATTTCACTATCAAGAAGCACGAGTGCTTATATTAAGTAACTGAAAGGAAAGCATCGAATGATGGCGAGGAAGGCAGTATGGCTTATGAACTGCTATTCAACGGCAAGGGACACGAGAGGATCATGCCGATAGTAGTAAAATCGCAGCCGATACTAGAACATTTACGTATAGTCGCCTGTGGTCTTTCTGATATTCATTGCTGGGATGTCTTGGCACGCAACCAATTCACACAGCTGACAAGTTTGGGGTTGACGGACATCACTGGTATGTCAAGCGAAGATTGGTCCCAGATTTTGCTCATGCAGCAACAAAATGAGATCTTGGAAGTTGGAAATCGCGCTGGAATAACGCAGTATCTGAACAGCATTATCGCAACCATCGGTACGCTGCAACGGCTCCGTATACTTTCCTTGCGAAATTTCCTTCACATGTTCAGCGAGAATCCTCTTTGCGATCTTACTCCGCTTCGACGTTTGCAACAGCTTGAAAAAATGCGTCTCACGAACATACCCATCGACAACCAAGGTCTAATGCAGTTGTGCGAACCATCACAGCACCCACTAGTCAGGAGATTAAGCTTGAACCCGCACATCACCGTACAGTAATAGTGTCGACGACTTTCTCACAGAGGCAGGATGGATTGTGTGGGCACAACGACTTGAGGAAACCAAAATACTGAATCTGGAACTGACAGCCGTGAAAGGTGTTACTGGTGCTGTCCTTGAGCATTTTGAACAAGTCGAAAGCTCGGTGCTATTGCGTGTTTCACGGATCTATAGTCTCACCAATGCAGGCATCAATGCTTTTCGTATCATTGAAGGATCTAGTAAAAAGATTGAAGTCGTGGGGTGTTCAGGATTATCTCGGACAGATGATCTTCGTATGCCATACAACATATTTTTAATAATTGAGTACCATTGCGGTGATATTTGCAGTCTGGCTTGTACTTTTATTTATAATGAGCTGATAAACAATATTGGCAGCATGTTTAATTAATCAGTTTTCCAGGTTGGATTGTTGTGATATCTGTATAGTCAAGCATCGATTTGAAATGTTTACATATACACTTACTAGATCCAGGATTGATGGAAAGGCAGCACGATGTGGATCTGGTCGGCAGCGAGTCTGGTGCCCTTTCAAACCTGAGCGAAAGCACAGACTAATTTTTTTTGGTTACCCTATGCTTTCCTTATATATCAGAAATGCTTGTGTACCTCTTTTCGTCACAAAAGGGATCACCTCGCACTCTATATGATATAGTCTCTGTGACAGAAGAGAGAAAAAAAAATGAAGTGAGAATATTCTTTCTTCCGTTGTTGAATAGAAAGACCATCGTCGCCTCCTCCCCTCTCCCTTTATGACCAAAAAAAAGCAGTCTGTATGCTGTATGTATGCGCATACGCGCGTTCCTGTTCATGTCGGGCAGTGGATTTTTAATGCCCGGTATTTGGATTTCATTGGCCAACGTGCTGCTGCAACTATACTCGAACCGCTTTGAGAGTTATACTACGCAGAGGACTTATTGGAGTCAAGTTTACTGACAAAGGTCAATATTTATGGTAAGCGGGAACATTATCATCTTCCACATGCTAGGATATATACGGGATCAAGAACATCTTGAAATATAGCGATTCCCGGAAAGTGTTCCTCATATTTTCTGGGCAAATTCTAACTACAGTACTTTGTCTGTTTAAACTCTATATGTAACAAACTCATGAGCAGTTGTTCAGTAAATGAACCCAGTGTCTTAAGCTTGATGCTTACCAAACGAACAACAATACGATAGCAAGCTCAAAACGCCAGAGAAAAGGCAAGCCTGATACAAGACGCTGGAGTGCTACTGTGTGCTGTCAACCAAGATATAAACATCACCCTAGTAAGCTTCCTGGATCCCAACTCCGCTCAATGGATTGGATAGCATTGTAATACCCTGCAGATGCGGTAACGAATAAACAACAGCATTCAGGATGTCTAGATTATATAACTAAAGTCATCCTGGCAATAGCAACATAGAGAGCAAAAGCTAGTTCAGTCTTCCTTACTCTCAAAGAAAGAAAAAAAGAGATGCAAACGAATTATTGAAAAGTAATATGCAAAAGGCAACCATGACTGAATCAACCCACACTTGTGACAAGCATTTACTGTAACCAGCTGGGCACTTTTGCTTCTTTCTACTGTTGTGCTCTTTGATGACCTTTATTTTCATTCTTTCAAAAACGTAAAAAACCATGAACAACGATCAACTTGCCTCAGGCACAAATCCCTCTGCCTCTAATAAGCTAGGAGTAGTAGAGTCATCAGTGGAGTGCATTTATGTTATTTCTTTGCGACTGTATCGCGTAAATCCGCCCTTATTCACCCAGCATTGCATCTCAACTGGGGATGTCATAATTCTAGCGAGCTCTGTCAATGCAAGCAAGCAAAAACTATAGCTGCTCTTGAACACAAGTACAAAAGAGCTTCAACAGCTCAGGCTTAATGAGCATGCGTTTAATAAACCTGTCAACCGCGACAGCTGCCCAGAAACCACCACCGCCATCAGTGCTATCACTGCGTCTTACGCCGTTCGACAGCAGCAACAACAACACCAAAATCAGCAGCCTGCGGTTGATGAGCATGTATACAAAAAGCCATGGGTCACAAAGGGACCGGGATCACCGCCATTGGTCCGCCACTTCTTTATCACTTAGGCAACAACAACAACAAAAGCAACAACAGCCCCAGACGCATGTGTTCAAGAAGCCGGTAGGTTGCGTAGTCACCATTGCATCTCCTGGCAGTGAGCAGCAAAAGAAACAGCTGCCAACAGTCGTGACACCTCCATTGTCGCTCATATCTCCAATGAAACAGCAGCAGCAACAGCAACCACCATCCACCCATCCACCACCGTCCCTGTCACCAGTGACGCCGCCACCGCCGCCGCAGCAATATCCTTTGGCTCCAGCAGACATCGAGTATGTTGAATCGGGGGACATTTACATTTACATCGATTCTGAGGAAGTCAAAATAGAGGAGTCCCTGGAGAATGTGACCATATAGATTGAGTGGATTGGGCGCCAACCCTCCTGCAAAGGGTGGTTGCTCCCCCCCCCACCGCGTTCTGTTACGGTAAGATTATAGCATATGGGACTATGATAATCACAATACGAACGACAAGGATTTTTGTAAACGATGAGACAATTAACTATCGAAACTAACCATTTCATAACATTTATCTGTTTTATGCCAGTTTCGTCCATATCTGCCACTTCACGTTTCTTCTACAGTACTATTTTTCCATCCGAACCATGATTGATATCATCTATGTATACTCCAGACTTGTTCTGACCGCCATCTTCCATGATACCTGACACTCTTTACCACCACTGTCGTGCGGCCCCAGCATACCCACACAAACCCACACAGCATCGACAACACAAACTCACAATGAAGTAGGCAGCAACATCGTTAGTAACAACCGCAGCACCAAAGTTATCTACAGAAATAACACCAACAACAACAAAACACATGATTTCGGTCACTCACATTGGTTGTACCATTATCACTAGTCTTTATCAACCGTTGGGACCAGCTTCTTGAAGTCAAAGACGAATATGCAAAGATTTACTTGTACTCAGCCATCATCATGTCACTCCCTTATACACTGGACTGATATCTGCAATGGTTACCAAGATAACGACTCACCGGCAATTCTACGACCTACCAACTTGGTTTAAAACGATGCACGATCATAAAAACTCAAGTTGCACTCATGCAACAACAATAATTACAACAGCAGTAACAAGAATAGCAGCAAAAACCAGCTTATATCAGCCAACTGCCTCTACCTTCTCTTCTATGATCTTTCAGAATTGACTCATTGATTCTCGGCACAACAAATATTGATGGTGATGATCGATCTGTGGTGCAACCCTTGACCATTGGAGAGTACGACGAATATCATAGGTAGATTCAAGTAGCGGATTTGTGGTGTAATAAACACAGGCTGGAATTCGTAGACTTCTGCCATTGCTTGCGCGACAGTTTCAATGATACATACACATAGCCTAGTATTACTATGAGCAAATGTTCGGATATTATCATTTTCTTATTCGACAGCCGTTCCGTTTATAAAGCCAACTCGAATGTCGGCGTTTGTACCATGGTGAAGCCGGTTCGTGTGACGGGGCCCAATATTGCAGTGTGGAGGCGGTGTCGGCAGCTATACGTTCTTAAGAAGGCAGCATTCTTTTTGGTTCGCCACAAAAGTAATCTGGCTTCTTCTTATGTGAGCTTCTTGTTACGATATCAGCAATTTTTATTTTCTCCATTGTCAACCATTCCCGGCACCTGCCATTTACTTTTTCTCTTGGATCTTGTTGCTGAAACCCTGTAGATCGTGTCTGTGCGCCTTGTGGCCTAACGGGTGCACGTATCTATTTAGAAACAGGCGGCGACACCGTCGGGGCACGCCCTGCATGATACCGGTGAAACATATTTCGTAGGACAATCAATACACGCGGACCACATACGCCTTCTTCTTGACCGCTTGACCGCTTGACCATGTCTCTTCTGCACATGTTTTTTCTTCCCTACTCTTTGCTTTCCCACCTGCTGATTGAATGGCGAATTACAAGTCACGTGACGTGTTTTTTTAAGACAGGGGTTTGAGTTCAAAAAATGTAAATACGCCCATATTTTTCAGGCCATTTCGTTTTTTCTCTTCACTCTTTCTTTCCTTCATTTTTCTTTTTCCTTCACTCCCTTGGATCCTCCTGGTCTTTCTCTTGGCTCTTCCCTTGGTTCTGGTTTTTCCCTGGCTCTGGTCTTTCCCTGGCTCTGGTCTTTCCCTGGCTCTGGTCTTTCCCTGGCTCTGGTCCTCCCCTGGCTCTGGTCCTCCCCTGGCTCTGGCTCTTCCCTTGGCTCTGGCTCTTCCCTTGGTCCTGGTCTTGCCTCTGTCGGTCCTGGTCTCAGCCTTTTTCCCGTGGTCCCTGGCTGCCTACAACCGATCCCTGCTTTGGGCTGTCTAGTCTGGCGTTCAACGGTGTTGGCCACAACCGGTCTTCAGGCGAGATCAGAGGACGGAGAAATCCTTTTCGGTTTTTCGCCATAGAAATATGGTAGTGTCCTTTCGGTTGGATGCCTTGTCTGCTGGTCTGGTCTGGTCTGCCATGGTGGGGCTCGCATGAGGAGCCAGGTGCCACCGTAAATCGCGTTCGACTCTCGGCAATCAACTCTCTGGCATTCGACTCTCGGCATTTGACTCTCGACAATCGACTATCTGGCATTCGACTCTCGGCAATCCACTCTCGGCAATCGACGCTCGGCAATCAACTCCTTGGCATTCGACTCTCGGCAATCGACACTCGGCAATCAGCTCCCAGCTTCAGTGTTCGGCTCCCAGCATCCGAGTATCCAGTAAGCAGCTCCTCCAGCATTCGACAACAGCAGCAATTTTTTTTCTTTTTCTTTTTTGGGTGTTTCGAGAGTCAATTCTTTCCCCTACCCCCACCCCTTCCCTTTCCTCTTCCCTTTCCTCTTCCCCCACCCCTTCCCTTTCCTCTTCCCTTCCGTCCTTCCCTTCCCCCTTCCCCACTCACAGGCAATCCACAACCGATTGCTTGCACTTGACTCTCGAAACGTAGTGTACGTCATGGTTCCCACTCGTTTGTACCATGATGGCTGGGTTTGTGGTTGATTGACCCAGCCAAATGTGTGGGAGACTGGGACTCCCAGGCCGAGGCATTGGTGGCTTTCTTTTCCTCCCCCTTTTACATACTTCTTCTGTTTCTTCTTGCTTTCTTCATGCTTTTTGTATAGCCTGCAGGTTGTGCGAACTGCTTGTTGAGGTCACTTTGTAAAATCGCGTTCTTATTATTTGTCTTTATTGTCCACTGATTGTGTTCTTTTAATAAAATTTGTACCCTTCGACTATTGATATTCATAACGATAACTTTTGTCTTTTATAAAATGTTTCTTCACTCTTTTATTACAATGAATAAAAATCTGTTCTTTTACTTTATGTTCTGCTCAAACTCATTTACAATTTCTTTCCTTGTGAAGGTATTTACGTGTTGCTTGACCTTGCAATAGTCATTTTCTTTTTGACTGTGTTTGAATCGTCTTCACCGCTTCATTTGACAGTTAGGAAAGAACTCATGTTTTGGCGTGCTCTGTCCCTGTTCTCATACAATGCTGACAATGTCATATGGCTTACATTAGATTCGTAATTACTTCTACTTTGCAATGACTTGATCGATTCTAAACATAATATCTAGGCAACTGTTTGACGCAAGCATATGCACAGACCATGTAAATTGTTGTGAAACCCAGGACACATCAGATAGTTTCTTGCAACAGCAGGAACTCTTTTGGACTTGGAACAAGTTGATCGATCTTTGTGTGCTTAAACTGTCGTTTCTCATCCACTCTACAGCCAAGATCAAATTTTTTGATACCAAATATTGTAATGCTCATACTCATTAGTAGAATTGTTTTACAAACGTTTTAAATGGCTTTCTATCAAAGCCTAAATCCACGTAGATGTGCTTAACTTTTAAGCGATCGTTTGAAATTGAGCTGCCCTTGGAGTGCCATAGATGTGTTCATTGGGGGCAGTTCGACATATGTACAGCAACGCTTTTCTTTGTTACCTTTTCTCCGTTGAATCTTTCTTGTCTATACAGTTACGATAGAAAAAGTGGTCGTGTCATATTTCTCACTTGTCACCCACATGTGGCATAAAACACAGTGGCTGCGACCAGTCGGCGCTTGAGAGTAATGAGACAGTACTGTACGATATGATAATTCTCAAACTTCGGACTGCCTTCCGATGATTTTCCGTACAAGGCTACTACATTTACCAATACGATCTTATATATTGAAGCCCTTTGCTTTGTACCAAATAAAAGTAATTTTTTTACGGCATCTTATCGTCGCCCTTTGTACTGCACTTTTCCTAACAAGAAATAACCCCATCGACTACTTAAGGCCAATATTTGATTTGGCGGACTACATGCATCAAACGTACGGTACACCATTCGCTTGATGGATGATAGATTCATGTACTTAAATGTCTGTCGTCTCTACACAATATATGCTATGATACATACTGTACTTGTATATTTGGATCAAGCTAGGACAAGATATCCTAAATTATTAAAGTTACCCTTTTCAACAACATAGGTTAATGCGGTTGACCTATACCGCCAATGAAAGACTTTGTCTGACTGCTCATGAAAGTTCCATCTTATTTTATTGGAGACGTGCTCTCCAGCATCCAGACAATGCCTTAGGTAACCGGAAACCGGTCATCAGGGCTTCGATTGATGCCACAATATCCAGAACATAGAGGTTTGCTGCAGAAACAACAACGACGACGTTGGAAATACAAGTTTGTCTTGAATGCTTTTGAAAGCTTCAAATGCTCCCAAAAGCTTTCAAATGCTTTCGAAGACTTCAAAAAGCATCAAATTACAAATTTCCGACGAACAACAACGACAATGACAACAATCCACCAACAGAAACAAATCAAGAGGCTCACGTGTATAAGAGATACGAATCAGAGCGCACCATACAACATCTCGATTACATACTTCACTTGACACGCGAGCCACTTTAATTGTGTTAAGTTTTTGATATTGATGGCGAGACCTATGACTCATTATTCGATGGGAGAATTATTTACAGAGGCGGGCAGCGAGCGATGGGAAGTGTTTACCTATTGGAGATTCGAGGCTAACATCGTACCCTGCTTGACAAACTACTAAGCCTCAGAACATATTCCACAAAAACATCAGCAAATCATTGCATCTGTCGTACAAAATGTCCGTCAATAGAAGCCATTGTCCTCATATACCAAGTGCTGCTGATGCTTTAGCAACCATGTCATGATTACATCAAATAAGGCAGCATCAATACCAACAACAATAACAAAAATAACAACAACGTTGGTACTAATGGTAGAAGGCTATATCCACTTTTCCCAGTTGCTTAAAAACATATCTCATTTGGCAATTACTTTTCTTTTGGAATACTTCGCTTCGAGCGAAGAAATTATCCGTGACGAATTACTGGTTATGATACCGGAAGATAAGACATTTGGAGGCAATCAAGCTGGACGCTTGCAAATAAGGCCTTGTGACGACGAAAGGGATGGGCTCAGCATTACTATACTTGACGACAGCAATACTGTTTCAGATATATAAATGGTGGCATTCGGTACTGCTTTTTGATTAGCGGATATAGACCTCTACCGCCTACCATTGAACACACCCTCGGGCGTGAGAAAGTTGCTTGAAGGCTTCAACTCGCTCAAGATGCTTTGTGCACAAGGTTGCGGGTCTGTGCTGGGAGAATGGCAAACTATGTTTTATTGTGCTAAAACCAAAAGTGCTCGTGTCGACATTGGCAAAAGATGATGATACCCTTTCTCGTGTTGAAAGAATGTAGTTGGATTATTGACCTTCTTGACTTTTTGTGCGCTTTTTTATCCTCTTCTTATTCAACAAAAATTATTATAACATATCGAACCGTGCATACCCTTGTTATGTATATGTTATAAAAGAAAAACGGAAGCATAATATAGTATATATTACTGTTCTTTCGTCGAAAAGCACCCACGAAAAAATTTCGAGGATTCATAAGACGTCGTGAGATGCTCAGAGGTAGCAAGCGGTACTAGCCCCCATCCGCATTTATGTGTGTGAAGAGGTAGTGCAAACAATGGATGTATATTATTGACCCATTAATTAAATCGACAGCTGTCATTTGCAGATGCCAGCTATCTTATTTTTTCTCCTTCCGGGAAAAGAAATAGCGTTGCTTGGGGGTATCAATGCAACCGGTGTCGAACGGGTACTACTCAAGCTTGCTTTACAACGTTGAAACTAGTTACTGGTACACGTTGTCTTGCGACCGGGAACATTTATGCACCCAACTCAGCCCACCCTATTTCTTTTCTTTCACGCAGTAGCTCTAGTATATATATAACCAATAGCATACCACCCTCTCTTTTTCTATTCTATATTATCCTTGCCAGACCTCAAGAACAGCAAAACCATGTTGGCTTCGGTCCTCAGTGTCTCGTTGCTCGTCTCATTACTCGCATATGCTTATCATGTCTTGGCACAATTCCAACAACAACAACAACAACAACAACAAAGTTTGTCATCGATTGACAGTAAAAGTAGCAAGAACGTTTTGATTCTGACTGCCCATCCAGATGATGAATGCATGTTCTTTGGACCTACCATTACTGCGCTTCGCGATTCAAAAACGCGTGTTCATGTATTGTGTCTGTCGACTGGTAAACGGCCGTTTCTTATTAATATCACCCATAGAAACGAAGCGCATAGTAACCAACCGTCTATATATATATCTCCTAGGCAACGCCGATGGATTAGGCGCGACTCGAAAGAAAGAGTTAACGCGTAGCTGTCAAGTACTAGGCATTCCGCCAGTTGATGTCAAGGCACTTGATCACGGGCAAGTAAACCTCTTTTCCTTTTTTTCGCAGTGGCTAACTGGTTGAGGCGATAAGGCCATAAACTGACGCATTGTGCTGCTCACTAGAGATTTGCAAGATGGAATGAAGAACACTTGGTCGCCAACGTTGATTGCCGGGATTGTCAAAGATTATGTGACCAAGCATAAAATCGATACAGTAAGAAAAAGAAAGCAGGAAAGAAATTAATAAAGAGTCTAGGGAACTGATAGGGGTATGGGTGTGTACGATGACGTCTCTTTTTTTTTTTTATTAGATTATCACATTTGATGATTACGGCGTCTCGGGTCATCCAAATCATATTGCTGCGTACAAAGGCGCACAGTAAGTACAGCCATTGATTATTTTAACCTTTTGATAATATACGTCTAACTTTACTTGGTAGGCATTTTGTCAATGAATCATGCAGCAACAACAAGAAAGTGAGACTGTACAGGCTGTCATCGATCCTGCTGCCGCGCAAGTACATTGGGATTGGCGACCTGGTGTTCATGGCTGTGGAGCAGCGGCTCTTTCCGGACAGAGGGCGTGATGCAGTGTTGTTTGTGTCTTCGCCCAGCAGCTATCTAGTGACGCACAAGGCGATGAGGCGACATGTTTCGCAGCTGGTGTGGTTCCGATGGCTGTATGTAACGTTTTCGCGCTACATGTTTGTCAACCAGCTCGTGGAAGTCACTCCGCCCGTCTAAAAAAGACAGAGCTCCTTTTCGCTCATTTCAACCTCCCCCCCGTCCATTATCACCCACTCACAATGCACACACATACTCGCAAAAGAAATACGCTATGAACGCTTTTGCCCTTTTGTTTCACTGGCGCCAGAAAAAAAAAAATCTTTCCGAACTCTTTTGAACAAGTCATAGTCGTTGCCTCTCTCTTCTTTTTAATTTTTTTTTTGTTTTTCCCTTTCCTTTCCTTTCCTTTCCTTCTTCCTTTTTATTTTTTTTTCGCTCTTTCTCTTTCTCTCACTTCCCTTCTTCGCCGCTCCACGTTTTGCCTCTCCCACTCCCTTTTATATTACCAACTTTTGTCTCTTCTTCCTAATATCAACAATAAAACGCCATGGACGCTACCACTGCTTCTCCTGCTGTCACCACCACCGCAAACAACAACAACACCAACAACGAACTTATCACCACCCACAACCCCACTACCAACAGCCACACCAACGGCAGTACGAGTAATAATATTAATAATCATAATCATAATCATAATCATAACGACAGCGACGTGCCTGCTCCACCTTCGTCTACCGCCGCAAGCACTCCAGCAGCCTCCACACCCCCCGCTAATAGTAACGTCAACGCCAACAACAACAACGATGGTACATTATTTCTTTCTATATTTTCAAAAACACACAAAAACGAGGAGGATGTGGTGTATTTACAATGAACACGCGGGGATATTATAGTAGACGAGACACTGCAGCACAAATACGGCCTTCTTAAGAAACGAGTCCGAGAAATAGAAGAGGTCAGCTATTTTATTACCAATTTCCCTCCTTATATATGCGACCATTAAAAAGCTAAAACGTCAATGATTGTATATTACAGGATAACGATGCCATTCACATTAAACTCACAAAAGCGATGCGTCAGATCAAACGTCTGCGTGTGGAACGCATGTATGTAATTCATCTCCCCCGCCAAAAAAAAAAAAAAAAAATGTGCTGCACCTTTATTCACACACAAAAACAACAACAACTTTATTTCTAACGAATTTGTAAATGATGATGACGATGATAGTGTATTGCTCGAAGAACTCGACAGCTCGCGCCAATACCGTCGCGAAAGAAAAGCCGTAGCTGGAGGAGCATCCGATTCGGAAGGTTCTGTCTCGGATACGGCAACTACGACCACTGTAAGTTTTTTTGGACTCTTTAGAGGAACAAGCACATGAAAAAACTAATGATACTCCAGAAGGATCAAGGTATGCTGAAAGCACCGGCTACTAAACGAGCCAGAGGCGGCAAGTCGAAATTGTCCTCAAAACATCATCACAACAAGCACGACGTCAACGGCGACGCAGTAGCAGCTTCTTCAACACCTGGACCTGCTCGTAAGAAGCGAGACCCCAACGCGCCCAAGGGACCTGGCAATGTGTTTTTCCTGTACTGTCGACTAGAACGTGACAATATCAAGGACCAGTTATCAAGTGACAACCTGGGCGAGGCCACGCGTCTGCTGGGTCAAAAGTGGAAGGCATTATCCAAAGACGAAAAGAAGGTTTGTGTGGAGCCTTACAAAGACCCGACGACACTCAAATGTGCGTATGTGTGTTTTAACGATTATAATACCGCGGATGTTATATATATATAACATTAGGTGTATTACGACATGTACAATAAGGAATTAAAAGAATTTGAGGCGGCGATGGAGTTGTATAACGCTGGTGGTGGTGCTGCTGGTGCAAACAATGCCAGCAACAACAACAACCGTACGGAAACTACCACAGCTGCTAACAGTCAAAAGGAGGAAAAGGAAGACGACGAAAATGTCGACATGTTGCAGGATGAGGACGACGAGGACGAGCTTCCGTTCGACGAGTCCAAGGATACGACCCCGGCTCCTGCTTCTTCTGTCGCTGGCGGTGAAGATACGGTAATGACAGAGGCTGATACGGATGCTGCTTCCCAAGATCAACAGGAAGGAACGCCGGTTTCTGTACCCGAATTGTCGGAACCCGTAGATGTTAAAGTGCCTTCTAGCCCTCGACCTACTACTACTGCTGCTGCTGCTGCTGCAACCCAGGATCTTAATGCCAGTGCTCCTCCACCTGCTACCCCTGATACTACTACCACTACCACTAATGACAACAACAACAACAACAATGGCACAGCCTAGTAGAAAATGTAATCCACACCACACTCGCATACACAGCACATAGCACACACGCAAATACAAAGTACAGAGTATATACAAGAAAACATTGGCTCTCATCCCCACCTTCCTCCTTCCCCAGCACCACAGCATCATTACCAGCACGACTCACTCTCATCATTTTCGTTAGTTGTTATTATTATTCTCTTATACATAAAAAGAAAAAAAAAAAAAAGTACTTTCATTACTAATGCGAAACTTTCGGTTGTAATACGGGGTTCCCTCACTTTTATTGTGTCCTTTATTCCTCTTTTTTTTTTCTGCTTAATTTAGCTGATGGGTTTGATCTATTAAAAGTTTTCATTAATGATCAATTATATCCACTACTCTTTCTTAAATGTAAATATCTTACCTTGAAATGCAACGAGATGAGCGAGAAAACGAATGCTTTCAGATCCTGTACGAGGTAATAGAATATACGCAATCCTTCAGGGTCCTGGCTTTCCTGGACTTCCACGAGTGATCCAAGTTTGGATGTCTGACATACGTTCATTGAATGGTTAACCACATATCCAACCTACCACACTCGCTATTCTTGAAATATCAATGTTACCTCGAAGGAAATATGCTCGCTTCCAATTCGTACTTCCAACTCTTGACTACCGACAACGTTCTTTTCAGGCCATTGACTGTCGTCTTCTCTATAAACGACCACACACTATTTAGTATATATACACGTCCACCCCCACATAGACTTCACCTCCTCCGCCTTCGCCTCTCATCAACAAGTATATTGACGATCCACTTTACTTCATGACTTCGCTTTCTCCAATGATTCGTTTCAGTTCTTGTAACACGGCAGGACTGACCGTCACTAAAAATGAGAGAAGAGGAGGTTGATCCAACGAAGAGAAAAATAACGCGTCAAAATATATAAATACATATATACAGTTTAGAAAACTAATAATCCCAAAAACCTTCATAGAAGAAACTTTAGCAAGGTATGGTCCACTGTTTATGAACTTACTTTCTTTTCTAATCAAACTGTCATTTCTGTAATTGGAGTTGTTGGCGTAACGGCAGTGACCGTCTGAGCGAAATTCGAATTCTAAAAATTCGTGGCCGTATCGTCCTCTGTGACCCGAGCTATTCAGAAAAAAAACAAATCAATTAATTGCTCACAGACACGATTTTATAAGATAAGGATTTTTGGCATTAAACAACATACTAGTAGCGAACATAAAACTCTCCATCGTTTGCCATGATCGTAAAGATGTATAATAGAACACAGAAAAGAAAATAGGCTGGCTGCTGGAAAGGGTAAAAAGGGCAGGTCGGAGCAGTAAATTATATGTGTCCAAAGTCCATTTCACACCTAACACATTGAACGAAACTAATCCACCAAAACATTTTTTTTTATTGCAAAGACGAGTTTCTGTTGACAAAGGCAACGATCTCATCGACAAACGACTTTGAATACAACATCTCATAATGATCTAGCTTGACATTTTCTGTCTCCAGCTGCACTTGAGAAGCAGCACCAATCGCCTTCAAATGGTCCACCATGGCATGCGCTTGATCCACATCCACCAGCGTATCTTCTAAACTGTGAACCACCAACATGGGAGGCAGGTCATCGCTGTGATGAGCGGGTTGTTTGGTGACAGGAGAAGCAGCAGCATAGAGCGACGGATCGTTACCAAAGGCTTGTGGCACGAAATCATAGCTGGGGCATTTCCGTAAAAGCAATGCCAGATCATAGATGCCCTGAGCGCCAATCACGCCTGCTATTACTTTTTGGGTTGTTGCATAACAACAATACTCAGGGTCCAGTGTAAGCATCATTGCAATGTGTGCACCTGCAGAGTGGCCAATGAGATACAGTTGTGCTGGATCATAGCGTTTGTCCCCGTGATGCTGATGAACCAAGTATTCGATGGCTTCTTTACAGTCTTGGATATGCAATGGATGTTGAACTGCTGGCGGGGCTTCCTTGTTCTTTTCATCACGTAAGCTGAGTCTATGGGGGGGGGTGTGTGTGTGTTTTTGGTTCGTGTTAAAGAGGACTTTAGAAGAAAACAAAGGTATATTACCGGTAATTGATGACAGCTACAGGAAACCCGTGCGCGACAAGAGCTTCGGCAAGTGGAGCGTGGTCCGCCTTGTCCTCCGAGCGCCAGGCACCGCCGTGGATGAATACCAGCAAAGGACTTTTGGCATTGGCCATGGGTGGAATGTACAGATCAAGTTCTTTGAAATGCGACTTTTCCGTGGCATAGTAACGGTGTGTAATGGTGGTGGCAGCAGCAGACATGGCGTGACAAGTTGTAGCAGAGAAAAAGAAAAAACGCGGCGTGGCTAAAATGTACTTCCGGGGAAAACCAGAGCGAACGAGCGGACCAAAAGCTTATTTGGTTGCCATCACACACATAGAAACGCATTGGCCCTAATATAGCAGTGAACCAATGTCAAGTACCCGCGGGATGTAGTGTAAGCTCTGGTAAGGCTACACAACAATAACACAAAACCATAATAACACACGCTTGAGCAACGCACTCGTACACGCTCTTTCTTCCTCTCCTTTTCCAGACCATTTTTACCGACCCTGTTCCTTCTCTTTCTCTCTCTCTCTCTCTCTCTCTCTCCCCCTCTTGTAGAAAAAAGGGCTGGTTAATATCCTCCTCTTCACCACTTTCTCTTCCTCACTTTCCTCACTCTCCCTTTTTAAATAGAACACACGCACACAAAGACAAAAAGTTTCTTTATTAGAATTTAAATCGTGATGAGTCCCGGGGTACAATCCATTGCCGACTTGACAACCGAAACAAACCCAACATCGGGCGAAATCCCACCACCACTGGTTGGTGCCTCGACCCTTGTCGTTGGCAACTACATGTACGTCTTTGGTGGACGACTGGTCTCGTCCCGTCAAATGACCAACCACCTCTATGTCCTGAACCTGACGACGTTTGTGTGGAGACGACATACCGCACCACCGGACTCGACACCTGCACCACAACCGCGCTATTTCCATTCAGCTAATACGTACAAGAACCACATGGTTGTGTTTGGTGGTATGAGCCATGCGACGATGCATCGTTCTCAACAACAACAACAACAACAACAACAACAAGGACAACAGGAGTTATGCGCGCTGGACGACGTGTGCCTACTGAACTTGCAGACAATGACATGGACATACCCAGATATCGCACCCAGCATATTCAGTCCCCAGCCACGCTATGCTCACTTGTCCGTAACGGGCCAGGACAAACTTGTCGTGATGGGCGGTCAGGATATGGCAAACCAGTACATCAAAGAGATCAATGTGTTGGATCTCAAGACGTTTGTATGGATCCAGGGATGCCCCTTGGAAGGACAGTATGGGGCCTATCGATCTGTTGCATGCAGTCCACGACCCAACGATCCATCGCTCAAATCAAACTCGCCCTTTGTTTCGGTCGGAGAAGGAGTAGACGAAGAGAAGAATATCCCCATCTGTGTGTATTCCAACTACAATTTCGCCGACGTGGCGCGAGACTTGCAGACGTTTTATCCATTGCGAACACCTCAGCTCCGGGACCATTCGGCAGACATGTCGGGTGCATCGTTACCGCCTGGTTTACGGTTCCCCATGGGTCATTTATTAGGCCATCACATGATCCTGACAGGCACGTATCTCACACCCACCCACAGGTCGTTTCACATCTGGGCCCTGAACCTGACGAACTTGGTATGGATGCGGATTGATACGGGCGCAACATTTTCTTCGGGATCTTGGAATCGTGGTGTATTGGGCGACACTGGAGACGATTGTAATGGCACCGATGTTGGTGGTGATGGCAAGAAGGAAAACAATAGCCACACATTCTACGTACTGGGCCATCGCGACCGAGACTTGTTGGAGGATTATAACCGACGTCAGGTCAATTTTGATCACGTTGCAACGGTCGACATGGAAGCGTTTGGCATTTACTTGCATCCACCATCCACTTGCGCGCCCATAGCACAAGAATTAGGTCTGAGCATGCTCAACGAACCCAGCATGTCTGATATCGAACTCGTTACTTCCGACAACAAATCCATTCCGGCCAACTCGTCCATTCTGTCACAACGATGGCCGTATTTCGGCAAGCTACTATCCACCTCTTCTTCTTCTTCATCGGCAACAAAAGCAACCAATAACTGCAACAACTATGACGACATTACTTATAATAATAGTAATAATGAATACAAGGCACTGGCGTTCCCAGAAAGCTATCCCATAGCACTGGCGTTTTTGCAGTACATTTATACCGACCACCTGATGACCGCACAACAGCACCAACCTCACATACTATCGCGACTCTTGATCTTGGCAGACATGTACTCGATGCCACGACTCAGTCAACTGGCCACACATGCATTGCATCAGATCTTGACGATATCGACTGCCAGCATGGTCTATGAAACAGCCGCCCTCACGTGTCGAACAGCACTGCAGATCCGTGCGCTTCGCGTCATGATCAATGCCAAAAAAATGCTTCAACAACAACAATTGATGCAACTCCATCAGGACGAACAATCGTTTTTGTCACCCGAAGAGCAACGACGTCCATCCTATGAACAGCAGCACGGAACAGAACTTCAACCCCATCAACGGATGCCAAGTCAGGATTCTTCAGAAGATCCATTTGGTACGGGCCCCAGTTTACGGAGACTGGCAACGAGTAAATCAAGCACAACCCATGAATTTGCAGCAACAAATAATGCGCCCATTCTTCGCATGTCGAAATCGGGGACCACGTCATCGACCCACACACATCCTCTTGTCACTTCAACCTCCTCCACAGCAGCAGCAGCAGCAGCAGCACAGCATCATCACCAGAACCAATACCAGCAACAACATCCCTACAATTTCCGTAAAGGAAGCATCACTGCACTTCATTCAACGGCCCCTCCTCCTCCTCCTAAAGAGAGACCCAATATCGGCATTCGCTTTTAATCATTATATAAAAAAGAATAATCTTTAGTTATATTTGCTGCAGCTGCTGTAGTTGTTGTTGCTCTAAAGAAAAGCCGAATAATACATGATACCACTTGAACCATCAAACGGGAATAAGCTATATAACTGGGTGTAACTTTGAATGAGGCGACATGCAAGGGACTATTTCTGCACTTGGATGTAGCTTCATTGTTTACATCTATAACAATGGCGTGGGTGGGTGGGGGGTCGGAGGCCAAAGATAAAGGCTGCTTTGCTGTTGTGTAATGCAAATTGTAGTGTTCTTCCACATGTTCTACCATGGAAGGTTTTCCATTTTAGTCACTTTTATTTTTTTGGAAATCAAGGAGATTCCAGAAGTTCCTGTTTGCTGTGTAATTTTTCAACAATAGCAATGTTGCCTAATAATACGTCGATCCGCAACCATACATGTTCTTGAACAGCCTTCTTCCATGCATATGTCACCTTGAACAACACGCTAAACGTCTTTTTCTCCACCTCTTTGTGCGTCCCGGATAATGTAATCCATCAAGCAAAGTACGCGTAATGGAGAACAGTCGCCAAGTGATATATATATGCGTTTGGACAAAAGGAATGCGTGGATGTTGTTGTCTTTCACGACGTTGACCCATGTTATATTTGTATCGACGTTGCATGCACAGAGAGCCAGAGATCTCCAATAACCGTAATCTAAGAGGTAGTGTTTATTTGTTCAGACGGATATCGTAATTAGGCTCGACGTGTTCAAGAAATAAGGTTTTTTGTACGATGGATGTAATGACAAGTCAATAATTTTCACATATTGAGGTTGAGCAAGACAGGTGGGTCAAGAGGATCATGTCGAACGCTAGCATTCATTGAGTGACCTTCACTTATCCTTTCTTTGCTGGCTGATGTTTCTGGCTCGTCACTCTACTAGACTTCTTCAACTTCATCGTCAACATTAAATAAAGAGAAAAAATTGTTGAGTGAAACACGTGACAATTTGATGGATTGGATGGTATGTATACAGTTGGTTGACCGTTATATTGTCGATCAACATTCTCAGAGACTATGATACGCAGACCTGGCAACCCTTCTTATTGAACTTATTGCTGTTGCGACAATCGCTGCATCATTCTAAATAGTAACTTTTCATTCATGTACAAGATTTGGATGCTGGCGCACGAGCTTAATAGATTGGCGACGCCATGAGGTGGTATTTCGACCTTGACGGTGTGAACTAGCAAAGTGTCCCATTTTCATACGCTGACGTGATAATGCGTACGTGACAGCAGGGAACATCACGCAATGATTGATAAAAGCGAAAAGCCTTGATAGTCTCGAAATAATCATCTAACGTTGATCACAATACTGAAGTGTGCAAGTGATTGGCTTGCTGTTCACGATGAGAACGACAGTATTCAGCCTCATTAGTCGCTATATCAGTAAGATTGCAGTAATCAGCAGATAATCGATAGACACTATACATATATGCAATGACATGATGCACCTCTATAATTCCTTAAGTCAATGCTTAGTAACCTGAGGTACGGGAAAACAGTTGGCTGCTGCATATAATCGAGAGCAAGGTTACATTTGACTGGGGCGAGGTCAATTTGAGAATGTTGCTTCATACCCACGCACTAGACTAAATATATGGCACAATCATATTGGCAAGTCGCGGCGGCTTCGTGTATATATCATATTCACTTGCTGAAAAGCATTTTGTATCCTTAGTATACACCATACAAAATTGACACAGCACACATCTCCCCTCTCGTTCTCTAAGAGGTACATAATTTACACAGAGTAATATGTACACGTATTATTATTATTATTATTATTTTTCTGCGTCTTGAAGCAGTGCATCCATGTCTGGCATGCACACAAACTTTTGTACAATATGGCCCAGTTCGATGATCTTTTTCTTATCATCACTCTCTGTATCAACCACCATGACATCTTCCAGAAACGTCGAGCGCATGCCTTGATGAATATCCAATAGCACATCGCCGACCTTGAGTTTCATCTTGCCGCTCTTGTAGACAACCAATGATCCGATCTGACCTTCGGGCATCTCGCTCAAGTCAAGCGATGCCATCGCTTCTTCGAGAGTGGGTATCTTTGCAGCAGGCGGTAAGTTCTTTGCAGCAGCAGCAGCAGCAGCAGCAGTTGCTTTTCCAGCTGATGATGCGCCACCACCTTCGGTCTTGACTTTAGCGTCTTTCATATCCACATCTGCTCCGGCTTCTTTCTTTACTTTTTCCTCTTCATTTTCGCCTCCTTCTTTGTCCTCCTCGGCGTCTTCTTCGTCCTTGGGTTCTTCAAACTTGGGCATAATCGATGGTAGTTGGAAGAATAACAGTTCATCGTCTGCAACGGATACCACTTGACGCTTCTCATTGACACCAAAGACGTTTTGTGCAGGTGCGTCATCGTCCATAAATAATTGTCGTCGAGATAATGTGCTGGTTTCCTCTTCTTCTTCGTCTTCGTCTGCCTTTTCGTCCAAATCCATCTCGTCGTCGGATGTTGGTTCCTTTTTCACTGTGGCGAAATAATATTCATACGGTATATCAGTATACTACGCACGCGCATATCTCACACATCAAGATATACCGTTTAATCCTCCTTTCTCAGATATAACTGCTTACCAGGATCCTTTTTGATAGTAGCACTTGAAGCAGGCTTTTTGGACTTGACATCCAGCCAAGGAATTTTGTTTCGTCTGGTAGACATATCCGATGGATCCAACTCGCCTGCTGTACGTGGAATGTGTTGAAATACGACGGGCACCGTGCCATCGCCACCGTCTGCAAACATATTAACCATGTCTGATCCCTCACTGCTCTCTTCATATCTTGATCCAGATGCGTCACCACCATGCGTAAATCCACCGCCACCACTACCATATTGACGTGCTCGTGATGCTAATTACAAAAAAAAATATTTGGTTGGTTACAATAGGTATTATCGTAGGCTTCCGGTATTGCTGATAAGGGAAAATACTTACACATAGCGGATGGGCCCAGTGAAAAGATACCCGATGCTGTAGCTTGTGCGGCAACATCCACACGACCGCCTCGTCCACCGCCACGACCACCACGGCCTCCTCTACCACCTCGGCCTCGTCCACGGCCTCTATCTCCTTCACCCTTGAGCTTTTCATCAATCGCTGAAGTCGTTCTGTTTAAGAGCAAAAGTGCTATTTAGCATTTCTGGCTTATGCTCTCATGTATGTGTCTCTCTCTTCCTGGCAAAGATACTTTACACTACTTTTTTGTTTCGTTGCGCAGGAATTGTTGGTTTGAATTTCATCTATGTAAGCGTACCGAAGGTCAAAAAGCTATTGTATGCGTAGCGCGCGCCACTGCCATTTCTTGTTATTACTACTTCTCACCTTGCCCGCACTACCACGCGTTCGTTGACCGTCATGAACACTTGGTAACCGTCCTCTTTGTGAATTTTCAGTTCTCATATGACCAATGGGTTTACTGCTTGAACTAGCATCGCTTGTGACAGTTGCTGGGCTGTCAGCTGTAGTGGCACGATCGCTCGATTCGCCGCCATCGCCACCACCGGCAGCAGCAGCAGCAGCAGCAGAGGATCGACCTCCTCGAGCAGCCGGAGCTCTGCCACCACGTCCTCGTACTCGTGGTGCAAATCGTCGTGTTTGTTTTGAAACAGAAGGTGCGGTGGGATTATCGTCAGCCATTCCTGCGATCTAGAGTTGTGGTTTTTTTTTATTGTATGCGGAAGTGGTAAAAAAAAGTTTGACGCCCCCCAAGGGCAAGCAAGGCAAACAAAAATTTCCATAAGCTCAGCTTTCCCGATCAAGTGAATAATTGAGCAAAGAGATTTATTTTGAACGCACAGTTTATGTATTGTAGCAATCTTTTCAAATTTGACTATGGATGCTATGTACAGCTTTAGGTAGTGACGGGTAAGATGTTTGAATAGAAAAACCAGGGAATTGCAAGTTGAAATGGAGGTTAATATGTACAGAATAGCATAAGATGTAGGTTGAGAGAAAAGATAGAAACAGGTTTTGACGCAGTTAGAGATACTTATTGACTCAAATGGTTAGCTGTTTTACGTATGTAGAGCGTAGTAGTTGGCAATGTTGTTGTTGTTGTTGTTGTTGGAGATGGTAGTGTGTGCAAGCGGATATACATGTGGTTGTGCTGATAATTCATATCAATAACTGAATCTTCATGATCGTTACATTCTATTTCACCGACCTTCCACGACGTTTCGAGGTTGCAGATGAGCTACCCGAGGCGGCGACCGTGATGGTAGAAGACGAAGATGGAGGTGATAATGGTGGCGGCGTCAAATAGATGTTTTTCTTGGTCTTTCGTACAGGGTATCGTCGTCGTCCTACCGCTGGTGCTGCTGCTGATGCTGATGCTGCTGCTGCTGGTGCTGGATTACTGCCTTTCCGCGGACGTAATCGACTGGGCCAATCCTCCTTTTTCTGCGTTTGTAAATCATTGTTTTGTTGCGCCATTTGATCCCGAGGTGGTGATGATGTGTGCTTCTTTTCTTTGCGGTTGTCATTTCCATTGTGTCGCACGGCTTTATCTTTGCTAGTAGTTTCAATTTCAGTTGTCGCTGTTGCTGCTACTGCTGCAGTTGTAGGTGGAGGGGATGGCGATGCAGAGTTTTGTTTTCCTGGCTTTTTCTGCTTCTTGACATTGTGCACGGGCGGTGATGTTTTGATGGTGATTGAAATATCAGTATCATTCTTACAGTCTTCACGAATGTAGTTGGCACAATAATCACTGTCGCAAGAAAATCTCTTCTTAGATGACGATGATGAGGTTGATGAAGAGGGAGATGAGGGAGCAAGTTCCGAAGCTGATGATGCGCCAAGCGTCAAAGGGGATGGTGGCATTGCCAGACTCATACCAAAACAATCGCTGCTCCTATCAAACAATGTGCCACTCAAGTCGTCGTTGTCGTCGTACTCGTCTTCATCGTCAAATGTCGTAAACTCATTACCAACATCAAGAAGACTGTCGCCGTCCAGTTGCTCCTGTGCTCGGGCCAGTCGCTATAAAAATTATAAAGGTGTCAGTTGATCGTATGCGGTTTTCGACATTCTGATCTTCTGGAAAACTCACCGATATGAAGGTAACAGAGGGTCTAACGTAAAAAAGATAGAATCATGCGTTAATGCTCGGTATATAATTCTTCCTCAGTCTCACCGCCAAAAGCAACACACACCCCTCCGCCCAACTGCCACTTGCGTCATAATATTGAGAATCAACGAGTATGTGTACGTACCTGCGCAAATTGGCTACCCTAGAATGTGCAAGTTTGAAGAAAAAGGTCAACATTCGTACCTCTAATCGTCGCATTTTAAAAGAGAAGCTCTTGATAAATTAAAAAAGACAATACTTTCTTACTTTCTATATCTATCGGCAGATGGCGGCGGCGGTGGTGATTCTGGAATGGGCCAGGGATCGTCATAGTAGTACTCGTCTTTTCCCTCGTGCTCAACGTGTTGTTGATGTTCGTGTTTGGTCATTTCAACTCTTTTTTTTTAAGAAAGAAAGCGATGCATGCAAATTAAAAAAAAAACGCGTGGGTAAATTAAGAGAGAATTCGGTTTGGGCGCGTATGCCCTTTGAGAAGATGAAAAGAAAAGGTTTGATTTTCCCTGTGTGGAATTGGGCTCAAGTGAAAAAGTGGAAAAAGAGGAAAGAGAAAGAGAGAACCGAGTCTTGAACTTGAGCATAGAATTTCATTTCCCCACCCCCTCACCCACTCACCTTTTTTTCCTTATTCGTTTCCCCGCCTTGCCCCCCAGGGACCATGTGCTTCATTGTTCTATGCTGATATTAAAGATTAGAGTGGCATAAATCGTATGCACTGAGTTTTCAAGTACTTCAACTTTTACTGTCAGGTTGTACGAAAAATGTATTCGCCCTGAAGGAGAATCAATTCTTGTTTGAAAACGGGAATCGATCTGTCGTCGACGAGTATGGCAGACCTGAACCAATGGATTATATTGTTGATGAGGAACAGTGTCGTCTTGAAACATTGAGCTCTCATACACAATATTTAGCTCAACTGCCTCTAGAGAGCGAGAAAAGGAGGCAAAGCCTAATGGCGATGCCATTATGAGGTAAACTTCATGGAAGCGAAATTATACACGCTATTCTGATCAGGACAAAGTGAGGTTCTTCAAGCTGTTGCTTGAGAGGTGTTTTGAGTGCGGCCGCTGCTGCAAAACAACTTGGGATTCATGTTCGAACAGCACAAAAATGGGCTGCGCAATACGAGAAAGATCCTGACAGTATCTCTGAGAAACGGAGAAAGACTGGCCGTTCACGTATTCTCCATGACGAACACAAAAACGCTATTCTCGAGCGCATTGATGAGAATCCTTCCATCATCCTAGACAAAGTAATGAAGAAGTTGAAGCAAATGTTTACCGAATTAAAAAGTATCTTAAACTACATTGTTCGATTTTGTAGAACAACATTGCAATTTATCTTTCAAAAAAGCCCGGCTTCAACCCATTGACCGGAATAGCAAAGAAAACATTCAAGAGCGCTTGGATTGGGTTCATGAATGGGGAAAAACAGACTTGGATTCTACGAGAAACCGTGTCTTTCTTGACGAATCTGCTTTCCATATTAATTTGAAACGTAGTATGGCTTGGTCAAAGAAAGGTGCACCGGCAGTGGTCACAGTTCCCAAAACACGAGCGACAACAACAACCATATTGGGCGCCAATACTGCTGAAGGTCTAATCAAATGCAGCCTTAGACTTCCTTAGCCTTCATCTAATAAAAAGAGAAAGCGGGGAGATGGTGTTGGGCAAATGAGCGAAGGAACGGTTACGGGACACTATATCAGCTTTCTAAAAGCTACAATGGATGAAATGGACCGGTTTCCGCACATGAAAGGTCACTTCCTCGTGATGGATAATGCGCTTATTTGCCTTTATAATCTCCTGAGCTCAATCCATTCTGGTCAGTGGTCAAAAAAGCAAAGTGAAGCCCAATAAATTTTTCGAGAAGGGAAACTTTGATGACCCGGATCAACAAAGCTTCCAATAGCTTGAAACTAAGTGATTTTAAAGGGATTGTTAGACATTCTCATAAATGCTTCGACAAATGTCGTAATGGGCAAGCGCTTTGAAGAAGTGTTTATTTTACAGACAAAGGCGTTCGTGAACAACAACAACAAACTAAATTGTGACCCTTCCCACAGCAAATGTGACCCCTTCTCAAGGGTCCTTTCCCCACTTTTATCTCCATGACAGCAACGGAATACAACTGTGATTCTTGCGAAAAAAAAATTGCTAATGACGATAGCCTGAAAACTCATAAACGGGATTTCCACATTAACAAAGTATTCGTGGGGCAAAGTAAGGCATATGTTTTGCATGTTTTGCTTGCAACTTGCCTTTTTTTTTTTTTTTGATAGATTAGTATTCCGCATTTGTCATGCGCACCGTCTCTCGAACAGTTTGAAAGACCCTGCGCACGACAGAAATGTGATGATATATAGCGAGTAACTTGCATGTTAACATACCGTGTATCCAAATGGCAAGCAAACAACTTTGTGCCAACATAAGTACTATAATATAGTGAAGCACAAGCGAGACGATTTCTTAGTCAGCACAAAAAGACGTAGCTAAGACTACAGAAAAGTGGGTAGACGGTGCAACAAGTGTTTTCACCATTTTAATATCAATGACGATGGTATTGGCTGCAAAGATATATCCTGGCTGTCATGTGATTCTATTCAATTGAAATCTTTGACGGTCAGTGTGATATTCGACGTATATATAATGGAATGATGATAATAATGTGTCAGCCAAATAATTGGATATTTGGAGGGCGAAAAACAAAACATGTAGTAAGAAACAAGGGATCAGGTAAATAGGTGTTTAAATGATTATAAAGAACAATTACATCCGGAGACAAGGCAAGAGCTTAAATATGAGACCAGAAGAACATAAATCGTCGAGTACGTTGAGGTAAATGACATTTGACACAAAAAAGTGCAGAGCTGCTTAAAGGATTATGGTTCGTGTTGCTTTTTATACTCATTCATCACTGCTTTCGCTTTCATCCGAATCCATGGTGGGGTTGACGGCACTACCGAATTTAGCACTCTTTTTCATAAATTCCAATGCTTCGTCGTAAGAAACATTCTTATCTTCTTGGTTAAGTCGTGCGGCCGTCTCCCGAACAAGAATTTGCTGGACAAACTGAAGTGGTGGCATCGGGGCTGTATTTGCTGCTGTCAGGTGGTTCGACTTTGAATAGTTCTTTCGTCAAACAATCCATGATGATTTGCATTCCACGGGGCCCATAATAACCAGGCTGTTTTAAACAATCATTTAATAATTTATTTTTCTGAGTGATAACTTTTGTATTTACCAAAGATTTTTCAGCCCTTGCCATTCGTGCGAATACGGATCGTGCAACTCTTCGGCTATGTTGGCTGTAAAATTCGGTTTCCATCGATTTGGATCTGTTTTTGGTTATACCGACTATGATATCTTGCATTAACCGGTACATGATTCATGACACGCAAAGGCAAGGTCGCAAAATCGATATGAGCTGAGTAACCTTGGGCGATTCCTTCTGGTCTGATCAACATTTCTTTCCTATGAACGCTGCAGAAGTTGTATTGCTCAAAAAAGCGAACTGGTTTGGGTTTCAAGCTGTGCTTCATCGAAGCGGCGGCGACGAGACGTTGAGAGTCCTTTTATGCGGCGTTCTTCTTGTTTCTTATGCTTCTCTTCTTTTTGGGTATATTCATCGTACTGCTCCTGTACAGCAGGAGGTAGCGGTGAAGGCAGACGCGTCAGACAATGGGGACATACTATTGCACCGTGATCTAGATAGTATAACAAATGTGTCCAGAATTACTAGAATACAAAGATACAAAGCGGCATGTTATAGGTACCATGATGATCGCCTCCGATATCACTATCGCAGTCAGACTCATCCAAAATCAGAATGGGCGACGCTTGTCTTCTTTTTTCGAGGCTACTTGCTGTTGAATCCTGATCCACTGCTTTCTTGATATGCAGGTACCTCCAAAACGTTTTTTGATCGTGACCTGGGTTGATCTCGTTCCATAGCTGCTTATGTCGCTGTGATATCGGGGACCATTGCATTTTAACAGATGATCGCAGCAAGACCGGCTCCCAATGGTTCCCATTCACGAAATGCATAAACGACGAACGGCAAGAGACTATATCGTTTGCCCGAAGGTACAGAGTGTGGCAATGTCAGCGACGGCGGATGATTTTTCGTCCATGGACCAGACGTATAGCAAGCAATTGGCCGCTCCAACGCATTGGCTGCCACCTGCATATTCACGCTTCCGTCAAACCAATATTCCCTGGGACAGTCGGCCTCAGGATCACCAAAGGCGACACCATAAGACATCTTTTTTGACCAGTTTTTCATATTCCGAAGTTGAGGACTTTGTCCCTCCATGTGCCGACTTACCGTTTTTTCTTATATCTGGTGACTACTTGAATTTTCAAGTCTTGCAGCGGCATGACGATCAGCGTCATTGTACCACCCACCCCACCTTTTGGTATGAAGCAGCGAGCGGTTACGGTTACGGTTACGGTTAAGTTTTCCAGCCAGTATTAGGTTTAAAGCCTGCTCATAAACCTTCAGATTCAGATGACATCAAAGGTGCCGGCACCGATCAAAGACATCCTCTTTAACGCAGTTGCTATAAGCACAAACCACACGCACCTGAGGATTAATTGCTCTTGAGAAAGTCTAAATGTTAGTTTACGGGAGGATGATACAGTCCACACCATTTACACGGTGATGACGCTAGTAAACAAAATCCACGTTGTACCTATCTTGCCTCTTTATCTCCTTGTGGGTTCCTAGACAAAATTTGGAAACATACGGAAACAATTATATACGAATTTCCAAATCATCATCTTATGACTTATTTCCTTCGAATGAACGAATAGATGCTTAGACGTCGTATGGAGTATATTCACAAATTTGTATCAGAAACCATAATGAATGGAGTAGAGAGAAGAACCAAAGATTAGGACGAGGTTGAGATCAATAAAAGCTTATATATTATGTGAGCTATTCTTCATGAACAGAATTTGTGATGGGTGGAGGTCTGAAGAACACTTGTTCCTTTGCTCTGTTTTCTTGAGCATATCTTACTCATTTTCCCCCAAACTGCTCCGCACTGTAGGCCACATGAACTAGACACCCAGTCATCAAAGCAGACTAATAATCATTCATCAACACAATCAGCTCGCCAAAAGCTTTACTTATACTAGTTACCATTATGAGACCGCAAAAAAAAACAAGCTAGAGAAGCCATCTTGTACGACTTGAAATGTTGTTGCTATAATGCCCTGCGCGCTGTCAATGAAGGATACAAAACTATCATGCAGACGGAAATTAAGTGGTTGAGGCACATATACATGACCTCAGTTCGCAAAGCCTGGAAAGTGAAAGCTTTATAGACTATCGCATACAGAGAAGGCCAAGGCGGACGATGATCGAAAGGCCGTGAGGTTATGTATCATCAGTGGATGAACTTTTGATCTCGATGAGAATCTGCATTTCCGTAGTACATGGGGCATAGTACTCTTACGTGTCTACTGTTAAGAAGATAAAAGATTTCCACGTTATCTCAACGGGGTCGTGATGTATCTAATTATGCTCAACTTGTTGACCACGGACGGCGGGGCGTTGGCGTTTCGAGCACACATCAATACAGAGTAGCCAACAGCAATCTGGGCAGCTGCTACAAAAACTGGCGATGATAGGCTCGCCACTCTCCAGACACTGCCAACGATTTTTGAGTTGATTATATTGACAGTGACAGAAACTTAATGAGGACGAACAATCCAAAAGAGAAGCAGTAACTAGACATCACAGCGAGCCATCATTGCAGTGAACAAATCCAAGGAAACCGAATACAACATCCACGTTAGAGAAATGTACAAATTTTATTTTATTTTTTGAATGCAATATATTTACACTGATTTCTTTCTCCTGTCAGTGCATCATTCAACCGAAACGTATAAAAGGTTCGTTTACAGGTTTTAAAACAATATTAAGATAATAAAGAAAGGGATAGAGAGAGGCGTCCGCACAAACAATGATCATCAAGAAATTTTTTTAGGAAACAAATGAAAGATGAGAGAAGATACAATGATATGGTATGCGGATGCGACTTTTAGATCAAAAGCTTTTCGATCTGGTTCTTGATCGACTGGATTTGGGGCTTCAAATCAGAACCCTCGTTAGTAGTGACAGAGGTGGCAATGACGGAGCGCGAGACACCACAGGCACGGCCCAAGGCAGTCTTGGAAGGCACAAAGACGTAAGGAACGTTCTTGTCTTCGCAGAGCAAGGGAAGGTGCAACAAGATCTCGAGAGGCTCGGTGTCAGCTAAAAGTCGTCAAAAAGCATAGAATAGTTAGTTTCTATACTCTTTCTCCCTTCTTCCCTCCTTTCAACTCATATAACACCCAAAAACCAAGAAGGAACGCAGGGTAAGAGCAAAAAAAGAAGAAGCCTTCAGTAAGACTAATCGTTTTCCAAGTCCATGTTTGCTGTTTGTCACCGGAGTAAGGCAATTTCTCATCATTTGCTGCTTCTTAATTTCCTTTACCCTTCCATTCCCTCCTTCGTTTGGCTTTTTTTCTTTTTCTCTCTGAGAAAACCCAGACAAGTAAACTTACCAGCCATGACAATGAATTCGGAAATGCCTCGGTTAAGAGTCTTGGTGGCTTCGTTAGCACCCTTCTTGAGCTGCTTGTAGTGCGAGGCTTGTTGGATAAGATCCAAAATGGTGTTGGTCAAGGTAGCGTCAGCGAGAGGGAAAGCCTTGGGGTTGACAGACTACACACACAATATGCGGATTATTAATTTCAGTTAAACATTAACAGTTTGTATATATAAAGATTCTTACCATGATGATTTATAGAGTGGAGGGTAGGAAGAAGCAAGAAATTGCTACGCGACCTTTCCCGTCATAAATTTTTTTAGACTGGCGAAGCCACCCTTTTGACAGCCAAACTCCGATGAACACATTCAGATGGTTTAGGTGAAAACGGGCAAGTGTTCTCACTCCGTCGTTCTTCAGCCCTAACTGATCCATCTCTACTTTCAGAAAGTGAGAACCGAAACCATTAAATGCATTGAATGCAATGTTTATTAAAATGTGATGGATGAGTTTGTCACGTGTTGGTATTTTTTGTCTAAGTATCCTTCTCAATAATGCTGTCCTTCTTGTCCGCATACTCAGTCCAACTTCCATCATAGACGGCAACGTTCTTGGCACCAGCTTGTTCCAATGCAACATATAGCGTTGAAGCCGTAATACCGCTACCTAGTGGATATCATAGAAAAGAATAACAATCAACACACATTATATCATCACCAAGCAGCATGTATGTTACCATTTGTTGCCCTATCAATGCACTGCTATCACTACATACCACAGCTCGTTACAATTTCTTTGCTGAGGTCGACACCACGAGATTCAAAAACTTCGCGCAGCTTCTCAGAGTCCAACAACTGGCCATCCTCAATGACAACATTGAAAGGCACGCTAATAGATCCGGGCATATGGCCGGAACTCAGTCCAGGTCGTGGTTCCGGGGCCTCGCCTGTGAAACGTGGGTTCGGGCGTGCATCCAACACTTGTGCTGGCTTTCCACCACGACGAGCATTTTCAAGTACCTGAGCATAGTCGCGAACGAGCTGCTTGTTCAGAGTGGGCACAGCATATTTGGCAGGCGTCACCTTGGTTTCACCGGATTCCGTGGGACGGCCTTCCTTGAGCCATTTTGGCAATCCACCATTAAGGATGGATACGTTTTGATGTCCAAAGGCCTATTGAAGGAAAAGAATGAGCCTGCTGGACGGCGAAGCAGGTTATACATGATTTAATATAATTACCTTGAATGTCCAATAGACCCGCGTGGCGGAAAAGATACCTACGGAATCATAGACAACAACTTGATCTTTCTCGCTGATACCGAGCTGGCCTTTTTTTATCGTTTATTAGCACGCCTTATATTTTTTTTTTGCGCTGTGCGCAACATAAAGCCAAGCATAGAACTTACCAACTGCTTCGGCAAATACTTCGGGCGTAGGAAGCATATGTGGCAAGTTTACAGTTGTGTCTTTGATTTCATCAATCCCAAAGAAACGCGCGCCGGGAATGTGTTGCTTGACAAAGTCTTGGTGGGGATCGCGGTTAGCGTTGGGCATGTGCCATGAACCGTCGAGCACTTTGATTTGGTCCAATGATGAGGCCAATTCGTCTGTTGATACAAGACTTCCGAAGTTACGCTTAGCAGCAGTAGCGGCAGCCATTCCTTAATAATATCAACGAAAAAAGAGTGGGGTTAAAATGAAAGCCGACAACAATATTAGTTACTTGATTATTCTCCTGCTCTATTTCTCGAGATATATACCATACTGTACTGTTATGCTATCTACCTTGTGCAAAAAAACGCTTGCCAGCAAGACCACGAACGGAATGCTGAAGAAACATGATCGAGCTGTTGGTTGTTGTACAGGAGTAAGACGCGCCCTTTCCGTTTTCTCTCTTTCTCTCTTTCTATCGGGGTAAATCATACAGTTCCACAACAGATTGAATTATGCTAAATAAATAATGTGAGTCATGGCGTAACTGCGACGCTGTATGGCTTGAATTACTTTTTCAAAAGTCCTTTACCATCTCATTTTGACAAATAAAGCATAGCAGTAAAGTAAAAGAGGGTCTGTGCCAATAGAGGCGGACTTGAAGCTACAGAAGAAAGCCGGTCAATCGTATCCAAAGTTGGATGACATCGAACCTACACCATAGAGAATTTGAACCCTTTGTCTGTGAAGCTAGACGTCTGCAGTTTCTGCAAAGCTTTGATGATAAAAGGCTCCCCGCTGATATATGTCTTCTCGCTAACTGCAAAGTGAGTATTGTTGCATAGACAAACTGCTTCATTTTAAGTATAAAAAGACACACATTATCAATAAGTCGCAAGTCCAAGCCCTCAATACAGTAGAGCAATGCTGTGCCCATGCAAGCCAGCTTTCGCACATAACCAACTATATGTGTGGCATTATCCCGCGTCCGCACTCCTAAATTACCCACACAATTCTTCTCCTTTCTCTAGACCCACCACCATCACAGCCTTCATATTCCACCTTAAACATTGTCCATAGAGAAGCATTAACAACCGTTACAAATAACTAGATATGAATCGCTGATTTAGACCACCTCCAAAACTTCGATCGAGTCACTTTCGGTAGGGCTAGCATAGGTTTTAGCCTGTTAATGTTAGAGTGTTTTGGGAGCTTCGGATTGACAGCTCGCTTGGTGTTCTCCTTAAACCCCTGCCTACCCCACCCAGGTCGCGGACGCATTTGATGCTGTATGATATACGTGAAACCAAAAATTGACTCACATAAAACAAATTGTGGGTGATATTAGCGTAGATGTTTCCATTTTCTGCTGTTGTTGTCGTTCATGTCTACAATCGTTGTGCTATGCTAAAAATTGATGAGAATTTCTTCACGTTTAGATTGGTAGCCCACATGGTTCTTAAAACGGTTGAAGAGACTATATGGGCGACAAAAGCAATGATTTTTTTAACCAGCCTGTTTTCCCATATTGATTAGAGAATCAACGATCGCTTCATGGACACTTACAGTGTTCTACAGCTTCGTTTGTCCGAAAATGTATCACTCTACGAGGACGTGGAATTTTATAGTATTCGTATAAAAACCGCTAATGTTTCGTCGATAAAGTTTTATTGAGAGCAGTTTGATTTACTAAGAGCTGGATAGTTCTAGTGATTCTTCCCGCAATTTTCCCCAAAATCACCTACATACAGTATCCTTATTCAACGAGACTAGTTATCATTCAACCTGATAAAAGGCCTACAACTTGTATACCCTCGCAATGTCTTCAAAATTAAATTTCATCAAAAGATAGACTGAATTCTTGTCCTTGAGCCGCTGAGGATTTGGGTGCTTCATCACACCTATCACCCGTGCACCCATCCTCCGATACCAGGCTATCATTTCTGCCCTTGCCTCGAATACGATGAAAACAGTAGAATTGTAGCCCAAGCTCTTGGCATAGATAAGTGAGACTTGATGTAATAACCGTCCAGCGAGACCTTAAGACTGGTATTTTAGTTGCACTGCGATAAGGTCCGTGTAGCATTCATTGCTTACACCGCTATCATCTTCCTCTGGTGCCTCGATCCTTCCTGCAGGTGGAAGTTTTGCTTCAATAATTAAGTGAGTGGCGACGAGAGACTCCTCATTTTCTTGTTTATCCTGAGCCCAGCGCTTTTCAAAAGCACAAATAAACATAGTACGTTTGTTTCCAGCTGCAGTTTCGCGGATTAGCTCTTCGATCTCTTCGTACGTAACTCTGGCACCTTTAAGAAAGCTTTTGACTGATGTCCAACTGGCTATGAAAGATAAAAATAAGCGGTTGGTAACTGTTTCCGCATAATGACAGTATGTAACATGATAACATTGTATCTTTATTACACAACAATGACAATGGTGGGACCACAAGAACATACCGTTTGTCATAAAAGCCGTATTAATTAGGTCCACGATTTCCTGAGTACGCTTTAAATCATTCAGGGTAACTGGACGCGCGTAAACCTTGTTGATCAAAGCTATAACAGGGTATTCTTTTTTATCCACCGCTGCTGTTTGTTGCTCAGTACCGGTAATCATGCTGCCTAACTCAGAACTCTTCCGTTATAATAATGAGGAAGAGCCATATATATAGTTTTTACGTTTATATGCAGCAATCCAATCCATACACTGTAGGAAAATACATGAAAAAACCTGGAAACGCGGCAAATTAAGGTATATTAAGGTATTTTTAAACCTAAAAAACCTGGAAAATCCCTGATATACCTTAAAACCTGGTTTCTCTGATTCATCTTATTGGTCGGCCTAAGCGTGGATGCGTTTAACTGTGTTTATGCTTGGTACATACATCGTGTCTTATTGGTCGTTGTACTGTACGTATAGCTGTATCCGTTTGGGAGCATCATTGGATATTTCATCAGCTATTCACATATCTCCATTGATCTCTTTCATATTATATACATATGCAAATAACTGATTTTGATTGGATGACAATATGTTTATTATTGGAATATTGCTTTCGGTATAAAATCTGTGACAAATTATATTTTTATTGTGTAGTATACAAGCAAATAAGTGCTCAACTCTATTTAGTTGCGACCACGACCGCGACCGCGTTCAAGGTGCGGACAGGAACAAGACAAGACAAGGACAGAAAGACCGGACATCAATAATGTGTTAGGTGCTTTTCAGCAAGAACAGGACTAGACACACGGTTCGCCATCTCAATAAATTGTAGACACCCGGTTCGCCATCTCAATAAATTGTAGACACACGGTTCGCCAAGTCACTAAATTGTAGACACACGGTTCGCCATCTCAATAAATTGTAGACACACGGTTCGCCATCTCAATAAATTGTAGACACACGGTTCGCCATCTCAATAAATTGTAGACACACGGTTCGCCAAGTCACTAAATTGTAGACACACGGTTCGCCATCTCAATAAATTGTAGACACACGGTTCGCCAAGTCACTAAATTGTAGACACACGGTTCGCCATCTCAAAAAATTGTAGACACCCGGTTCGCCATCTCAATAAATTGTAGACACACGGTTCGCCAAGTCACTAAATTGTAGACACCCGGTTCGCCAAGTCACTAAATTGTAGACACACGGTTCGCCAAGTCACTAAATTGTAGACACACGGTTCGCCATCTCACTAAATTGTAGACACACGGTTCGCCATCTCAATAAATTGTAGACACCCGGTTCGCCATCTCAATAAATTGTAGACACCCGGTTCGCCATCTCAATAAATTGTAGACACACGGTTCGCCATCTCAATAAATTGTAGACACACGGTTCGCCAAGTCACTAAATTGTAGACACACGGTTCGCCATCTCAATAAATTGTAGACACACGGTTCGCCAAGTCACTAAATTGTAGACACACGGTTCGCCATCTCAAAAAATTGTAGACACCCGGTTCGCCATCTCAATAAATTGTAGACACACGGTTCGCCAAGTCACTAAATTGTAGACACACGGTTCGCCAAGTCACTAAATTGTAGACACACGGTTCGCCAAGTCACTAAATTGTAGACACACGGTTCGCCATCTCACTAAATTGTAGACACACGGTTCGCCATCTCAATAAATTGTAGACACACGGTTCGCCAAGTCACCAAGACAAGAAGGAAACCTGAAGGTATGCATAAAACCCAGGTAATCCAGTGACTTCACAAATTAGCGTGATACAAATGAATGATGGCGTTCTATCGCGAGACATTGCTACGTAGAACAAAGTATGTGTAAAGGGAGGCTCTATTATGCTCCAACGCATTGCTTTACGTCTGGAGGTCGCGCTTGGGTTTTAACCCAACTTACTTATTTCATACCAGCGAGACATCCGATAGAGTACATATGTAGCGACCTCCATATACTAATTGCGCAACATAAGTATAATAAGTGAGCACAAGACAACAACAACCCCAAGAAAACACCTCCAGCAGTTTCGCATCTTCTTAAAATTATGTAATCTAGTTTATATTTATAGTACTGCGGTTCTTATGCAAAGGTAAATGTATTTACGTGTGTGTGTGTGTGTGTGGGTGGGAAGGGATAGGAATAGAGATATGCGTAATAAAAGGTGCATTGGGTTATGTGTTTGTTTCTACTATTATGATGGTTTGGATAAATTACTACTACTAGTACTCTTGCTACTATTACTGTTATTGTTATAATTATTACTATTACTATTACAGCAAAACCTTCGTAACGTTTCAGCAAGCACTTTGTGATTCATTGGTTTCGTAAGGTATCTACATTTTAAGTAGTTAGTATAGCCAATAATAGAAACAATGTTTAATATGAAAATAAGTGCATACTCATTCATGGCTGCGTTCAAGCATATTTTGCGGGCGCTATCTTGGACATCCGCCGTTAATGCTACAATGGGAAGTTGTATTAACCTTGCTTCCTGCGCTTCAATTTTTCGTATTTTCTTTGTTGCTTCGACACCATCACACTAACATCAAATGCGTACGATTGAAAGAAAAATTGTTAGCGGGCATAATCTCAATACATGTTTCAAAGATTTAAAAGAGAACGTTATGAACCTGTGGCATATGGTGATCAAAAAACGAGATGATATAGTAACCAGGTGGGTGCTGCATCCATTTTTCTACTGCCTCTAATCCATTATTGGCGCAATCGACATGGAAGCCGAGCCTAGTGAGCTGCTTAAATACTAACTTTTGAGCGACCGGGTTGTCTAATAACACATGGTTAGTCCCTGTATAAGCTCAAATTCATTCAAAATCTTCCATCATGACTATACCTTCTGCAACAAGAACGCGCATTGTACTAAACAACTTCCGTTCTTCCGGAGTAATTGCGTCGCCGGAAAGCTTTGCTCCGTCTCTTGATGATGGCGATGCACGAAGCGTAGGTCGAGGTGTTGGTGGCGCCTCCTCTGTTTGTCGTAGCATATCAATCATCGTCAACAATAACTTTTGCCGGCGTAGAGGAACAGCCATTCGTACGACAGCACGTTTCTGCTGTGGTGATGGTTCTAGTCGCTGTTGTCGTTGTGCCTTGCTTTTAGCAGTCGTCGTGTCCAACAAAGTAGGACGCCCATCCTCTTCTCCCAAAGTCAAGTGATTCTGACCCAAGAATTCACAAACACCGCTACTGGGATAATGCATAATGATGATACACCGCGTTCGATCCAAAAAGTAGCGAATATTGTCGGCCCATGCAGAATAATCGGGATCGTGCGTAAGAAAAAGACCAATAATAAGCGCCTGGTACGTTGTATCTTTGTGCGACGCTAGTTCGGTTGCTGAACATACACCGTCGACAGTTATGCCAGGAAGCAATTGACGAACCATCTTGACAGTGGAAGCATGCTTTGCAGAAATCAAAACGCGACAATCTTTTAATTCGTTGAGCAATGTTGCAATGGTATTGTTGCGCTCCAGGGTTTGGTCTTGTACTTTGTTGACTTGTATGGTAAAGTAGAAGTTTGATCCCTTGCTCGGTTGGCTAGACACGTCGATTGTTCCAGTCATGAGCTCCACTAACTGTAAGCATATAGATAAACCTAGACCAGTGCCTCCATATTTGCGACTGGACAAAGAAAAGGAATTCAAGGCTGTTTATTAGCACAAGTCCGGATGATCCGTCAAGCAGTCGAATTTCTACTTACGTTGTACTTCCATCCACCTGGGAGAAAGGTGCAAACAAAACTTTTCGCTGCTCTTCGCTGATGCCGATACCTGTATCGACAACTTCGAATAGCAGCGCAACCTTGTCATCACCAGCCTTTTTGCTGGCGCGTTTGTTGATTGTACATCGTATTTCAATTTCTCCTTCATGCGTAAACTACAAGTAGCATTAGAACTTTTAGTATTCCACAAGAAAGCATATCAGGTACATATATCCGGCTTTTTTTTTGTTTGCTTACCTTAATAGCGTTACCGAGTAAGTTGATCAAAATCCTTATAATAAGAGAAAATAAAACATTATTGATCGATTGTTATAATGAAAAAGCAACATAAACGACCAAAAATTTGCTTACTGCCTTAACCGGTTTGCATCTGCCATGACAACCGAGGGGACATCCTTGGTAACGTTGTAAGTGACATTGACTTTCTTTTGTATCGCCATGGCAATAAGCATTTCTATGACATCCGTAATCGTCTGCTCCACAACCACTGGGGACAAATCGAGTGATACTTTGCCAGCTTGCAGTTTCGAGAAGTTGAGCAAGTCGTCGATTATCTGCAGTAGAATCTCGCATGATTCCTTGGCTGTTTTTACCAAATCACGTTGCTCAGGGTCCAAACTATCAACACATTATTTGCGGTTACGCGATATTACATTTAGTTCGAGGTTTCAAAAATGTAGCATAAATTCTCTCACGCTTCCTATGCATGTACTTACTTAGTTTCAGCGAGCAATGATATCATGCCGTAAAAGCCAGAGAAAGGCGTACGGATTTCGTGACTCATGTTGGCCAAAAAGATTTCTCGCAGACGCGTTGCCCTCACTGCCGCTTCTTTACTCTTTCGAGCATCTTCCAACGCTTGTTTTTGCATTTCAATCATCCTATCATGCGCGCATATCTGATTAGCAGTCATATATATATATATATATAAGAACGCGTATCGTTCAATGTATAGTTACCTCATGTTTGCCATCGTAGCACGCTGCACAGATTTGAACAAAAAGGCATTTGTGATTGAGATACCCATTTGTTGACATAACAGACTGAGGACCGTAACATGTCTCTGAGTAAAGACGCCGACAGAGCCTTCAATAAACAAGCAACCCGCCAATGCGCCCTTGTGGATAATGGGCATACAGATGACAGACTTGGAACCTGTGCGTTCGAACCAAGGCCCCACTGCAAAACGAGTATCTTCCTCAATGTTGTGGATGAAAATACTCTCGCCGGTATGGATCGTGTGATTAATGATACGGCTCGATACAAGTTCGTCGTCTTCGAACAGTCGTCTAGGTGGATCGTACGTGATTGTTTCGGCGTTTTGACTGCCATAAGCACAAACACCGAATTTTTCTTCTTTAACAATAAGTGCTCCACGTTCGGCGCCTATGTATAAAATGTTATTAAGGAGAAGATATTCGTGTAAGATATCAAGACAGGCAACCGTTCCTGCATTAGTCTGACTTACCTGAATTCTCTAGAATGATGCCCATCATAGAAGACAGCAAAGAATCGAACTTTACTTCGGACGACATTACTTGTGAAGATTTCAAAATCGATGCCATATCCAACTAATATTAATAGTGCAAGTAAAAATGAGTACATCCCGATCCATAAATGCTACTAAATATAGCGTAGCAGTAGTACTAGTAGTATACTTACGATATCAAGCGTAAGCAGTGTTGATTCTGTAGTGACCGGAGGTATAGACTCGGAAACATAAGGCTCGTTTACAGCAGCAGCTGCTGCAACGCTTGGGCCATAGGATGATGTGCTCCAGGAAGCTTGTGGGCCCAGGAATGGGAAAGGATCTGTTTGGACGGCAGAATCATGGTATTCGGTCCTGTTATCGTTATATTTTTCCAACAGATCCACATAGTTGCTACTGAGCTGTCGTGCTTTTCCATAAGAGCCATGATCCATGTACAAGTTGACGGCCTATGACAGGACAAAATATGAATAAAAAACTTTTGTTTTCGAAAATCAAAGCGTTATAAACACTCAATCCTTCACCTTTTTTATAAAGTTATAGGCGATATTGCGCATACCAATACGCTCGTAAAATGCTCCAGCGTATTCATTGATGACACACAGTTCCAAGAACCAAGCGCCTTCCCTTGCTATATCCAACGCCTCTTCATAGAGCCGACTTGCCTTTGCGATATCTGCTGCATTGCCCAGCGACACTCGCTCCGCTTCTACGAGTAGCCAGTACATCATGTAGTTCACAGGAGTGTTGATCGCCCATTCATGAAGAAGTTCTTGATTCGTTTTCACTCGTTCGCGTAATTTTGCTCGGTCTTCGTCACTGATATTCTGACGCATTTTGCTTATCAGTGCCAGTGAAAAGTAAAACAACATCAAGCGAGTATGCTATAATAACCAGTTTACCCCATTAATACTTTCATAGTAATAAAACGTTCTACTACCTCTTTTAAGTTTCTGTTACTAAGTATACCTTGTGGCATGGATGTAAATACATAGTGTCCACACATCTGTAGCCGGTTTCGATGGCAACATCCGTATGTCCATAAAGCACCAACGGAATCAGCTTATACGACTCATACCAATTCATCGAAATGTCCCTATTCGAGCTATCGCGACAACTTTCAATGATAAAATGCTGACTATTAAATCCGTCGTCACCATCAAACACCTCGGGAGTATTATAGAATGTCTGGCCTTGCAACGCCTTGATGGTCCGGATGACCGACATGGACAAAAAATTGGTTTGCGACGACGGCGACCAGACATTACAATCCTCGAAACAACTCTCTGCTTCCCGCACCGCATCTGCGAGATTATATCCAAGCGTAAACATCGATGCACCGACATGCACTTGTGAAAAGCTGGCATAGATCCTGTCGCCGCTGGCTAAAGAGATGGGTCCTGCTGTTCGATACCAGTTGAGTGCTTCTCTATGATGGTGGTTCCAGCCCACCAAGAATAAGGCGTACAGAAAGTAGCTTCGTCCTTTTTCAAAATTGCTGCCATACTTGTCGGATATAGCAACGCCTGCAGCTCCCAGTTCCTGGAAACGGCCATGGTTAGTTCTACCACATTTTTTAATATCAAAGTAAGATTGATCTTTTTTTACCTCGCCATATGAAAAAAGCTTGAATCGCATCACTGCAGCAGTACCCATGAACTGAAAAGCGACACCCGACACTGATGTCATTCCTCGGTCCAGCGACAAATTGATTATGCGACAGCCCCAGTAATACATTTCTCGCTGTTGACCAATCCAATATGCAGCAGTACAACTACGATAACTTCTTAGATCGTATCGACCAAGCAAGAAACCCCCTTTAAAAAACGTAAACTTACAGTTCTTCCAAAGCGTGTGAAGCAGCTTTAAACGTCGGATCCTCGCATGCCTTGACGTCTCTTAACACATTACAAAGACCGATTTTATCCAGCTTTGCCTTGGCCTCGAAAAACTCGCGTTGTAACTCTTCATCCGTTGTGTTGAATTCAAAGTCGCGACCCCAAAACTCTGCCAAACACTTGTGTAACGATTGCTGACATTTGTCGTACCTTTGACGCGACATATAGTACTTGGCTTCAATCCGGTATGCATTGCTCCGGTCGATAGGGTCCCGTACATGGGTCAACAAGTCTTTCAGCAACGACTCTGTCATTTCGTACTCGCCAACAACCCAACTGAGTGCGGCCATGTTTGTGTACAAGTTCACTGTTGTGGCATACTCTTCCTCGGTCCATGCGCTATCGGGATCACCAAATTCAATGGCTGCCTTGTAGTATGCAAAGGACATTCGATGCGCACCCGAATTTCTTCCCTTGTTACCGGCTTGTATCATGAGTCGACGATATGCCACTCGCTCATCTACTGACAATGCCAGGATAAGCTCAGGACATTTTAAAAGGTGGTCGGCAACCAAGAAAGTGTCCATGTTTTTCTCTAAAAAAATCAAATATATTTGTCATTGTTGTTTTCGTTCGGATCATCATTTTCTGTGCGCTCATTCTCATTAAGAAGTTTACCTTTCATCAAAAACCGAGCAATTTTAAAATGGATTTTGGACCGTGTTTTCGGATTCGCAAGCTCCATCGCTGCTTGTGATATTCGGTCGTGGCTCCACTTGAATTCGTCACTTTGTATAGGCATAATGTATCCTTCTTGCAAGACTGCCTGCAGTCCATGGATAGGATCACGTGCGGTTGAGGAAGAAGCGCTGCTTGCGGGCGAGCTCCGTTTGCTACGTCGAGGACTACTACTGCGTGGCCGTAGCGCTGGAGATTGGTTCCCACTACTATCAACATCTAAAGAATCGTCTTGGATCGTGTGTGTAAACTGAATAAGCGGATGTAAAGATTCGGCAACTACTTGCTGCTGCTGCCCCTGCTCCTGTTGTTGTGCTTCGCTAGGATCTGTTGTGGTTGTGGTAATGCTACTGTTATCGCCTTTTTTATCTTTCGACGATGATGCATTGGTCGATTCTATTACAGGCGTTGTATCGCCCTTTGCGGTATCTTCCGATTCTTCCGAAAACATACTGCCGGTATCACTCGTACTGTCCTCTGGATCCGATGCCAGCATCAAGCTTTTCACCGTGCTCCATGAAAACGTATCGCCCACAAATGAAGCCCATTTAAGCAACAACTGGCCCTCGTGTGGTAATTCGCGCAATCGTGCAACCAAAAAAGATAGATTGAGCGGTGAATCCGAGCTGATATTGTCCGTGTTGTACATAGCAGCTTGCTGAATTTCGTGCAAATTGTAATCCCACTCGTTCTCCTCCCAGTTGAAAAAGATCAACTTTTTCCGTTCTAGTGTTCGGAGTAGCTGTGCGGTATAGAATGCGTTGCCGCTTGTACGCTTGTAGATTGCGTCGGCGAGTGGCTTTACGTCGTCTCGGTTAACGTCTCTAGGACGATGCAACGTGTCGCATATCAGATCGGTAAGCGAGTCGAAACTGAGTGGATCGACTTTGATGAAATGCATGTTTGCTGCATTGTTGTTCAAAAATTGCTCCAGCTTTCCGCTCACTTCTTTGTCGCGGTAGTTGACAAATACCAGGATATTGACTCTTGACGACATCATTGATTCAAGCAGTTCCAGTGATGGCTCATCTATTGATACATGTTGTAAGCATTCTATTTTCCCTCACATCTTGCCCATAAAACTTTCATTGCCCTTACCCGCTTGATGGAGGTCGTCGAGAAACTATTGAGTCATAGCGAATGCCAAAATTAATATACGGTAGCCTCCCTTCTTTGTCCACATATGGATAACAAAATATCATACCAATGTCGTTAATCGCCAATTATTGATAGCTCGAAATACTTCCATAAACAAAGTATGAAACCGAGATTGAGTCTCGACATTATCCATGTGAATCGTTTCCAATACCTCCTTTTGGGCGATCTGTTGTGGATCCAAGAGTGGCTTCAATTCAGGAACCAAATCCGCAAGTAGCTCGATGCTGATGAACTGCGAATCCAACGACGTCTTGAGATAATCGTAAAAATGCTTAATCTCTTCCTCTGATTCCGAGAGGATTTGTTGAAGCACTTGTGAAAGTGATTTCAAGATGCCGCTGTATGGCACCTTGTTTTTGGAATCGAATTTGATTGCTGCCACGTAACTGGGTCAACAAAAGACATACGAAAGCATTAGATATACACATCTTTGCCACCACCGGCGATTTTCCCCTTTCCCTCGTATTAGGCTATTTACCCATGCTGTCTTGCAGTAGCTTGTGCGGCATTAAACAGAGTCGATTTGCCTATACCGCCAGGCCCATACACTGCCACCATGGTTGTGGATTGTCTTGCATTTGTATTCTGTACCGCGCGACTCGTCGAACTGGAAACGTCACTTCCATCCAGACCGCTGCAGTAACTCGGCGAAGCCGTCGATTTCGGTCCATGGTCTGCGCTTTCAGGAGCCGAGGTATCACTGTAGGTATCGATGGTATTGATGCCGCCAGCGCCACCGTTGCTACCATTCAAAATTTCAACAGAGGGTCCAGCATTGCTGCTAGCTGCTTGTGTTGACCTTTCACGGGTCCGAGCCAATGCTGTTCTGTAAGCGTTGACGTGTCGCTCAATGATATATGTCATTTCGGAGAGAATGTGGTGACGTCCGTAAATTGTTTTGGGGAGTGTGAACACGGACGCGATATCATGCTGTGCAAGTGGGAATGAAGGGATCACCTATTACATAGAGTCGAGTTACTGCCTTGTCTCTCTTGCTAAGGCTTTCATCATGTGTTACCTCGCTGGATCTTTCAGATTCCTTGAGTCTCTTGAGGCATTCTTTCAGGTCGAACTGAACACCGTGCGCACTCGAGTATCTGTCATCAGGAGCCTAATCACGATACGTTTTTGTCAGTCTGAGCCTCAAAAAATACGGGATAAAAGGGGCTCTTGGAAGGATAAGGAGGGGAGGATTGAAGATCTGAATGTTGGGGACAACTTTTAGCTGCAGGGGCGGTGAAGAAGTAGTTTACCTTATTCGTCATTTTTTCTATTATCCGTGACACGACATCTGGAACATCGAGCTGCAGCTCATGTACAAGTGGCACTTTGCGGCTCAGAATGCCGTTCAGAATCTCCAGTGGCCCGCCATTGAAAGGAGGTCGACCCGTTAGCAAGAAAAAAAAGATGATGCCAAGGGAGTAGATATCGGATCGATGGTCCGGCGCATACGTTGTTCGGCCTGTCTGTTCAGGGCTCATATACACCAGTAAGCTTTGAAGCATGTGCATTGACTCCTTACTCGTTGCTGTCTTGCGCCATCCTTCTGATGTAAGGAAACTATCGCAACAAAGAACATCGTTGAGTGATGTACCATTAAAATGAAATGCCAAATAGGGTTCTGTACAATAAACCGGCAATAACAATAATAGCTCCCCTTTAACCAAAAACCCTCCTCAAACACACACGCAGGTCGAGCATTTGCCTTTACCTCTCGTATGATTTCGAGCCAGATCCAAAGTTCCACAGCTTGACACGATCATTATCGCTGCCGCTCCATTGAAAAGCTGAAGGCCGCACTTCCCCATGGATGGTATGTCGATGTATAAACTCCAAACACTCGGTTGTCATAATTGCGAATCGTAAAAAAGTCCCCAAGTCGTATGCATGCGGTGTTAAACTGTGTGCCACATCATTCGATGGTCCGTCATATGCAGTAGGGTGGTATGACGGAATGTTTGTCATGTGCTGATACTGTGCCCACGCACCGAGATTACTATTGCTATTGCTGCTGCCATTGCTGCTGCTTCCTATAGATGATGCATTGTCGCTAGCGACACTCGTCGTCGATGTAGCATATGTTGCAGATAATTCTGGCGTCTCGTCGGATGTTCGTCGAAAAAGATAGTTGCGTCCTTCGTCTGCATAAATTGCAACTGTCAACCCGCTAGGTAAATTGAGATACTCGAGTGGGCGCACTATATCGGTTGTCAAATACTTCGTTTTAACCCAGACCCACATATTTATTTTCAAGCTTTCTTTATTGCGTTACCAATGTATAAAGGACCGTCGGCATATTGGTATAGTCTTTTCATAATGTAAAATTCTCGTTCCAACCGAAGCGAGCTTGTGCATGACACTTTAGCAACCACGGCATTCTTGTTTGAAATTCTGGCAAAGGGGTTGGAACGGTAGAGTTAGCGAGACACTAATCGCGCCAGTGTAAAATTCACTTCTTTTGTGGCGATTGCTCAGAGCTTAAATCTTACTTGTAGCCGCATACAACGTCGACATTCTCACCTCCATGAGCTAGCGTCTGTGTTGGTAATGACTTGAAGTGATAGCCTTAGAAAGTATAATAATGATAACAGAACAAAAGTTAGCAATAAAAGAAAGCAAGTGGGTAGTGGTAGTAGCGAAATTGCACAACGTACCAGGAATGGAGAGAGGACCCGACAATACGCCAGCAAGACCAGGAGATTCGGTTTGAGAAGCACTTGAAGCAGAATTTGACATGATCAAGTTTCACGACGAAACGACTTAAAGATCGGGGAGAGACTCTTTCTTTCTGCATTTTTTCTTCTTTTGAGTATATCAAATCACGGACAATTTGGAGGGGGTGGGTTTCACCTACATACTATTACTACTGCTAACTACTAGGCCCTATTACCTTGTGCTGAGTTTCTGGATCCTTATTTGATGACCCTCCCTGAGAGAAAATGTATAGGGAGAGGGTGGTGTGAGGAGGGGGTGGTTGGGGCGGAGGATGACGACGTAGAAAGAGAAAACAGAAGCAGAAAAGAGAAAAAGTGAAAGAGAAGGGTGCAGGTTACTCTTTAAGGAACAAACGCCGAAGAAGCATACCATGGATACCAGCAGCCAGAAACAAACCGGTGCTTCTTGTTGGCCACGATCGCCATGGGCAAGACGGGCCAGATTGGGGTAGCACAGATAATTGGCATGATAGGAGTAGTGTACGACACACATGTCGGATTCTAGAACCCCGAGCAGGCGGATCTTATTTGCGTGCGGCACTCGTACTGATCTGTGCGTTCGGATATTATTAAGCAGTGTGATATGTGAGTACCAAACCAATCGTACCATGAATACGTGCTTCTGCCGCTAACGTATACACTAAAACAATATCCCACGGTTTTAAATAGCAGGACTACTACCACACCCTGACTAATTAGACGCCACAACCACGTCGGTCGGATGAAGGATCGATTTATTACGGACATCACTGTGATGTCTGATAAAAACCGATATTTATCGTCGATAGAACGAGAAGAAAAGAGGCTGATGATGTAATTCTCGCGACAAACGAGTTGTGCAAATAGTTACAGCTGCTGCTGCTGCTCCAATCAATACCATTTTCCTTTGATAATTTCAGTTGTATAAACGCGTCGACAAAAAAAAATCTCACGCTGATGGCTTGTCGACAGCAAATAAACATGATACAGTAGCATCTGCTGCAATTTCCTTCAGTGCATTTTTAAAGGAGGATCATTCGATTAACCTATCATATCTATAACACAAGAAAAAAAGATGCGTATTATTTGACATAACCGTCCATACTGCCTTCATTTACAAGAAGTTTACATACCACTAAACCTTTCAGAGTTATCGACGGTCGGCGGTGTTGAAAAATGCTCTGTTGCGTTTTGCGGGGATTGTGTGCATAACCACTATCGTGACGAGCAACTGGTATATACCAGGTTGTATTAAAATCCCAGCTCTACATACTACAATACGCGTTGAAGTGTCTCCTCTTGCCGTATATACAACCGATCGATGCAGTTCTTCTTTTTTGTTCTAGCTACTGCTCCAAAAGGAGAGATGTCTGAGATATGTTTTACGAAAAGCAGCCTGCCATACTTTTCTTTAATCCGCGCTGTGTATCTAGACCTCATGTTTACTCTTTGCAGTTCGTTTTGTTTACGTGATACGAAGTTTACCACCCTATGCTTTGTTTTGGATCTATTTATGCTATACTGTTATACACATGTAGTTAGGAGATTCCACTTGTGAATATGGCCCATTATCATAATGGAGGATGAAGTGTAGGTCTATCTGCTCAGCCTCTGTTAGGCGTATGTGCGAAATACGCGACACATAATCAATTGGCTTTCGACCTTTATAATTACTTGCGAAACGGTGGTGTAAAAACTCGGCTAGTACTTATTCCTGAAACTAAGCCCTTCAGAAAGCTTATTTATCGCCTAAAACCAACACCTGATTAGAAACATTATTTGTCGAGATATTACTTGAAAACTTTCAAATCTATTAATCGTACACGGCTAGATAGTTATGAATATATATGGTAAGGCTTATACCCTTTACTGGATAGAAGAAAACAGGATTCAATGTGGAAGCGATTTAATAACGATCATCATTTCGTTGACAGATTGTACACCTGTTTTGCACATAGTAACTTTCGTTGCAAACAACTTTAACATTTAGAAGCGTACAGTATATCACATTGAGGCCAATTTTACTGCGCATATTTTCTGCAAGATTTAACGTAAGCTTTTACTTTCGCGTATATTCGTCGTGAATGAATTGGCTCAATATCAACGTCCTCTATTATTTCATAAACTTAAGGGACAATTACTTCTGTGGAGAGATATTTCTTAATTCTATCCTTTGTGTAATATGCTTATCCGGTAATGGCTATCTTAGGGCATATTTTGATCCAGAAATTGGTCGATACGTAGCGGCCTGGCCATCGTCGTAGCCCATTGAGGATAGAACATGGTCACTTGGCTTTGGCCTTGTTTTTTCGAGTTTTCAACTTTTATTGTTTCTATGTGGCCTTCCAGCAATTAAAATATACAACTGTTCACTCTTGGATTTTCTTTCGTATATCTTGAGTATATATACTTTGATTTGTTAATATTCTAAAGCTTATAGACTTGGCTAAATAGCGCATGTGCGTAATCTTTTGACTGCAATCACTGAGCGACTTCTACTTTAAGCACCTTCTTGGGATCAGCTACCCTTCACTGACACATAGCCCGTTCAATGTCGTCCTTAGTTCCTTTTAGATTGTTTGACTATATGCACGACCGCAAGCAAAATAAACTAGCTCCTATGATAATATCAAATTTCAGCCGACAAGAGCAGAAAAGAGATGTGCAATATAGCTTAAATCGACAAAGTTGGCAGCAATGAAGATTTCAAGATGCTGGGATTGGAAGTACACTTGATTCAAGTTCGTCAATAAAATGATAAGGGCTTTCCCAAACCCCAATTTTGGCAGTTTGGTCTATACAGTATTTGTACAAATACTACATGAAAAAGCATATTTTTTTGTGTTCTCTGGGACAACAACACAAATGCCGCACATCAAGTATACTCACATACCATTATACGATAAAGAATTCTTTCTTTTTTTTATTTCTCTTTCACACTTAGATATTCCTTTTTTTGGCTCTCCAACTTATATATAATAAAGTCTTCTTCTAAGTATATATAATACAAGTTAACCATGTCAATAAGCTGGGACACCGTAACATCGGCCATAGTCACACTTGTAGGTAGAGTGTCTGTTGGTTTTTTCATCACCCAAATCGCACACGTCTATTTATGGGACGGCAAGAACGAGAATGGTACATCCAAATCACCATGGGCACCGAGCCCTTCCAATTTGCCGTTCTACTGGAAAGGATATAAAGCTTTCCGTTTTCATAGCTGTCTCGCCCTGACGGATTGGTCGAAAAAATTACAGACTAGCATATATACTGTTAAATTGATCCCAAAGCGCGTGATTGTGTTGAGCCATGCTGACGTGGTGCGCAAGGCCTTGGTGGAGTTGGAACAGTCTAATTGGACCCGTTCTATCACAATAGATGCGATCGAAACAGTGATGGGTGATCAAGGTATTATTACATCTCTATTTTTACTTTCTTTCTTTTTTTTTGGAAAACGACCGTGTAGAATGTGAGAGAGAAAGAGAGGTGTACTCGTGGATATTAATGACTAAAAGGCAAAACGGTGTTTACGGCTCAATTTTCGGCGAATTGGGGACGCCTTCGACGAGCCATCAACAGAGTCATGCGTGATGTGGTTGTGGAAGTCAAGGGCTCGAGCACACTAGTGCAAGAAGAAGGCTAGTTCAATCCGAAATTGTTACGGTAAAGAATCAACCGAATGGCCATGGAGGCAGTAATTGAGGTGGTCATGGGCAAGCAGAATGGGTGAACGCATTGAGAGAGGAGATTAGATGATTTGGGGTTGTTGGATAATTAAAAAGGCGTTACAGATGAATGTCTAGTGGAGATGCTCTTTGTAATTCTCTCATACCTTCCTTTCTCCCTCTATGTGAGTGTCTATCTGTGCGCGAAGATCGGCATACTCTCAATGCAACGGCATGACATGGAAACTGGAGAAGTGGCGTTCCATCCTAGGATCAAGAACATCTTTGAATAGAATATAGTAGTTGTACCGCAATTTAGCGTTGCATCTAAAAAGAAGAGAGAGCATATGAGTATTGTGATGATAGAGCTTTAATAAAGATAATAAGGGACAAGATTAAGTATCTTTGAGATGATGTTTTATTCCAACAAAAGATAAAGCTCTTTTATATTCTAGCTATTAAGACGGCGATATCAATTCATCCGACTGATGGATAAGCTATGTGATAGAGGATGGATCAAGGACGTATCAGAACTTCTCCTGAAGTCGTTATGTCAATCGGGCACATCTTTGAAACCGGCGTTAGCTGATGTAATGGCCGAGGTACCTGTTGATAGGTTCGTTGTCCTGTTCACGTAAGGTGAATCATCCGAGTAAGAGATTTTATTCAATAGTGTTTAGCCGGAATGCCGTAGTGTTCATACGTGTGTGCTATAATGTTTAACCGAATATCTTATTGTTGATATCTTAAGCAGTGTATTAATGTGGTTCACCACAAGTATTGCAAATGTCGAGGATCTTAAATATAGAGTTTGACCTATATGTGCATTTATTAGAGTCATCAGTTTCCCGAGCGAGGGTCGAAAAACATCATGATCGACGTGAACGAATGCAGGCAAGGAGTGATGACGTCCACGTAGTTGTAGAATACAGAGGTACTTGGTGTTTTACAGTATAGAAAATCACCCCACCAAGGGGCTCAGTAAAAGGATCAACCTGGAATTACATATGACGCTTAGCATGAATGTGACTCTCGTGGGAAACATTATCATAGATCCAACAGCTCATGGCTAGCAATGCAACCCTATGTGTGGCAGTAATATATGCGGGCCTGGCCTTGGTAGCTAATATAGTATTTTAATGCGGATTTCAAATTTAGATTGGCTGTACAATATTAAAATGTAGGTATATGTCGTTGAGAGACAGAGAGAAAACTAATACATAGACGCCACTATCAATGACGCTAAACGCACATCCGCTTTCCTCTATGATGGCCATCTTGATGTTCCTGGTGTGTGCACATGCAATATGAGACCTTACGGACTGCGTGTAACCCGGTCGAGCATCGATGTTTTAATGCGAGCTGCTCTGTGCTATTTAAACAAGAAAAGAGAGACTTGATTTATATTGCTTCCCGATCAAAACCACTCTCTTCCGTCTCTTCTCCTCGTCCACATAAAGCACTTCTTTTCTCACTCCCACTTCTCTTTAGGGAACGAACGTCACCAACAAAGGTAACGACAAGCACTAGCAGACGCGTAACGAAGGTGACCTGTAGATAAGCAATGTACCAACAACTCCACCAGAACGATGGCCGTAGCGTCAACAGCAGCAGCCGCAACAGCGACAAGAATGAAGAGTTCTTTTTGGACGATCATCCTAGAGACAATGCAGATGCACCGCCAGAGTACAAAAACGCATGGACATAGACAGCGAGAGTCTGCTAATCTCCTGGATGTCACACGCGCCTGTACTTTCAAACGCGCGTAAGAAGCACAACGTGTAGTGAGGCTTCTGTAAGCATTGTTCCGATTGCCACTTGGAATCACGGATCGCCAATATTGCTTCCAAAAGACAATGCCCCCGTCATGCGCCCATTATCGATAGTCTAGGCCTTGTGTAACCTCAGTGTGAGTAGAAGAAAAGCGCGTCATCATACTTTAACAAGTGGAGACACTTTGTGAGAGCCATGTAGAAAGACAAGACTAGTGTGTACGTGTAGCCTGAAGTGAGCACATTGCAAAGGGGAATGTCAGTGAGTTGCATTCCGAATGCCTCGGGAGACGACAGACCCAAGTTCGGCGTGTCCAGAGTGTGCTTGTCGGTGTAACATGGCATCACCTGGGCTGGCAAGTGACGCTGTCAATTTTCTTTTTTTCCTTTTTTATCAGTTGACCAAGCGAACAGATAAGATATAAAAGCTTGGTCTGGTTTTACAAACTGTTTGGACAATGCATTGGCGCGCAGTCTTAGATGAGTCGCCATGGAATCAAACGATTGCATTGCAGTATTTGCAGGACCTAAAGGCACGTTACCCCTCCATAGCACCCATAACAGAATAAGCAACATATTTTATTGGGGCTCAGAGCCCTCAATTTAAATAAACTTTACTATACAAAAAAAAAAGATATAAAAGCACTACATGGAGATAATTTTTGCTACTTTGCTCCTCTCTCTCTCTCTCTTTCTTTTCTTTTGAATCATGAAAATTGTGACCAAGATTTCGAATGCAAAAAAGTACCCGTGCACAGTGTCGACGAGCATAACGATGAACCGGGATGGCCGCGTCCAAAAGTTTGTCGTTTCAGCCAGGACTACCCGTAGCAGCAGAAGCAGTGGCAGCAGCAGTGACAGTGGCAGTGGCAGCAGCAGTAGCAGTAGCAGCAGTAGCAGCAGTGGCAGCAGTAGCAGCAGTGGCAGTGGCAGTGGCAGTGGCAGCGGTATGTAGTAGTAGCAGTATGTAGATTAATAAAAGCATATTTTTTTTTAAAAAAAAAGGCAGCATTGCGCTGTATAAAATCAAAAGATACGTCGCCGTATTTCTGCTGTTACGTACCCGTGTGGTGTTTTTTGATGTGTTTTTCAGTAACTTAAGTCATCAGGCATGCGAATGGGCCCACGAGAACTATGGGGACTCAGGCACAGGATATGATTATTAGACGCTAAAGTCGCTTCCCAACTGTTGTGACGTGCTGACTAAAGCATTCATTGGTGGTGAAGACCGTTGGAGTGTCCGATGGATACAAGGGATTATCGCGTATATTCGTTGGTTTGGCCTCGTCGCGGCCAGTAGTAGATGCATTACTCGAGAAATCATTCCGAATGTCATGGCTAAGATGCACAAGGCTTGTTGCCGTGCTTTCCACATTGGATTTACATCTTACGACGCTCAGGATAATCAAAAAATGAACGAGGAGACGCGTTTAATACCACTACTACGTATGGAATGCCACCAACTGCAAAATTTAACGCTCAGTAGTAGGGGGGGTATAAGGATACCGGGATTCCTCGGGCGGAAAAATGCTACGACACCATTCATTATACCAAAATGTCTCCGCAGCCGACAACAGCAGCAACAGCAATTGGTTGTCAATAAAGCAAACTCATAAGCCTTACCAAAGAAGGGGTTTCATGGAGCGCGCAAAGCGAGGACATCTTTGTTAAGGACATTGGCTGGTACAGTACAGCTACTCGACCGCCTACGATAAAGACCAGATGTTGGAGGTCTGACGCACGTTCATTGGTAGCCATACGCCAGAAATTCATGTTCGCTTTCTGAAATCTTTAAATGCTCTGGAAAGCTTTCCAAGGCTTTCGAAGGCTTCAAAAAACATCAGGTTACGATCTTAAAGCATACGACGTAATACGAGTCACAGTAGACATAAAACTATTTTGCCGTCCGTGCTACTGCCTACATATGTGCTGCCAATCATCCTGTATACCCTGACTGCTATCTTCACATTTCAAACAAAAGCTAAAGTCATGCTTGCTAATTACATATTTCGAGTAGTGGATGTAAGGAACAACTCATGCCGACAAGAGCAATGTCAGGTGACGACGCGCTCTATAATTTCTTTTAAACGTCACATTGCTCCTACTCTCCTTTCTACTCCTTCTGTTCATCGACAACCTGGTTGTTGCGGCTGTGCCCCTTGGCCGTCACTGCCACTTCTTTCTTTGAATCGGCCGCTGTGGCATATTTTGACTTACTTGGAGTGAACTTGTAGCGATTCCATGGTATCTGAATTGGTGCCCTGGTCCGAAGCACCGTTCATGCATGAAATCATAAGAGATTTTTGGTGTTACTCACACTTTCGGAAATGTTCCCACTCGACTCTTGCCCCTTATGCATATGGTACACCGATAAGAGGCAAGCTTCAGTGAACAGAAAAGAACGAAACTCATCGTGATCGCCAAGTAGCGAGATGGGACGAGTGTGTGCATGGAGCCTGGAGCGTCTACAATGTGCAGGTGTTATCGGTGTGAAGCATGGCCCTTGAGAGATTGTCATCCATTGTTCGCGATCCTTGTGCAACATCGGATGGTCAAACAGGTCAAACTGTGACGCCTACAAAAGAACTGGACTCGACTGCGCATTTCCCTTTCTCTTTCTTCTTCCTCACTGTCGAAAGATCCACTTTTCAGCTTCTTTATTGAAGGGTTGCCTTCTGCTACTTGATCCGAGTGGGTGTACGTGCAGAATCAGTATTCGTTATTGTTTTCGGCGTACATTTGCGATTTTCATTAGGATCTTTGTGGCGCAGTGCACGAGTCGCTATTGCAGCGAGCCCTATCCGTGAGCGCACTACAAGCCGTAAAGTTCTTTACCGCTGTGCACTCACAAAGTAAGTATACACGTAATTCCCCCCTTGACAAACTACTCTCACCCATCTTCTTCTATTTGTAGTGATTTGTTATTGGGAGGTGTAGGTGAGCGCACTACAAGCCGTAAAGTTCTTTACCGCTGTGCACTCACAAAGTAAGTATACACGTAATTCCCCCCTTGACAAATACTCTCACCCATCTTCTTCTATTTGTAGTGATTTGTTATTGGGAGGTGTAGGTTCCTTTGGAACTGAGGCTTGTGGAGACCAAGGGAGAGCAACCTCTCCTTTGAGGAACGAAGGATTCATATACAAGCCGGTCATTTGCAAGCAACGATAAAAAACGTGTCTTCTTCTGTCTTTGTGTACAATAAATTTTATTGATTTCGTTTCTACTCTCTTGAAGAAGTGTTTGTAACTATCCTGAGCATGGGCTGATCAATTGACTATTTATAATAAATGCTTTTCGAGGAGCAGCTTGCTGCAGAAAACGAG